CAATTCCCGGTTTGCAATTCCCGGTTTGCAATTCTCGGTTTGCAATTCTCGGTTTGCAATTCTCGGTTTCCAATTCTCGGTTTCCGGTTTCCGGTTTCCAATTCTCGGCTCTCGGTTTCCAATTCTCGGTTTTTTACGCCCTGGCCAAAGCTTAACTTGATACTTCTTCGTGCTAATTATGATTATGATTTTTGTATCGATCCTTTTTGCTCACAGATTTGTATGAACTTTTTCGATGTGAACCACGACTGGTAGTACCAACCCTGACGCAGTTTTGTTCTTTGATAAGAGGCGCGGTGACTTTCTCGATTGCTGCGGGCTTTTGCGACAGGCAAGCGCGGACTTGGAAAACGAGTGGGGATGGAAGCTTGGGCGGTGGAATATCCGCTGCGAAAGTATCGTTTATCGTGCATGACTTCTCACGAATAGCAATGACGTTGTCGTGACGAGGTCTTCTTTGAGTTTCCCGTTACAGGAGCCGCGTAGTACATCGTGGCAGAACATACAAGGAGACGTGGATTTGTTATGCTGAGTGAAGAATACCTTCACTTTTCACGTTCGCACAGCACACGAGCCCACCGAGCCGCATTTGGTTTTCTGCTGAATATTCATGGATGCAGCAACCAAGCACCTGCAAACATTTTCATTTTATAAGTACAGAACATTTTTTGGCAACATGTAGAAGCATTGCTCGAAGGGCGAACAGGATTTGTACGGCTACGGCTACGATGTTTTCGTGGGGGATATGGAACCAAACTTACCAGTTTGCCCTGTGTCCGGCCGATGCCAGCATCACGTCGTATGGCGTTCTCAAACGTTACATTCTCAACTGTTACATGAATTTGCCATGCAAGAATGGTAAAAGTGAAAGGGATGACATTGCGCGTCTTGCATGACAGATTCTGCCCAGATTCTCAGCCTGTTTGGCTCTTCGAGAATTTGTCATGCGAAGCAGCTTGATCGTGTCAATTCTGATTATGATTTTGCATGACAAATTGTGTAACAGTTGAGAATGTAACATTTGAGAACGCCATACTTCGGAGAAGGATTTGAAACCTGGTATCGTAAGGAAAAATCCCCCCTCCCCATATCGAAAACGTATCCGTCTGAAAATTTGTGATGCGCATTTGTGACCTCAAATCCTGGCTGTCTTGCAAGAAGGCAAGTCCAGAAAGCGTTCCGCATTTTGCAGGCGGTTTGTGATGCTGTTGGGCTAAGAGCGTGCGCGTTTGTCATGCTAGGCGCCTACGTCAAAACCTCTCGACTGAGGCTTGGCATATGCCTGCAGTCCTCTACTGCAAGACAAATCTGATTTGTGTATGGAAATCCAGCATCAGAAACGTCGTTTCGATATGGGGAGGGGGGATTTTTCCTTTTGATACCTGGGGACCTCATTTTTTACGAAGCAACCTACCACGATGCCTGGCGGAAGTATCCGAGAAAATGCTAGGTGCAGTGACACACGTAAGTATTTGTGCAGATCCAGCAACACTACAGATCCAGATGCGGCCTGAAAAATTGCAATGTGAAGAAGATCGTGCTGGCGGGGACGGAAAACACGCATGAAACGAGGGTTCCGGGGTATTTTTGCATGTTGACACAGGCTCTCTGTTTTTGTTTTCCTGCTGCAACTCAGTGTGTGACTGAGCAACTTGTTTCTGCATAGCCAAGCGCAACACTGGAATATCACACACATCGAGGTATAGCTATAGCTTTCTTCCTACAGCCGAGCCTACACAAGCCACGGTAAAAAAGTAGCTGTGCGACGTTCAAAAAATGCAGTCTGCTTGTTGTAGTGTCACGTAGGGAAGAAGCAACATCATTTGGTATGGACGATGCAAACTGCAGTACAATCTCTTTGCAGGAGTACTACCCAGAGTGTTGCATCTTCATGATGCATACTGTTACGATCATCTACTTCCTCACTACTTCAGGTATATCTTGGCCCGGACAAGCAGACTATTGGTTCACGCTGGAAACAGAGAGTAAGCCTGCACGACACCTACGAGTTAGGAACCGACGATTTTTTATGCAAAAGACAAAGAGCCCGTCAGCTTCAGCAACGTACATTTGACTTCGGGTATGCCTGCTCTTGATGCGGAAAAAAAAAAGTTTCTTGTGAATTTTAGGCCCGGCGCTAGTCGGCCATCATTTAAGTCGGCGAAGCTTTCTCGCTCATTATTAATTCAAGAAGTACATACACCAAGGACCGGCAACTGGTACACGAACTGTAAACTTCTAGTACCCGCAGCTAGCAGTCTTGAGCCGTTGCTGCTTTGCGTCTTTCGTTTCATATTCTCCGTCGAAGCTCTGGACCGTCCACAAGTTTCACTACCGAAGCCTGGAGCCCTGGTACTTCATCTTCCGAAGCTTTTTGTTTTTTGCACACTGTACGGTGCAGGATAGATGATGACGACGATGATTTTGAATATCACAAGACCAGCAAAAAAAAGTGACTTAGATAGACGATGAAGAAGTTATCCAATATGTTGCAGCAACAGCAACTCTACAGCAGATCTCAAGCCCCCGCTATGTGGCTAGGCCGAGGACTTTAACGATGTTGAGCTTTTTGTTCACAAACCGAGAGCTGAGTAATTTCTATAAAATTCAGGTTGGATTCTTACACGCTCCCAGAGTTCGTGATCCCCGAAGCCTACGACAAGTTTCCGGTGATGCCACCGCCGCTATCACGTGGAAAAACCAGCACTCCTCATAGGAGCGATTATTTTCTTTCATTAATTTCCTTGATATGTGCAAATGAGAAACATAGTCATTGTCAACATAGCAAGATGAAACAGAACAGAATTTACTTGTATATACATCGTTTCACACGAGCATGCCGCACCAGTAGCGCTTGGCTCCGAGCTGTGTCATTATATATTGAAGCGGGTTTAGCCTGTGCTGCAAATGCAGTCCGCTTCTACGCAGCGAGAGATTGTGTTGTAAGAGTCACTAGGTAGTCGTAGTCACCTATGCAGGGCAACCCGCAAGTGAGGACGTTGGTTTATTTTCCCATGATCACCTAGCAACCACAAGTCCATCTTTTACGTCGAAGATTTACCGGCGGAAGACGCGGGGGAGGAGGACGAGACGACGCGGGGGACCAGCGCGAAGAAGGAAACGCTTCTGCCCGTGGACGACTGAAGGTGCACCGGGAGCCGCTAGTACTAGCTACGCACCATGGAGGATAGTAGTACATGATACGCGGAACAACGTCACCATATCGAGGAAGTTTAAGTTTTATTTTTCATCTACACACTATCACTATTACTAAAGTGAAATGTTTTAGGAATAGATATGAAGGCCGAGGACAACAAGAATCACAAGGGGATAGCGTAGTTTCCGCTTTCAGTTTTTAACGTGATACAAGAACAATACGAGTCTAGGTTCACCGGCGCTGTGCAGCTAGACGGTACATCAATGTCGTCCCCCCAGCTGCGACCAACAGCTGCAGCTTTTTTATGCTGCAACAATTGTTATTGTGCTCAACTGTAAAATGTTTTTGAAATGATGGTGCGTTCGTTAAAGACGATGATTTTGTTGCCACTGCTATGGACTTTTTCAAACTAGAACAATTGTATTTGCAGGGAGAAGTAGTCTACGAGGGATGTAAAATAGGAAATTCGGCCGCCAGGGCTCGTTATTTCCGCGATTGAAGAAGCGCAGGGAAGTTAGTACTATAGTAAAGGTACCTATAATATGAAGATGACCACGAGAATACAGCCTACTGTCGAATTTTACCGCCGACATCAGGACGCCGATGCGTAATAAGGAATTTTTTACATCAGAACGACATGGACGCTCTCTAACTCTACATCTTTCACTTTTGTGGATCGTCCTCGTCGAAGTGTTTCACCTTCGTCGTGTTCAGTCTCCTCATGCATGGGTGGCTTTGCTTGGCCCGACTTGCTACTCCCCAGATACTCCCCGAGAATGAATTTTTTAGAGCAGTATTCAAGCAGAAGTATGATAAAGCAGTCGATGACTGTAGTCGTGGACAGTGGCAGAGCCCAACAATTAAACGGTGCCAGGTTCTATCTTCCCCTGTCAATGTTGCATTTACCGCAGAAGTGGTTCCTCATGATTGAAGACTCTGTATATGGCCGTAGAGGGTAAATAGATAATATCGCTTCGCACGGCAATCGTGCTTGTACAAGCATTGGTGAAGCTGCATCTGTATCAAATCTATCAGTCTACAAGATTGGGGACAGTCACACTCAGCACTTTTTCTACAAAGAAAATCATAATCGCCACGATTTTTGCGCAGCTGATTTGGCACGGGTTTGTTTCTTCCCAAAGTCGATATAGAATGCATTTTTGCAGCTATTAACGGATAACGACAAACCAGTACTCGAGGAAGACGAAGATTTTAGGAAATTGTAGTGGAGGATTAGTACGGTATTACGGTGCCATCTGTTGGCAGCTCTCGTCCTCGTTTTCTTGTCGTCGCATTTCTGCTTCATCCGGATCCGGAATGTCACCTTGTTGTCGCTACCGCGGTTACGAGGTGCGCGTGTATTGAGTTTGTAGCATCGCCGCATCGAAGATAGTGCAAACAAGGCATCATGCCGCGATGTCGGCACTTGTTCGGGGAGCACTTGCGGGATGCTCCAAAGCGGTACCAGTACCGGTACAAACGGTGGCAGATCACGCGTCCGATTCCCGCCAAGGCTTACGCGAAGCGGCCGCCAAGTTTCGCTTCGCAGATGAACCTGTGGCACAACGACGACTTTCAGTACCTCGCGGTCTGCAAGCTGAACATGCACAAACACAAAACCAAGATCGTGCCCTTCCAGTACAAGAAGGACCTACAGTCGAAAAACCTGAACTGCACGGTGACAAATATGCGCGTGACACCCTCGGCGCTCTACTATGGTACCAGCGTCGAGAGGGAGCCGTTGGTGGCATCTTCAAAAGAATACTCATTTCATTTTGGAGCATTGCGTCGTAGTAAAGCAAAAGCTCTTGTTTGGCGACACGAATTGCAAGACGACACTTGTTTTTTATGGACAGAGACGATGGACGCGATCCTGATCCAGGTCACAAGGAAAATCGCGATGCCGCAAACGCAATATCAAAAAAAAAATAGTCGTCCTCTTCTGCCAAAAGATCCACCTAGCTGAACTTTCATATTGTTGCCATGGACGATATGGGCGGTTTCGACAACTACATCATGCGCAGCTCGCCTGAGGAGATTCGGTCTTGCGTCGCCGAAAAGATGAAGAATTTGATGTACTACTACCAGGAAAATCCAGACGTGAAGGCCTGGGGTCTGCCGTGGCACAAGTTGATCCGCAAGAAAGAGCAGAAAGACCCGGCGTTCGCACGGTACAAGTACCTGGCATTTCGCGCTGCCGGAGAAAAACGTCGCGCCCGGGAACATATCAAAGTGAAAAAAGCCCCCACCCCATATCGAAAAGGAAATCTGTGATGCTGGATCTGCGTACACAAGTCAGATTTGTATTGCAGGAAGGCACTGCGGCCAGATCCCCAGGCTAGGTAGGGGCGTATGGGTCTAGTTGTTCAGCATTGCAAACGGCTGACCTTTAGGCCCAGCAGCATGACAAATCGCTTCCATAATGGGGCGGAAGCTTCTGCCCTTGTCTTCTTGCAAGACAAACGTGATTTGTGCCCTCAAATCAGCAACACAAATTTTCGGAAAGATACCTTTTCGATATGGGGAGGAGGGATTTTTCCCGACGATAGAACACAAGCCGTACTCACCCTATTACCTCCCGGAAAGCGAAGCCGACATGGAGCCTGCCAGACAAGAATTTTTGCCCGGGGCGGAAGACGTACTCATTCGTTTCTTTGTATATAGAGTTTGTGCTGAAGCCGCTGCTCTAGCTCCAAAAAAGTGCATGGTAAAGCAGGACATCCTAGAGGTTTACTACATGGCGCCTCTTACTTTGTTTTCCAATACACGGGTTTCCGTTTCTCGATTTGAATCTTTCGCTTGGTTGATATATCAGACTGAATGTTTCTCTTTCTCTTTGGTCTGTCGCTCATGGCCACAGCAAGAAAAGCCGCTAGCTGGCGCAACTAAAAACTATGTTGATGAAGCTACTGCACTATCGACACGAAGTTAAGCGTGAAGGTGAAGTGTGTGTGTGTGAGCATCATGTGAGAACTTGGCTCAACAGAACTTCCGAATGCGGCTCAGTAGTCGTGGACCATGCGAATATTTTCATACAAGCATGAAGTACTTAGATTGCGTGACCACGCAGTTGTAGCGAACCAGCAGTATCACTATCAGATCGTTCAGTCTACATGCAAGAATTTCGCAAAAACTCTCAGACGGAAGTGGTCAAGAACCTCTGGTGGATATCCTTTTCAAAACCGTCCCCACCGTCCGACCCCAGACTTGTCATGCATATCTGCGAGCCTCATGCTCATCTTCAAATGTTATATGTTTCTCCCCCACGGGCACCGACTCCGACGCAGCCGCATGCGGAGCATTCTAAGACTAGGATATGCGAGCAGCAGTTTGTCACGCTAAATAAAGTAGAATCAGGATTAGATGGCCGATCATTCGTTATGCAGCTGCACTAGCTGAACTAACAGGATTTGACTGCGCGCCAAAAATTCATCTCTGGTTGGCATTTGAGAGGGGGATTGTTGGGAGTGTTAGGTCCGCACGTCGGCCCACAATGGTGAAGCCTTGGGGAAGAAAGAATCGTCCAAAAGTGTGGACTTATCTGCGCAGCTGCGTGGTCTGTTCATATCATGCGCAATAGCCTCAAAGCTCGTTGCTTTGTGTAGCAAGATCACCATGATCTGGGCTTTGGGGTGGGGACGTTTTTGCTCAGGAAAGTGGAAGTCGACACCGGAGCTGGAGCGCCGGTTCCGGGACCGCTTGACAGCCGCCCGTCATGTGGAGTTCAAGTTTCCAGACCATCGTGAGCCTGGTGGCTTCCGTCGCGGCCACAACATGATGGGTGGAGGGCCGCCTTGCGAGGACGTGAAAATGCGGGGAAAGAAGGCCTCGGCTTGCGGCCGCCGCTATAAGTTCCGGGACATTAGGCCCTACTGAACCCTTTTTACGGGACGAGCGAGTGACGATCAAAATCTCGTGGAACCTAGATGCTGTCTCTTCGATTTACAGTAGTTTTTTTTGGTGCATTCGTGCAGCTGTCGTCATGGTGGTAGATCACGATGAGGAAGCTCGTCATAGCCCTTTTCAGTGATGGTTTTCGTTTTTCTGCAAGCGCGTGCGTGGGGTAATATTTGGGCCCTCCGCGCAAGTGTTTCTATTTGCATGCACCAGCATGTGGCAATAAGTAGCCCACTAGTACGCAAAAATGAATGGATTTGGCCCGGGGTTCCGCGGCAAGTAATTTTCATGCTTCGCATACATTCCAATTTTGTAGCACATGAAGCTTGATGATGCCCTGCGACTCGTGGCGTTGTGAATTCCTCTGGAAATGACCACAGTTGCTCGAGACGATTCATCATTGCCGACGTTCATTTCGTCTTCGTTGTCGAAGAACAGAGCGATAAATTTTTCTATGTCCTATAAAAATGCGCTAGCGCACCGCAGCTCGAGAGATTCTAGAAGAGTAAGCACAAAATTTTGAGCATCAAAGAGTAAAGAAGGATTGACAGTGCTCGCTGTGAGCAGTTTCAAATTTACCAACCGGCTCTTCTTGAAGCAAATGTGAAATCAATGCGATGTCTTTTGCGCAGAGAAAATACAAATAGACGTTAGTAGGCAAGGATAACTGCTGCACTCAGCGTCGTCCCGCGATGCTGGTTGTCCTTCCGGAGGACAGGAGATACAAGGCACACCCACGGTGAAAATCATCTTTCTTGCGACATCGGTTGCCGGCCAATAGATTGGCAGTACCTAATATTTGTGACGAATAAGTGACCACTTTTGGTGCTGTGTGTCTGCATCCGCGAAAACGAAAAGGTGTTTGAAAAAAACAAATTACGCGTCAGCTGTACTCACCTGCTACGCCGGTGTAAGAACACACAGGGATCCTAGAGGTACAACGACCGGCAGGTACTACAACAAGAACGGTTTGAGTTGCCATGGCGGATGCACCAGACGGGCCCCAGACCACTCTTGCCTCACCCACTACCCCAGCGGATGATCATGCCGCGGTCGCCGGGGACAGCATATCCTCTCCTGTCAAAATATGGCGTTCTCAACTGTTACATTCTCAGCTGTTACATGAATTTGTGATGCAAAAATACCAAGACCATCCACACGATCAAGGTGCTTCGCATGACAAATTTGCGAAGGGCCAAGCAGCACCTAAATTTGTTCAGAATTTGTAATGCTACAGGCGCAACCTTCCCCCTTTCACGTTTGCCATTCTTGCATCAGAAATCCATGTAACAGTTGAGGATGTAACAGTTGAGAACGCCATACAAAAACGTGGGCGCGCCGGTCGCGGACCTGCCACCCGAGGGGGAGGACTCGGATGCAGTCCCCGCTGGTGCCGTGGAGAACGAAGAAGGTGCGGGCGAACCTTCTGTCGCGGAGTTGCAGCAGCCCGGAGCTGCAAGCGATGTTGAAGCGGAGGGACGAGCAGATGAACATCCTCGCGTGGCAGCAGCGGACGGCGACACAGCCGTCGTGGCTGGCCAAGAAGAGGACGCAGCACCACAGGACGACGAACACCAGCAGCTACCCCTGACACCCGGACTCATCGCTAGTCGGAAGCCCGTGACGCTGAAACAGGCCACGTACGCAGAATTGCCCGAAGAATTCACAGACGGCCAGTTGTTGAACGCAGATTATGTGAAGAGGCACATGCTGGAAGAAAGGACCGCGTGGATGACCAATCCCGTTCTCCATGCCCGCCCCGAGGACTACCATCCCTTGGTATTGTTTCCTATTTCATCAACATACGCATTTTTTGCTTTCTTATTTGTGATTTCATGAAGCGCTGCCCATTTTTTTTGTCGATGTCCTGGTGTTGATGACCACCGTCGTTTTTTCATTTGTTGAAGTCGTTTGATAGAAGTAGGAACTTTTTGTCCTGAAAAAGAAGCAGACAAAAGCGCTCAATGAAGTACATTTTTCATTGTAACGTTCGTCGAAAGCAGACAAATTAGGAACCCCTCATTTTTGTGGTCAAAGCCAGAAGGTCAGAATATTTTGATGCTAGGTCCTTAGCAGCTGCATTTCGCTTTATTCGGTTGCAGCGACATCATCAAGCAAAACAGGTATACATGTTTTGCTACCTGCTTGGAACGCTGGAAGAAAGTGAGCGACAACGAATTTGTCTGCGCATGGGCATTCGGTATGGGACCTACGCAGGAAGAACTCTAGCAGCAAACCACGCAGCAGATGATGCAGCTGCAACAGAAAAAAGCTAAGACTAACCTGCTGCGAGGAGCTCATCTTTGCGAGTTTTGACTTCGCCGCGCAACTCGTCGACACAACCAACAGATAGATTTTCGCGAGGTCTCATCGTAGATCGGATAAAGTGATGAATTTTAAGAAATGAAAAGCTCGTAGCTAGTAGCGGCTCATCGTGCTGTGATTGTCTTCCTTTCGATTCAACAGCGTTGTGCTGTTCGCTACCCCATGCACGTGGTAGCTTCCGTGGTCAGTGCATTGGGCTAAGTCGCGGCCGCGGCGGCCCCGGTCTGTTGAGGGTTGTACTATGAGCAAGACATAATCATAAAGCCGCGGGTCAAAGTCAATTCTTACTGAGGACGCGGTCGGATATTTTGAGGAGAACTGAACACGATCAACTTGTGTATGAATGTGTGTCCGCGTCATTGATTCTTTTTCTGTGGTGACACACATTGCCGAACAGCGATCACATTTTTCTGCTCTCTGAAACGAAGTGCCATCTCACGTTCGACATCGCCCTCATTGTGGCCGGGCGTCTCTTACCGCAACACCCTATTTTGAGCGGCCACAGACAGGAGCAGCCAAGTTATTTTTCGGTCGCGGCACGCCCACGCCTCTCGGAGTAGGAGGGGCCGCCGTGTTAATCACGAACACAAGCGGAGCATGAAGATTGTATGCTTGAAAAGGATGGCGCAACGGGCCAACTATTACCAGCAACAAGTGGTCTCTAGCCTATTTGGTGGTCGTGCAGCAAAGTCGATTTCGAGAATATCTGCTGTACGGAGACCTGCTGCCGCTCTGGTAAGAAGTCATCCTAGTGGAAGCGCAAGTGCGTCGCACCGTCGTTTTTTTCGAGTGACCAGAGCCGCTCGCTTCACGGCCAGCGAGCACAATGAGTCACGATCCGCCACGGCAGAGGATGGTGATAACGTGCTGATAAGCAGAGCGCGACTGGACGAGCTTTTGGAAGCGGAAATCTTAAAATTTGCTGCAGAAGACGTGATATGTTGCGCACATGAAGTGTCGTCACATCAACATCCACACACACAACACTCAACACATGTCGACAGTAATATGAAATAGAGGCCTCATTTTCGTAATGCCCGCCCAATACCAAGTTTTCTTTGCGAGGTTCCACCACGTCATTGATTGTAAAGTAAATCAATTGCCACGACGCGGTTGTAATCAACTTTGCCATTACTTGTATACATAGATACTAGCTCTGTGCCATGGCATAGCTGACACCCCTGACGTTCTTCGAGATATACTCCTTGGAGAACGAGTTCATCGAGGAATTTCTGAAGCGGGAGCTTCCTACCCGGTACGCCACACGCCTCAAGCTGATCGAGAGCCTTCCTGGTTGGCAACTGCAGAAGAACCTGAAACACGTGCGAAAGGTGTACAGCGATTCATTCAAGCGGTTACGCAACCTGCAAGCGGCTGACTCCGACCGCTTCTTCGATTTCATCGAAGGCACCAAAAAGCGACACGCGTCCATCGTGCCACACGTGATTTTATGCGGTGCAAAAGTAAGAACTACCATCCGCATCAAGTGCTGAAGAAGGTTCCACTCATCTCTCCCGCTCGTAGAAAACTTGCGCCACCAAAGAAATGTATGTTGCTTCGAAAATTCAAATTGACGACAAAAAATTTTGCTGGCACGCATTTACACTATGACTTGTCGCGCGCAAGGCCTGCATTACCTATAGCATTTGGAGGCATTGTTTGTTACATGATACGTATGATACCATAACCCATGTATAAGTACAAGTAGCTCTCTTTAGAATCGTCTGTCGTATTGATTCCGATCCTCTGGCTCGGCATGGCAAAATTTATGCGTTCTTTATTCTTTTGGTTGCGGAGCGTTGGCGGAACCACGAGCAAGGACGTCATTTGAAAAGCGTAGATTTATAATATTAGGAATGTAGAGTTAGAGTATGAAGGGATGATGTGCAAGTCCAAGTTGCGCATAGATCCCAGGCGTTTCACTCTCCGCAACGTTTTTCTTCCGCACGCGATACTTCTCGTTTCTTTGTACTTCATAAATATCCGGAGTGGCCGACATGTTTGACAAGAACGCCCTAGATAACCGCCGCGTCGACCGTTTCATGTCAGCTTTTTTCCAGTCCCGCATCGGAACGGAATCTTTGACAAACCACTTCCTGCAACTGCAAAAGTCCCAGCACGGTATCATTGACCCAGACTGCGACCTGCTGGCTATTCTGAAGGAGGCCGCTGACGAGGCCGTGGAAATGTGCCGTATGCACTACCCCAAGCTGTATGCAAAGCGGTCGCTTAATAATGCTGACGAGGGTGCTCGCGCTCGACGGCACTGTACCCCGAGAATCGAAATTCGCAATCACAGCCCCGCGACGGCGTCGGAAAACGTGGCTTTCGTGCCCGAGTATTTTCACTACATCTCTTTCGAGATCTACCCTATGGAAAATCACCACTTGTAGCCACCATCTGTAATCATCATAAAGAAAAATATTGCGTTGCCATTCTTGATGTTGGTGTTGCGTCTGCGTGACACCGAGCAAAATTTTGTCTTAAAAATCAATTTATTCACTCGAGGACTCTGACATGGACTGCGACCATGATCATAGCATGGCACATACTTTGTGCACGCGCGTGCACCTCAAGCACCTCAAACGTTTGATGGCGATCATGGTATTGTCACATAGGACAACTTCTTGAAAAACTCTTTACGTGCCGTCGCGGAAAATAACCAGAATCAGGAGCCTATCGGTTCTCCGGCCAACGGTGAAGATCGTGTTGGCGCGAGACGAGCGGAGGCTAGCGAGAATGACGCGGAGCATGAGATTGGGCGCGAATCGACGATATACGTGGATCTTTCGTGCTCTGCCTCCACTATCACGCTTCGTATCAGCGACGAAGGCGGTGGAATTCCGCGAACGCAGTTGCGCAAAGTGTGGAGCTACCTGTACACGACAGCAAAACCCGTCACAGACTTTCACTCCTCGGGCACGGGGGCAGGATCATTATCGTCTGTGAATAGATGCGACATCCCCATAACAAGGCGCACCATATTCCGAATAAATGCATAGGAACTTGCGTTCGTAGCGATTCCGTTATACGCCATGCATGCCTGCTAGTGCAGCCTCATCTACTCCGCTACCGCTAGCGTTTTTATGGCCGTCTGGGTCGCGTTCGCGGCAAGCTTCGATGACTATGATGGAAGCTTGTGATGAATCATTTGATACTTGAAAACAACGCAACTCGTGGTGAGTGTGAGGCTAAGGCTGACCGCAAGGAGGAGGAACGCCTTGAAAAGCTGCTTCCGCTGTGCGTGTGACGAAAAACAAACGCTCTTTGCTCAGCGTTTTGAGGCCTATTCGGAAGCAAGGAAAAAATAAATTGCTTCATTAAAACAAAAATTTTTGCTGCATCGTGGAACTGGAAGCAAGTGTAAATTTGTCTGCTCAGGTAAAAGTGGGAGTCGATCATGCTTTTCAGAGTGATGCGGGAGCTCGGCGTCATCCGACGGGTTGGACTCGGCCGCTTCGAGCAGCGAGGACGGTCGTTCATCTGGAGAAAATGTAGTTGGCGAGTCACCCGGTACAACTAGCATAGGCAGTGAGGAGGAAGAAATGCTTCCGATGGCCGGGTTTGGCTGCGGACTCCCGCTCACGCAAGCATACCTGAATTGGGTTGGGGGGGATATTCAGCTCGTGTCCCTACCGACATTTGGTACCGACGTGTACGTGAAAATCACCAGACCACCGGTGTAGTCGTAAGCAGTTGACAAAGATGAACTTCTACGGAGATGAAGAGGACAGGTTGTTTCTATTTGATACCATACCTGGTCTTCATCAAGTTCAAGATTCTGACTCAAAGGACAATAAACACTATGAATATTTGTAACTCTGAAAGATGGAGCGCCAATGCAGATACTAACGAACAGCGCGCTTTGTCGCGTCGCAGATAAAAACCATGGAAAATGGATCTTCGTTCATCATCGACATCGGTTTCATAACTCCCGAAAGGCTTCCAATTATGAGGCGGAGCGCGAAAATATCATTACATGCGAGACATAGTTCTACTTACTATTTTCATGTTGTAGTCGGTTGTTGCCTCTGCGCGCGCGCCACAATATCCTCGTATCTATAGGGAATTGGAGATGCGATTATTGTTGCGGCCGGCCTCATCTGCCACTGCCGCTTAACGTTAGCACGCTCCGCTAGGTAAGCGCTTTCTTCAGCCGGGCCCCACTTGGTCTTTGGGGCTCTCATCTTCATGTTAAAGGGCAGGCAGTTATGGGATGTTGTGCCGCATACCTACCGTGCTCGTTCCGAGAGCCCCACCTGCACTTGGGGCCGTTCGTAGGGGAAAGGGGGCGCGGTTCTTTTGGTTTTTGCTGCGTAAGCAGCCCCGTCGTTCGACATTTTTTTTTGGGCCGGGAGCCCCACCTGCACTTGGGGAAAGGGGAGGTTCCTCGACCCTGGTACTCAGGCGCCGGGGGCCGCCTACGTTTTTTGGGCCGGGAGCCCCGCCTGCCCTTGGGGCCGTTCGTAGGGGAAAGGGAAAGCGGCTCTTGCGGCTTTTGCCGCGTATACAGCTGCGCTATCCGCCTACTTTTTTTGGGCCAGGAGCCCCGCGTGCCCTTGGGGCCATTCGTAGGGGAAACGGAGGCGGTTCTTGCGGCTTTTGCCGCGTATACAGCTGCGCTATCCGCCTACTTGTACTTTTTTTGGGCCGGGAGCCCCGCCGGCACGGGGGGCCGTTTGTAGGGGAAAGGCGAGGCGGTTCCTGTGGCTTTTGCCGCGTATACAGCTGCGTTGTCCGCCTACTTTTTTTGGGCCGGGAGGGACGGAGCGGGGCCCCGCCGGCACTCGGGGCCGTTTGCAGGGGAAAGGGGAAGCGGTTTATTTTGTGGCTTCTGCCGCGTATACAGCTGCGCTGGACGCCTATTTTTTTTGGGCCCGGGGAAGCCCCGCCGGCACTCGGGGCCGTTTGCGGGGGGAAGGGGAAGCGGTTTTTGTGGATTCTGCCGCGTATACAGCTGCGCTGGCCGCCTACTTTTTTTGGGCCGGGGGAAGCCCCGCCGGCACTCGGGGCCGTTTGCAGGGGGAAGGGGAAGCGGTTTTTGTGGCCTCTGCCGCGTATACAGCTGCGCCGGCCGCCTACCTTTTTTGGGCCGGGGGAACCCCGCCGGCACTCGGGGCCGTTTGCAGGGGAAAGGGGAAGCGGTTTTTGTGTTGGCTTCTGCCGCGTATACTTACAGCTGCGCTGGCCGCCTACTTTTTTTGGGCCGGGGGAAGCCCCGCCGGCACTCGGGGCCGTTTGCGGGGGAAAGGGGAAGCGGTTTTTGTGGCTTCTGCCGCGTATACAGCTGCGCTGGCCCACTACTTTTTTTGGGCCGGGGGAAGCCCCGCCGGCACTCGGGGCCGTTTGCGGAGGAAAGGGGGAGCGGTTTTCGTGGCTTCTGCCGCGTATACAGCTGCGCTCGCCGCCTACTTTTTTTGGGCCGGGGGAAGACCCGCCGGCACTCGGGGCCGTTTGCAGGGGAAAGGGGAAGCGGTTTTTGTGGCTTCTGCCGCGTATACAGCTGCAATCGTTGGCCGCCTACTTTTTTTGCGCCGGGGGAAGCCCCACCGGCACTCGGGGCCGTTTGCAGAGGAAAGGGGAAGCGATTTATTTTTGTGGCTTCTGCCGCGTATACGGCTGCGCTGGCCGCCTACTTTTTTTGGGCCGGGGTAAGCCCCGCCGGCACTCGGTGCCGTTTGTAGGGGAAAGGGGAAGCGGTTTACTTTTGTGGCTTCTGCCGCGTACACAGCTTCGCGGGCCGCCTACTTTTTTTGGGCCGGGGGAAGCCCCGCCGCCCGGCACTCGGGGCCGTTTGCAGGGGAAAGCGAAGCGGTTTATTTTTGTGGCTTCTGCCGCGTATACAGCTGCGCGGGCCGCCTACTTTTTTTGGGCCGGGGGAAGCCCCGCCGGCACTCGGGGCCGTTCGCAGGGGAAACAAAGGGGAAGCGGTTTTTGTGGCTTCTGCCGCGTATACAGCTGCGCTGGCCGCCTACTTTTTTTGGGCCGGGGGAAGCCCCGCCGGCACTCGGGGCCGTTAGTTTGCAGGGGAAAGGGGAAGCGGTTTTTGTGGCTTCTGCCGCGTATACAGCTGCGCTGGCCGCCTACTTTTTTTGGGCCGGGGGAAGCCCCGCCGGCACTCGGGGCCGTTAGTTTGCAGGGGAAAGGGGAAGCGGTTTTTGTGGCTTCTGCCGCGTATACAGCTGCGCTGGCCGCCTACTTTTTTTGGGCCGGGGGAAGCCCCGCCGGCACTCGGGGCCGTTAGTTTGCAGGGGAAAGGGGAAGCGGTTTTTGTGGCTTCTGCCGCGTATACAGCTGCGCTGGCCGCCTACTTTTTTTGGGCCGGGGGAAGCCCCGCCGGCACTCGGGGCCGTTAGTTTGCAGGGGAAAGGGGAAGCGGTTTTTGTGGCTTCTGCCGCGTATACAGCTGCGCTGGCCGCCTACTTTTTTTGGGCCGGGGGAAGCCCCGCCGGCACTCGGGGCCGTTAGTTTGCAGGGGAAAGGGGAAGCGGTTTTTGTGGCTTCTGCCGCGTATACAGCTGCGCTGGCCGCCTACTTTTTTTGGGCCGGGGGAAGCCCCGCCGGCACTCGGGGCCGTTAGTTTGCAGGGGAAAGGGGAAGCGGTTTTTGTGGCTTCTGCCGCGTATACAGCTGCGCTGGCCGCCTACTTTTTTTGGGCCGGGGGAAGCCCCGCCGGCACTCGGGGCCGTTAGTTTGCAGGGGAAAGGGGAAGCGGTTTTTGTGGCTTCTGCCGCGTATACAGCTGCGCTGGCCGCCTACTTTTTTTGGGCCGGGGGAAGCCCCGCCGGCACTCGGGGCCGTTAGTTTGCAGGGGAAAGGGGAAGCGGTTTTTGTGGCTTCTGCCGCGTATACAGCTGCGCTGGCCGCCTACTTTTTTTGGGCCGGGGGAAGCCCCGCCGGCACTCGGGGCCGTTAGTTTGCAGGGGAAAGGGGAAGCGGTTTTTGTGGCTTCTGCCGCGTATACAGCTGCGCTGGCCGCCTACTTTTTTTGGGCCGGGGGAAGCCCCGCCGGCACTCGGGGCCGTTAGTTTGCAGGGGAAAGGGGAAGCGGTTTTTGTGGCTTCTGCCGCGTATACAGCTGCGCTGGCCGCCTACTTTTTTTGGGCCGGGGGAAGCCCCGCCGGCACTCGGGGCCGTTAGTTTGCAGGGGAAAGGGGAAGCGGTTTTTGTGGCTTCTGCCGCGTATACAGCTGCGCTGGCCGCCTACTTTTTTTGGGCCGGGGGAAGCCCCGCCGGCACTCGGGGCCGTTAGTTTGCAGGGGAAAGGGGAAGCGGTTTTTGTGGCTTCTGCCGCGTATACAGCTGCGCTGGCCGCCTACTTTTTTTGGGCCGGGGGAAGCCCCGCCGGCACTCGGGGCCGTTAGTTTGCAGGGGAAAGGGGAAGCGGTTTTTGTGGCTTCTGCCGCGTATACAGCTGCGCTGGCCGCCTACTTTTTTTGGGCCGGGGGAAGCCCCGCCGGCACTCGGGGCCGTTAGTTTGCAGGGGAAAGGGGAAGCGGTTTTTGTGGCTTCTGCCGCGTATACAGCTGCGCTGGCCGCCTACTTTTTTTGGGCCGGGGGAAGCCCCGCCGGCACTCGGGGCCGTTAGTTTGCAGGCGAAAGGGGAAGCGGTTTTTGTGGCTTCTGCCGCGTATACAGCTGCGCTGGCCGCCTACTTTTTTTGGGCCGGGGGAAGCCCCGCCGGCACTCGGGGCCGTTTGCAAGGGAAAGGGGAGGCAGTTTTTGTGGCTTCTGTCGCGTATACAGCTTCGCTGGCCGCCTACTTTTTTTGGGCCGGGGGAGGCCCCGCCGGCACTCGGGGACGTTTGCAGGGGAAAGGGGAGGCGGTTCTTGCGGCTTTTGCCGCGTTTACGGGTGCGCTACCCGCCTAATTTTTTTTGGGCCGGGAGCCCCGCCGGCACTCGGGGTCGTTCGTAGGGGAAAGGGGAGGCGGCTCTTGTGGCTTTTGCCGCGTATACGGGTGCGCTACCCGCCTAATTTTTTTTGGGCCGGGAGCCCCGCCGGCACTCGGGGCCGTTCGTAGGGGAAAGGGGAATCGGTTCTCGTGGCTTCCGAACCAGGGCCCCTGGTGCCGCCTGGCTAGGGTGATAGGAAGATAGCGACCTGCCACACAACCATCGGAAACGAAACGGAACCCCACTTGAGCTTTAGTCTCATCCTTTTCGGAGAAAGGGTAGGCGAGTCTGGCGCGCGAAATTTTTCGAGGCCGCAGCTCTTTCTCTTTCAGGCTGTCGCAAAGAAAAACGGATGCGATTGTGTTTCGTTCCATCGGCTTCTGCGCTTGCGTGTGCGACGTTGCCCGCTCCGATAGGCAAAAGCTTTTTTGGAGCCGGCGCCCCTCTCAGGCCCTCTTTGATACGACCACGAGCCTCCATGTTTTGCAAGAACCAGAACACGCAACATTCGACCTGTCGCGTCCACATGATTCTGGCTGTCGTACCTGATCAAGTCTATCTGGCCGGAGCTGTTCGCGTACTTCTAGTACGGACCGCTTGTAATTCACTCATCTGGTGGTGGTCCACCGAAGATCCTCTACCTTCAGGTTCAAAGTTTTTGTTATACAGAAATGCATTGCTGACGGCCTTTTCCTGCGCACAATTCACGAAGTGTTAACTACGTAATAGTACCCTTTGATTTTGAACCTTCCGCACGGGTAACAACATAAAAGAATGAATGCCTATAGTCTTTGCAGCACACAGACCACACAGGGTGATCCTCATTCCATGGGGCTGGTAGCTCTAGATGAGCTAAAAGCGTAGAGCTGCAACTTGTTAGATGTGAATGTAGTGATTGTCGTGTATCTTCACCGATAGGATTAGGAAGGAAAAGAAGATGCAGGTCCTCGCAAGAACAACTTGCGACCAGAGCGCATGAAATAGCCAAGGTGTTGCTGTATGTTCATCACGGCGAAGCTCTGAAACTCAAGCGGGACATGGCGACAACCTCTCATCGATGCGCTGCCCTCGTTCTGGTTCCGCAGCCCCACCGCATCAGCTGCGTGGTGGCGCTGGAAGATCCATGAGCTCCGCTCTCCCATCGTCTCAATGGTATGCATTTCAATTTCTCCCACCCTCGTACCAGGAAAAGTTCTCAAACAAGCAGCGTGATCATTCGTTCTTGGCGTCGTGTCGCAACGCTTCAGGACCAGCCGACACTGGTGGAGTCCTCGCAGTCGTTACTCTCTACCCTGCTGCGACGTACTGCAAGCTCATCTCATCATAAGAAGGACTACACCAGTGTCACGAAAATGCCGAAGCCAGCAGGAGGACCATCGGGATCCGTCCCTTCTTTTTTGCTCTGTCATCGTGTAGTACGTCCTCCCGGAAGTTGTACTACAGGAAAGCACTTTATGCATGTGCAAAAAGCAACATTATTTCCGACGCACGATGTCCTCCGAGAGCGGAATCCGAATCATGCAGATTGCCGTGCCACGAATATGTATATGCACATGCGAATCGGGCGGCGATGGAAAGCCTCCGAAGCGGCAGACCGCTTTCGGGAAAGCAACCGCGGCATCTGGAATCACCCACCACAGCCGGTGGGCGGGTGGTTTAACACTTTCACCGGGATGCACATCATGCCCAACTTCAAGCAGGGCCACCCTACGCCCAACTACCGTCGATTAAAAGCGCGACGGAAGGTGCCGAACCGTCGCCCCAAAATCCACACCGGCGACTGGACGCTAGCCTGCAAGGGGGACGGGACCTTTCACTGGACGCCGCCCTATCCGCCGCGGGTAAACACGTGCCCGGCGGGGCCCTGGCCCCAGCTGCGGAAGCAAAATATCTACCGGGTGCGCAACCCGGAGTTCTTCCCTCTGCGTTACAAAAACGTCGAGTACCTGGCCAAATGGCAACTGACCAGAAAACCCCATGGCAAACAGCCCTACAAAATGCACATTGTCGCCCGCACCGCGCACGGCCATGCGGACCCCAAGTTCGGGGGAACTGATACAAAGAATTCGACGCGGATGGACGTGGACGACGCCGATGTATCCCGAACAAAAGCATCGTACCTAATCGGATAGATTCAGATACAGATTGTACAAAACGACCACCACTTATAGGCCTGACGTTGCAGCTCGCGAAAAATTGTGCACTAAATAAGAGGTGGAAGTAGACCTCAATATTGATGCATCCATTACACAACTATACCAAAAACGTAGAAGACAATGAATAATTTATCTCGTGCCACCATTGACGTTTTGATCTGAAGAGGTATCGGACGTTACGCTTTTTGCAACGCATACGTAGCACAGCAGAACAATATTCCTCGCGGCGCTTCTGACGCGAAGGTGCCACGTGGTGACGTTGACCGAGACAGAAGCGAAGCGGTCCGAGTCAAGCGACTGAAAATGCCAAAGGAGGCAAAGGTGAAGCAGCGCCCTCCGAGCGACTTCGTGGACGGATTTCACGTACAAAGGGGATATCTCGTCGCAAACACACTCACGACCACCCAGCTTGAAAGCAAGACCGTTATTTGGACACCCCTTCCTACACCTCTAGGCGAGGGGGGGGGTTCTGTTTAGCAATGATGAACTTTTGCACGTTCTGTGGCTTTTGATCTTGATTTTTGGGAGCGTCACAGTTTCCAAACTAGTTTCCGGCACATCTTCATCTTATTTCATATACCTGGTTGCCACGACCACCTTGTGGTGCACCTAGTTCATTCGTTGCCTCCCAGCTATGTCATGATGTTGTGAGGGTGGAAACTTGTCATGTACAGCTACCCCGAAACAAAACAAAAGGCGAAAACTTTTGCAGCGGAACCAAGGCAATACCAACAAAACTTTCGTTGCTTAGTTGGGTGGGCGTCCATGTTTTAACACGTGATAGCACTATGGCTTTCATCACGACCCGAATTTTCAATGGGCGCAAACGGCTCGACTGATAGCCGTTATCTTCGCTGTATGCAAAAGCGAGGCGCTGTCTTGGTGCGCAACAGGGCCATCTTCACCAGAAATAAAAATATGAAAAAAGTGTGAATGAAAATGAAAAGCCTATCCTACTACATTCGAGGGCAGAGCGGCTTTGAAAATGAAATCATACCTTTCGAGGCATGGATATTGCGCAGTCATTTGTGTATCTTGACGTTATCTCCCGTAAGATGATGAACCCGCTGCACTTTTTCCGTCGTGCAAAAAATCGCCACTTTAAGAATGTGAATCACACCAGTAAAAAAAACCCTTTTTCTCCCTCGCGGTCTAGCTAGTTCGAAAAATAAGGCAAGTGCTGGGTGGGAGCTCCAAATGCAATAGGTCCCAAAAGCAAATGACAAGGTTTAGACCCAACAAGATTACGCGGCCGCTCGAACTGATGAAGATGCTTCTTCGTTATATTTATTGTCGTTCTCTTTATGTTCATCTTTATTCCCAGCAGCTTCTTTGTTTGTGTGTACGCAGTGCAATGACGACTACACATAAAATAGAAGCTTTGATGTTCGCGGTATCGCTCAATATATGATGGAAGGGGCCCCTCGTAGATTTCTAGGCTCTTGTAGTCAGATATACCTTTTTTCATTTGATCGAGATCATGGTCAGGCTCAGACTCAGTCTTGCTCTTGGGCACAACGGAAGCATCACCTCTTGGTCAGGCGGCATAGTTGTATTGCGGCCTGCTTCCGCGGCCACGCCTTCTATGCTTATCAGGTAGGCTGTGCTGCACGGACACCAGTGCCAGGGCCACTGGAGCTTTCCTTCATTGTACGCATACTTAGAAGTCTCTTTTATCATCTTTCAAGCGAGGCGCACCACGCTTTCTTCTGAAGTTTAATAAATTAAAAATTCGGTATAAATTATTTTCACCTGGACAAGATCTTCTATGTCTGAAATCCTCATCACATACGAAAGCAAATAACTGAGAAAAGCAACACTTTCCACTGCTTCCTCGGAAGTCCTTCGATGAGTGGACAAGGAGCTCCTCAGGGCGGCCACGGCGCCGGATCTTGGCCGTCTGGTGCGCTTGCAGATGAAAAATCGGACGAGGATACATTCACCTCATCCACTTGCCAGTCCGATACGAACAATGCTGATGATTTATTTTCCGCCACGTTCAATATTCCTGCCGCTCCCGCCATGCCTTCGGAAACTGCAACAGCCGACGAACACCAGCAGAACGAGGGCAAAAATCCTCCCTCTGGCCTTGGCGTAGTTGTGGGCAGTGATGCTGCATTAGATGGCGCTATGAATTTTAGTGTCGAGGATGAGACGGGAGATAGCATTGACTTTGCAGCCTTTCCCACGGCAGAACAAGTCGAGGACTTCGCCACTTTTGACGCGCAGGAGGAGGACGCTTTGTTTCCCACCTTGGACGTCGCGGGAGCGGCTCCTGGCAGCGACCCTTTTGATGCAGAGCCGAACTTCGATTTTGGATTCAAGACCGACGCACCACCTCCACCTGGCAGATTCGGTCACGGTGGTATTGGTACCGCCTCGTCCTCCAGGGAGGCGGGGACTTTGCAGGAAGATGATTCCTCTTTTTTCCCAAAAGTGCTGGACCAGGACCCTTTTGCGTGCCTTGACGGAATGGATGAACACGACCAGGATGATTTTTTCGCACCGTATCAAAACATCTTCAGGTGGTGGGAATTTCATTTTGATGTGAACGAAAGAGATGTTCCTAGTAAAAATCTGGCATGCAGGCTCTCTTCACCGATCGGTAACGATCACACTTACACACGACCCTGGTTGGACGTACCTCTTTTCGCCCTACCCTTGTCAAATCGGATATATGTTTATTTGAGCAGCAAATGGCGATCTTTGCCGTTCGATTCGAAGCAAATTATTAACTTGCTCGAGCAGTTTTTTTGCAGATCATGCGAGGAGAAACAAAAGCGCCAGCTGGTGCTTTTCGCTGTACTTATCGGCGGAACAGGTTTGTTCGTGGCGCAACGACGCAGCTTCTCATCTTCAAGAGGCTCAAAGGGTCGGAAGTAGAAATACGATTTTGATACATACAAATTGAAGCGAAAAGAACGCATCGTCGAAAGACTGTTCATCAGGATACAGAAAATTCCGCCTGAGTATTAACGTTCCATATGCCAGGGACCGCCGACTTGTTTCGCTTTGACCTGGAGGACGAGATCCGATTTCCCGGGTTGCGGACATCGAAGTCTCCGTCGGGGTATCCTGTGCAAAAGTATCGTACTCGTACTAATTGTAATCTTGCATGACAAACCTACCTTTTTACCTGAATTAGCAATACAAATTTCATTTTTCTTTCTGAAAGAATTTGTAATGCAATTTGTACTAGTACGATACTTTTGCAATGCATACGGGGGGAGTCGGCGGCGGAGTCGCAACGTCCGAACGAGGGGGTATGCTTCAGCGCCAGCAGCAGAATGGCAGTATGCAAGAATACTTCGGGGGCTTCGCGCCCTCGGAGGCGAGCCGGGCCTACCTGCAACAGAGCAACGACAGAAACACCTTTTCGCGAAAGCTGCTCCAGTCCGCCGGGCAGTCCGCTGGGGACCACCATCCTAGTTTCGACCCGACCGCACCCACAAGCTCTTCCCCCTCGTCGTCGACCTCTATGCAAGGGAGGAGTTGCAAACAGCAGCACGAGCTGAAGTTTGAGTCCTCCCTCGATGCCGACCTGTTTGACGTTGACATCATTTCGGATTCCGTAACCCTGTCCTTCGAGACGTCCGGCTCGAAATCGAATACGCCCACGACCGAGCAGGGGCCGGCCATCAACGACCCGGGTTATCCACGCCGAATTTGCAAAACGTGTCTGGGTAGTGTGGCAGTGCTTTCACTGATAACAGGTGAACCATTGAAGTCGCAGCTAAAAAGTAGAACGTCAACGTCTGTTTATTTATACAAGACAAAGGGACATTAAGAAGCTGCTCATCTTCTTTCTATTGTATTCACGCATGAATCGCAGCAGGAGTCGTGCCATGGTTTAATTTGTTCAAACGCCGAGCTTCTCGTGCCAGAGGGGCATGATTCCGACGGAGTGAGGTGCGCTCGCGAAACCCGTAAAGATGCATGCTCCATGATCATGATTCACGACGCTCAAGCTCAGGCACACACTTCACAGCAACCAGGCATTCAAAAAGCGGTGTGTGGAACTTGCTGACTCTTGTTCAGAACATAACGTTTTTTGCATTCGATGCAGTTGACGAAAAAACCAAAAGCGTAATATCATCCGAGATTCCAGTCGAGGAGGGCCACGACTTGTTGGAGGTAACCCCTTATGAACTGCAAAACTATCGTACTAGTAGTAATTGCAATACAAATTAGCTCAGCACGACAAATGGAATTTGTCATGCTGTTTTGCCTTGGGATGGAGATTTGTAATGCATGATTGCGATTACTACGAGTGCGATACTTTTGCACAGGATACCCCTTTCTCGTTTGTTCACCAGACGACGAGTCCTTCGGGAAGTAGATCCCCTGCGAGCCCCAATGCAAGCCAAGCTGCGGGCGAGGGCGAGCAAAAAAGCTCTTCCGCGTCACCCCTTGCAGTAAAGCAGGAATCGGTAGATCAGGACGGAAGCATCGCTGCGAAGAAAACCACCGAAGTGGTGACACCGCTGCAAACGGCGTCAATACAGAAATTCACCGCGCAACAAGACGTAGAAGCTGCCTCTACTGCTGGAACGGGAGCCACCAGATCTACCGCGACCACCAGTGGGCCAGAAACAGAGGTAGCGGACCATGTGACGAGCGCAGGAAGCAGCGAAAGGCATTCGAGCAACGAAAAAAAATCAGTTGCCTCACCGTCCGGCGCAGGGAGTACACAAAGTCCAAGCGGCGGAGGCCTGGATGGCAGCGCGTTTTCCATTTTCACGGTGGTACGCACTGCAAAAGTGAAAAGCATCGCTCACGCACACACAAAATGCATTGCTTGTGTACGAAAGAATTTGAATCATCGGGCGCTTTGCTGTGTTTTTCAAAGAGGAAATTTTGTCTGCTGATGCTGTTGCTGGACGCGAGGTTTCTATGGCGTCGTCAAACTTGTATTTGCCTCAAGCTGTAAAAAATTTTCCGCGCGCCTTTTTTTGTATTTGATATCCATCATGTTGCACACGTATAGCCCCCCACTATGTTGCACACCTAATGAAATCGCTAGCCTATTCGCAGCGCTTCTCAGTGGCTAAAGACGGAGCTATCCGGCGCTGCTGCTCCACGGACTTGCCTCGGAGCGCCCCTGCAGCCAGGAGGTGCTGCAGCAGGTCCTCTTGCAGTCCAGCCGCTAGACAATGGGCCTCAATCTGTGCAAGTCGGTCGGAGTCGAGGGCGCAAACGGAATCGGCCGCGGCTGCGCCTCCCCTTGTTTCTAATGTCGCGCAGCTGTGCACGCGTGTACCGGCAGGCGCGCGCGCATTTTGCCTTTGCGGCTTTTTCGGCAAAATGCGAAAAGCCCGAGAGCCTTTCGGGAAGGGTTCCCAGAGGGGTTCCGGGACCCCTTTTGGGGAGGGGTAGCACCATCGTGATTCGAAGAAAAAGCAATAGGCTTTTTTTTAGGGTTCCGGGCACCCCTCCGGCTCCCCCTTTTTGGAAGGGCTCCGGAAAGGCCTTCGCGGCCAACATGTGTGCGTGGTGCCTGCTAGAGACGACGAGGCCAGGGCCTGTGTAGACATCTCGCGGGGCGTTTCCAGCCTCACACGCTGACCCAGGCCATAGCGGCAAATAGCTGCACGGAGAGAGCAATCCGGAAAAATGAGAAAAATATTGCGCGCGCCCGGCGTTTTCTAGGTGGAAACATCAGCCACAGAAGAACCCCCAGCGCCCCGCCCCCCTTCGCGTCAATACTCACTTACCTACTGGAGCAGTGTTGCTGACAAGCTAGGTAAAACAAACCGCGTTCAAGTCAGCCCCTCACTAGCGTGCACAGGTTTACTAGCTTTGCGCCGCGAAAAAATGCGCGAAGAATTTTTTTTACGGTCTGAGGCAAATACAACGTTGACGACCCCATAGTTTCTTGCTGGTGTAAACTGGTGTAGTATAATAGAGCGGGCAGATCATGCAGATGTTGCATTAGAAGTACGCTCGACCCCAAAATAGAAATACGCTCGAGACCTTCCTAGTATCATTCACATTCTGACATATTACTTACAGCTATTGTAGGTAGTTTAGGTGATCGCAAAGACGGTGCAAGATCTTTTCCAGAGGATCGGTGGACAGCCTGGACTATTTTAGCGGTCCTGAACTGTGCGACAAGCTGCATGATTACGACGAGGAGAAGTGGGTATTTCGCCAGATTCAGTTCGAGGTCGTAGCGTCACCATCAAACAAAAGCGGAAGCATGATGGGTCTAAGATTCGGATTCGGAAAAAACAAGCGCGAGCAGGTGGATTTTATCCTGCAGAAAATACGAGGACCATACATTTACTTTGTCTGCACGCGAAAATGGCAAGCCCAATCGCAAATAGAAATTCCCGAAATCGGACCTGACAAGTATGGAATGTCGTTGAGGCTCAGTGATTTGCGCACAGGCCACGTGTTTTGGTACTTCTCGCTGTGGACTAGGACTTGCATCTTGTCTTCGGGACAGTGATAAATTATCATGAAATGGAGAAACAGATGAAACAAGCTAGATTCCACGGAGTCATGTTTTCTGCGTGATGCTCTTCGGAGTGGACACAGAGTCGTGGACTTTGTGCACATCGGCTCTCGTGGGGGGATCCTCTGACAGGACAGCAAGCAGCTCGTCCAGCGACCCCACGAGCGAAAGGGAAGAAGCGGCGCTGAATTCGGATGTTGTGTCACCTGCGAATTATAACGTGCAAGCCGTAGTATCGGGATCAGAGAGAAATACCTCGTCGCCGGGGACCACCACGAAGGTCATTGCGCATTCCAAGGAGAAGGAAAGCAGCATCGAGGCGGAGCTGCGGCCCTTGCGAAAAGGAGACGTAGTGATGCTGCTGCACGGCTGTCCACTGTGGGTCGAGCAAGATCTTCCGAGTGTACATTCGACGATGAAAGTAAATAACTCAGACACGGTTTCGGGTCCTGGTTCTCCTGATGCCACGACGCGAGGTGCCAAGAGAGGAACTACGCAGAACCGCTGTGCCGACGAAATACTTCTCCTGCTCAATGGCGCAGTCGTACGTTGGTGGGTCCTGCAGGAAAATTATGCTCCGTACAATCCTGTTCCTGACGCTTACCCTTACGCTAGTTCTAGTGCTAGGATAATATAAAACGCATGGCTTGTTGTACACATTCATACAGCGCGACGAAGGCCAAGCGGAGGCGCACGAGAAAAATAAAAACGAGTTGCAGTGCCTGGTTCCCTACTTGAACGAAAAAGCGAATACAAGTCTGTATGAGGAGACGGTGCTCCAAAGTTGATCCTTGTACTAGTGAGGCAAAAGTAACAGGTGAAGCAGCGGTCTTCTCCGTGTTGATACGTGTGACATGAAGGTGGACAAAGACAATTCTGCAGAGAGTATCACAATCACCAAGCCGGAGGTCAGAGATGAAGGAGATCGAGATGACCTCGGCAACCGTACTGGCAATGATCACGCACGACAGCTGGAAGAAATGACCGAGCAATCAGCTCCTTCGCCGCTTTATGGGGTACGGAGATTTACTTTTTTACATTTGTTTAGAAATGATCCAGCGATGCGCGGCTAGATTTCATCTGGGAACGTACCTTTGTACCTGTTTTTCGATGGTTCGAGATAGGAAGACCACGAAATCACCAGTATTTGATGACGCTGGTGATGTTGATGCAATATGATAGATATCAAGATGCGTATACTCAGCATTTTGACAGAAGATATCGATAGGGAGGTATGAAACTTTTTACAACAGTTTATCTCTCTGCTTTCTGGGTGTGCCGCTGTGAAGACGTTGAGCCCGTGTTCAATGCTGACACTGCGCAATGTGATACGAAAGAAAAGCAATCATAGCTGGATTCTGCGAAAGTCGAACTGGAACCTATTTCTATTTGTCTTGCTTCATTGACGAATACTCTTGTCATGATGGCGTCCTCGATTCCTGTTGCGGAAAGCGGCAGCAATGCCGATGCATGAGCATGACAGACAGATTTTGCTGCATCCTGGTCGTCGGGGACAGGCTGTGAGGTATCTATTTTTGGTGGATTTACTCCCAGCATTCCAACAGTAGAGGAACTTCACCGATTGATTTCATCGGCTCTCTTTTTGTTTGTAATAGTTCGTTCCTATGATCGCTCCCCTGAACCTGATGTTTCTTTGTGATGCAAGAAAGAAGCTCTTGCTCTTACACTCCCATGTGCGGCACAGTCAAAGTCTTTAGTGTTTGTATACCGTTCCAGAGGAGGACGACAGTCTCCCAGGCGTGACACTCTCATATCTGGATGCAGATGGCGTAGACGAGGACGGCGAGGATGAGCAGATGTACGGCGAGTCTCCCTTGGCAATGTCTGCGGCTTTTCCGCGGGACAACCTGGAGCATTTTGGGCTCGGTTCAAGTGATGACGGTATGCGCTGCAAAAGTAACGGAGACGCAACTGTATGATCTTTGTCTTTGCATCCTCAACTGTATTTGGCAGTAGAATGTTGATGCTCTTGTGATGCTAGTAGATGATGAAAGGATGTGGAAGCGAAGGGGAAGCGAAAGCATGCTTGTCATGCAATGAAATGATTGCGAACAGCAACAGAGCAAGATAGAAGCAATGTGCGTACGTTGATGCTTTTGCTTTTGCGCAGGATAAACGTGAACCCTGATACGAACCTTTTTGGAGACTTGGAGATGCAGCACCTCCCAGACGGGGACGCGGTGAACAAGACCGCACTGCTTCCTGGAGGGCGGATCGGAGGCATGAGTTCGAGTACCCGTGGCAACAAGAAAAACTCGCGTCGGGCCTCGACCGGGGCGCACAGCGAGGGCACGAATGGGTCCAACCAGACTGTGCGGTCCCCGAAGAGAGTTTTCTACGAGCGGAGCAACCTGGGGACGGTGCACTTCGGGGACCGCACTGCGATCATTGGACCTGATGGGCACAGTCTGATGGAGGTGGGAACGCATTTCTGGTACGAAGGGGTAGTCGATTTTGTGCGCAACCCCAAGTCCGCACCTCCCGGATCAGGCACAGGGCCAGAGATCATGATCTCGCCGACCTCGACCGCGACCTCTAGTACCACTCCGTCAGCCCATGCTGATGCTCTTGACGAGCAGTCTTTAGGAGTAAGTGCACCGAGTAGATAAGACAAACTTTTTTAACTTATTAAGATTCAATATGTAAAAAATCGGAATCGCTTCTAACGCTGCATTTGATGGTATCCTGAGGCTACCTCCACCTGAATTGCAAGCCTAGGCACAGTGCAATCGTGCTGCATCAAGCTACCGTTATCTGCTGCAGCAAAAAACAAGTAGGAGTGGTATGGTTTGATCTTGATGCACTGCGCGCCACGCACGGAGCGCTACGCTCCTCAACAATATCAATGCACATCATGTTCTAGAGATTCCAATGAGACGAGCGACGAAGTGAGAGGTAATGTGATTCATTTTCATTTAATTGAACAAGATGTAGTAGCTGCAATCGGATCAGGAACTCCTGCCATGGGTGTTTGGGTTTGCATTATTTGATACACATAAGACTAAGATTTTTGCGAGTTCATTGGTGCGTTGTTTGTGCCCGGCCACTTCCTTGGAGGTGCGTTGCGAGTCCACCGCTTCGTGTCAATTAATTGTGCTCTCTCTCTTCTCACACTGTCAGGAGCAAGTAATAGTCCTTGTGCTACATTTATTATATGTGAACCGGGAGGCCGCGGTTGGCCGACTGCCGGTGCTGAGAGTTTCTGCAGCGCAGTGGATAGGGCCGCAAAGGCGCGCGCTCTGCAAGGTATCTCAAGAGAGCCCTCGTTCCCGGGGACGTTGGGGCTATCTGATTCAATCTTGCTGCGATAATACCGCAGTTTCCGTCGTCTAGAAAAAGTGCGAAGCGAGCTACTACGTCGAGGACGACCAGGGTAGGCGGGGACGTCTCGCGCGTCGTCGGCGAAGACCCACGTCCGCTTTGGTGTCAAGCAGATGAAGGACGATTGAGAGCAGCACGCCGCGGATTACGCACCCCTTAAATTGATGATGACGGCGCGACAACAGCGGAAGGCACTGGCGAAAGCCAGCTGTAGCAACACTCTGAGCTTTGCAATGCACGCCTATCTTTTTGCGTTCCATCATTTGAGCTATCTTATTTCGGCCAACAAGCAGTTCCAGCGCAACCGCATTGATGACCCCACCACGGAGGAGGGGCAACCGGCTAGCTCCGGTGGGACCGCCGGGGCCGTGGAGACCGGGAACGCGGGCACGGACGTCACGCTCCCCCATCTGCGAGGTTCTCTTTACGTAGACCAAGCTGGTGTCGTTCCAGCAGGGATAACGAATGCCATCGCAGTGACGCAGGACGGTGGTCAGCAGGGTCTTGATGTGTCTGAATACAGTGGGGCAACCGCTGCAGGTGCGGAGGAAGCAGGAGCAACCTCCGCTGGTGCGGTTCTGGCTGCCAAGCTGTCTGCGCTGGAAATCGCGCCTGTGGATTCATCGGGAGCAGCTCCAGCTCCTCCATCCGGACCTACTACGACCTCTGGAGATGCGTTGCAGCAAAGCGGGCCCTCCTTCACCGCGGACGTTGCCGCGTCGGAAATAAGCACTGCATCCGCTGCTCCGGCACTCGACCTGCGCAAGATTTACACCGGGAGCGTCGAGGATTTGTACGCTTACGAGGACCTGGTGGTAAAGTCCGAATCGGACGAGGGGGGTCCGACTGCAGCAAGCGAGGATCGTGCCAAGAAGCAAAAAGACCTGGACAAGAAAATCGCTGCGGCGTTTGTGGAAGGCGACCGAGGGGAATACGTGGACAAGGACAAAGGCATTGATGGACAGTGACCCCACAATCGGCATCCTAGCGGCGATCGCGTTTGTCAGGCTGGACACGAATGGAGATGGATACATTGACAGCAGCGACGAATTGCCGCCACAATGCGCCGCTCAGGTCGCTGACACTGGTGCGCGCTTGAATCCGCAGCAGTGGAACTGTGCAATGTGCGCTGCGGCCTCCGCTTCCACGTCTTCTGGAAGTCCTGCGGCTACTTCTGGAAGCGCATTCATGCAAGCTGGAAGCAATCAGTCGGAGCTCGTCCGGAGAGGCCACCGTCAATGCAACTTGTGTAATACACTCCGTAGCGCAGCCGACCCAGTTGCTACAACAGTGATATGCATTGCAGAAGTATCGTACAGGTATCGTATAAAATGAATAATATCTTTAGGTGGAACTGGAAGTGGAAAATTTATGATGCAGATTCGGGAATAGGTGAATAGGAAAGCAAATCTCCTTTCATGTTGCAAGGTTGCTGTTTAATATCTTTATACGAGTGCGATAATTTTGCAGAGGATACATATATACCACGGCGAGGGGCGTTGCGGACACGGCGACGGAGAAACCTTGGACGACCGGTAGCGTCCTGACTGCCCTCGCCCTTGCCGGTTGTTGTTTGGGCCGGTGACTACAAGTATCCTTTCGTATCTACTTTTTTTTCTCACCTTCGCCTACGACCTCCATGCCCATTCCTTCGCCCACATCGACTGGAGAAGGCCGCCCCGCTTGCATTGGTTGCCAGCGTTTAAGGTTTCAGATGTTTCGTCGTTTCTCCATCCGTCTTTTCCACAAAACAAATCGAATAGAACAAATAACATACCTCTTTCATGAGATTGAGTTTGAAAACGACGACTACAACGATACGAAGAAGTGCTAGGAGGGACAGCACAATATCAATATTCAGTAGGTACAGACTATTTGTGTTTTCAACCCAATTCGGTCAGTGTTACGACGTAGACGTAGATACTGCCTGAAAAAACTATCGCGCTGGCTGCTAAATTGCTAGCCGTAGCCTGTTTAGCGTAACGGAAAAAAAAGGGGACGACCGAGAGTTGTTTTGAGCTTCTTTACAAAACCAGGAGAACAGGTGCAACGAGCATATGCATCCATAGTGCTGAAAGTTATTGATTTGTAGCGAAACCGAGGCCAGATAAAACTTCCCCTTTCGCTTTTGGCTTTCTCGGGAACAAGGAAGCGATTTTGACTAGTACGTTCAGTAGGTGTCCTCGAGGGGAACACCAGACAGCAACGACAATGTGCTCTATTTGTCACCGACAAACTCATTTGCATTGATTTGGATGTTAGCCGAAGGCGAGGCCGAGCCCGAAATAGTCCAAGGATTTGTGCTGCTACTCGACGGCGTGATACTCACTAAATATAAACTCCTCAAGATTTTTTACTGGACACTCATCACCGCCATCGCCAACGCGACGCGTTCCTTTTCAACAGTTGGAGTTGCAGCACATCATACAAGGAATACCTATAGTGCTCTTGTGCTAAAATGTGCGTCGCGTGAGCAGAGCTACAACTCTCAAGATCGATGTTGCGTCGATCGTGGGCGCCGCCCTGTGTGCCCGGGTTGGCAGAATCGGGCGGCCCCTTGCTGTAGCCCTGCACCTTATCAGTATGTCGGTCCGCAGCCGCATGCTTCTCCTCTTGCTTGTCTGCCACGTCTTCGCCTTCCCGTTGGCGCGTGGCGGCCAGAGTACTGCTGCAGTGTCGGTACGACAACTGCCGCCGGGACCACAGAGCTCCGGAGAAGATGTGGATGACTGCCGCGGGCAAGAGGCTGCGAGCAAGTGCGTGCACGGATGGTGCAACCAGCGGAGGGGAGTGTGCGTCTGCCATGCAAATTTTGGAGGAAAACGGTGCAGTGTATTGCTCGGCAACGAGGACACGGAGACGCCGCATGGCTATCAGGGCAACGGAATGACGCTACCAGAGCAGAAAATTACTAGCAAAAAGCTACATCCTTGAACTTCTGCCACTTGGTGTAAACCACGAAAGGGAAATGAACCAAGTACAAGGCAAGCGCAAATATAGAAGAAATCTATAAAAAATCGCTATTGCCGGGCACCACTCCGGAGGCCGCCAAGTAAATGTCTATGACGATTGGTCATACTAGTACGACGTGTCAAAAGAGTTTCGTTGTGCCTGGCACTAAACTTTTTTCATGCAGCCCATGCTTGTCCATAAGCATATGACAACTTTTACGAAAAGTAAAGACGTGCGAAAAACATGCGAATGAAATAAAGCTTGTGCTGGCTTTTTTCGACAGGATTGACAGAGCTGCCTCACTATGTCACCAGTGACTCCCAGAGCGCTGGTGCGCCACAGCAGTTTCCTGGAGGAGCCGTGGGAGGAGACGCTGACGCAGATGCCCCAAGTCCTTCCACGCTTACGAAAACAGAGGGTACGGCCAAGTTCAATATGACTACGGGAAACTACCAAACCAGCGGAGTAAGTGCTGCGCCACCCTCCGCGGACTTGCTGATGATCAGTGAGAAGCAAGGGGTGCGTCAGGAAATCGCAGGTACCACCGTCGTGCCTCCTGCTGCATCGGAATCGGATCAAGTGTATATAATTGCTGTAGTGTTTGTCTTTGTCTTTGTTCGAAATCCAATCACAAGCAATAGCAATAGCACAAACCGACGCGATCATCGTCGTGTCCCTCCGAGTCATTTGTGACTCGGTGTAGATCGGACGACACTACGTGCTCAACCCCAAATGGTGGCAAAAAAGATCGTATAGTAGCTGTTGAAGAAGAGAAGCTTTAGCAAGTTGATGGAGATGATGCTACGGCAGCGGCTCAGTTTTATTCTACATCTGGCAAATGTCAGTGGCACTGGCACAGTAGGTCGTAATAAGTGACACTCACTGATTATGCAGGCACATTACCGAGGGTGACCGCGCTAACTCGAAGGGAGCGGTCTCGGACACTGCGTTCGGGCAACGCGCTCAGCTCGACGAAGCTACGAAATCGGGAAGCAGTGCGGCTGTTCAGCAGAAAGTGGACGACGTGCCCAAACCCTGGTCAGTTTTGAACCGCGCTGCGGAATTGCAGTCGTCGCTTACACACCTCTTTGCAGCGAGTTCCTCTGAAGGCGCTGCTACAAAGTCTGCAGTGGATACTCATGACGCGGACGCCGGCTTCGTAAGCAAGGAGATTGGGGCTGTGGCACGAGGGCCAGCAATATCCAGCAACCGCGACTCGACACGGGGTAGTCATAGTGTTGCAATTGCAGGAACCGCAACTGGCACCTTTTCCCCGTTTCGCTATGTGCAAGAGGAGTGTCTCCGTCTCGAAGAATAAAGATGCAAGCTAGAAGAAGAGGATGTTCATCAGTCGCTCGACTCCATTCTCGTCCTAGCGATGTTGTCATGGTCCTCGACGACCCACAGTTGGCAACAGTCCGTGGTCCACAGAGTCAGAGCCAGAACCTGAAATTTCGCTATGCATGTCACTTGTTACAACCACATTGATTTTCGGAGCAGGCTTTACATGCCGATGAACATTGTTTCCAGAAATGGGTAGTAGTTGTTTTCCGTTCTACTTCTTCTGTATTTTTCATCATGGAGAGTGGGATGGATATGGAAGAGAACAGAAGAAGATGAAGACTGCTGGAAGACTTGCCATTTGTAAATGCGTAAACCGTATTAAACCTATCCTGTGCAAAAGTATCGTACTCGTATAAATCCGCTAGCGTTTCTGTGCATAAATTGCCGGAGAAGTCGTTGGGAAGTCGTTGGGAAGTCGGTCGCGAAGTTGGTGCGGAAGTCGGTGAGAAGTTGCGCGACGTGCTGGCGTAGTTCTCGCCTCGACGTCGCGCCACTCCGTCGCTGCGGTTTATCTCGTGCTCGCTGCTTGCAGTTGCCACTGCAGCTGCAAGAGCTAGAAGGAACAGCGCTGTAGATAAATGGAACGAGGATCGCGCTCTCGTTCTGCCCGTTTATCTGCAGTGCAGTTTCATCAGTTAGCACGACGGCATCACGCGCAAAGCCGTAATATACAAGAGGCGGCAGACAGCGCGGCCGGCCGTGATGTCTGCGCGCACGCACCTGTCCTGCGTGAAGCCATCAAAGACGGAAGCGAAGGACGGCTTCCCTCGACGATGGAGAGCTGCGCGCGGCTTGGGCGGACAAGCTTTGGACATGTGCAATTCTCCCTCGGCGTCAATTGATTAGCTAATTGATTAACTGCGTATAATTCACGAAGTTAATTAATTGAGAAGCTGCCTTTTATTTTTTTGCACAAGAAAAAGCGACTTTGCGTGCGTCCTGCATCAATTAATGCGCAAATCAGTGCTCCACTTCTCAACAACCTCTCAACAACTTCCCGATGCACTTCCCACCAGCTTCTCGACGAACATCCTGACGATTTTCGCGACAAGCTTCGAGCTTTTGGAGGCATCATGCAAGAATTTTCATGACGCCTCCAAAAGCCCAAAGCAATCCTTTTATGTGGAGGATCCCGCAAGGATCCAGCTGCACGTGAAAAAGATATTTTCAAGCCATCCTTCACAACCTTTAGCAACCGAAGATCACGGGAGCCGAATCGTGACTGCGCAGGCACGCGGCCACGAATCGAGGCCCGGGATTTTCCTTTTGAGTTGTCCTAGCTAGAAGCTTGTGGGGAGTTTCGAGTGGATTTCAGCTCCGCATCAAGCTTCCGAACAACCGCGGCAAGCGGTCTACGCCAACTTCTCAACAGCTGGGAAGTTGGTGAAAAGGTTGGTCAGAAGTTGATCACAAGTTGGTGAGAAGTTGGTGAGAAGTTATTTGCATGCCAGTAGCGTATTTATACGAGTACGATACTTTTGCACAGGATAAAACCACAAAAATGACAATGGAGCAACTTGTTCCTGAGATGTGTCCTGCTCCGACATTCCAACGATCGCAAGTTCTTCTTTTGCATTTTTCCCAGGAGGGGCTGAGACAGCACTTTTGCATTGCACATTTATGTAGGCAGCACGATTCCCACAAAAAAGCTGGAGCTCGATCTCGTGACCGCAATTCATCCACACAAGCACGAACTCGGAATCGCTACGTCTGTAGCAAAACAGATATGAGAGTGCACGAATACAACTGATGCTCCCCGAGCTGATTTGTCATATGCACGACACTAAAGTCTACCTCTCCACTCGTTCTTTGTCTTGTCGCGGCACTCTAGATGAGCGTCACAACTACTTCCGGAAACTTGAGCAGCAGTACCACGAGCTTGTCGAATTTTCATAGAGATGCATGAATGATGCAGCTGAGGCTTTTTTTTCGCATTCATTAGCCGTTGCATCGTTCCGGACAATGAATTCTGTATTAAGCTTCGCTTATCGCTCTGGCGACTGGTCGTGGGTCTGGACAGCTCCTCCATATTATATTAACAGCACCGCTGCCAACGAGCCCCTCAGAAGTGCGGATCCCCTGCTGTGGGAGGAAATCCAAGAAGAAATGACAGTGATGTCGCCGTAGATCATGCCTTTGAATCAAGTACTTACTGCGAAGGGGGCGTAGTTGTGCACTCTGAAGAATCTCATACAAAGCGTCCGCTGACAATAAACGGCGGACGAAAGCAAGCACGTCTGGGCGGACCCCCGGAGGTGCTGCTACTGCGCAAAAGGGTGACCTTCACGAACACTTGCCATCTTCGGCAAAGGCCCGCATCGACGCTCTTTTCGCGAAATCAGATGCGGCGCAGATGAAAGACGTTGCTCGCTCGTCACTGAAAGCTGGTCTCGAGAGCGCTGCAAGAACTTCAGTAGCAGAGGCGGAATTACTAATCAGCGACACCAAGCGGCAGAAGTATAATCCTGCACAGGCAGGTGGTCGCGTCGCAAAACGTGATGGGTACGCGTCAACCAAAAGCAAGAACGGTACCAAGTCTACCTCCGGCCGGGCTGAGCGTAGTGGAACAAGTACTGCATCGGCTGGCGGGGCAGCGGCTTCACCTCAGGTGACGACACTTGATCTCAAAATAGAGAAGCTGCCAAGACAAGTTCTTAACAGACCTAATCCGCACAAAAAGAAAGCGAAGAAGCTGTCTTTTGTTCAAGTCCAAACGGAGGCTGGTAAGAAGCATATTGGGTCAAAGACAAAGCAAGAAGAACCGATGTCCGCTGCCTGGCCTGTTTTTGGAGTGGCGCTGGCACATATCATTCGTGAAATTGTGGTTGCCCTCATCTTCTTCCCAAAGTATTCTGGAAATAATGCATAACTTTAACTGATACTCATGTGTAATCCTGTCTTGCATGCATCAAGGAAGTTGTTGATGTTGGTTGTAGGAGTTGATGAGGACGATGATGCTTTTACGTTTCATGCTAGCGCAACAAGAGCAGCTTTTGGGGTTGCTCACTTCGCAGCATGAGCAAACTCAAGCTGATTCTGAGAAACAGTCGAATGGAGCTGAAACATCGTCGCAACATCGCTCCCAGTCGGTTGCATTGACGCAGGTGTCCTCGTCTAGCGGTCCTGCGCTCGCGCCAGCGACTAACAATGCGGCGATGATTTCGGTACGGTCCGCGCGACACGGCCGCGGCGGTCTCGATGATGCTTTTGAGGCCGTTCCTGAACAGTCATGGCTGATGAAGAATTCGATGTCGCTTTTGCAGAACGAAGAAGCGAACACTTTCGCCAGCCTAAATGCCAGGGGGCAGAAGGGGTCGTCCTCTACAACAGCCGGCGCGGCCTTAGTTCCTTGCAGCGGCAACGGCAAGCTGACAACAGTCACTGGGCCCGATGGGGCGTCGACCGAAGTGTGCACCTGCGATGCGAAATACACGGGCAAAGCCTGCGACACGCCGCGTTGCGAGAAGGACTGCAACCTGAAGGGGTTGTGCGTCGGAGGCATGTGCATTTGCGGCCCGGACACGTTCGGGCGAGCGTGTGATTTTCAGCGGTGTCCGCGGGACTGCAACGGGTTCGGATACTGCAACACCGAGGGAAAGTGCGAGTGCAACCCGGGCTACACTGGACCAGATTGCAGTACTCTGTCGCAGCAGGGCCTTGTCGTGACTCTGAATTTACAAAAAGCGCGGCCACGTCCGAGTCCAACACCACTAAGTCTGATATCTACGCTCCGCAAGCTCAAGTCCAAGCCTTGCCCCGACGCCTGCAGTCACCGTGGCGTGTGCAATGTCGGGACCTGCGAGTGTTACCCCGGATACTCGGGCTTGTCGTGCCAGCACGCGTGTCCGCTATGAGAGCGCACCGCTTGTTCCCCACCCCTTCATTTAGTGGACGAGTGAGAGCCGGGGCACAGACACGCCCCCAACAGAACGAAGTAACGCCTAGACTGGTTCTCTACTTGTGCGAAAATACATCCCCCGACTGTATTGTGGCATTTGCCCCCTTCGAAGATTTTCGTACAGGGTCACGCCGAACTAACGGGCTAGTAGGACATGACAATGACTCAGCACTATGAATCCTAGATGAGAAGGAGGATCGTGAGGGCGGGTTGTGCAACACCATATTTGAACGAGTGCTCACACAACGGGCACTGCATGAACGGGCAGTGCATGTGTTTCGAGGGCTTCAAGGGCGTGGACTGCGCCGCACGCAGCTGTTGCAACGGGCACGGGACCTGCGACCAGCCTGGGCTCTGCGTTTGCGAAGCCGGCTACTCCGGGGAAAACTGCGAGAACAGGGCGCTAGCACCGCCCGCTCCCGTGCTCGACGTGGCTACTTGCGACCCCGGCTGCGGTGTGAACGGTGTGTGCTCGAATGGGAACTGTGTCTGTAAAACCGGATGGATTGGGGCTAGCTGCAGCACGCCCGTCGCATCCTCATGCCCAGACAACTGCAACGGTCGGGGTCTCTGCCTTAACGGCAAATGCAGCTGCAATCAGGGGTGGCAAGGCGAAAAATGCGAATTGCAGTTTCTGGCGGCGGGCGCGCCGGCCGCAGATGCGGCCGGTCCGGGAGCGGGGGGAGGTGCGGGAGGTGGAACCTCGGAGGCGGGGCCGGCGGCGATCACCGGGCTCGGGGGACCGCTGGCGGAGGTCTCAGACCAGGTCTGCGGACCTGACGGCGGTTGCAGCGGGCATGGGCGATGCGATTCGAGTCGTGGTATGTGCGTTTGCGAAATGAAGCTATGCCCCACTCAGATGTTGCAAGCTCAGGCGTCAGACTGCAACTTCCTCAAGAGACATTTCGTAGGGTACTGCTAGCGCAGCATGTTGGTTTTAGTGTCTGTTACGATGAACATGAAATTATAATGTGTATTGCAAAGAGCCTGGACAATTCGATGTCAGGCAATTCTTTATTCTACGCGGCACGACAACGACTACACGTACATGAATCATGGTTGGGGCAGATGAAATTCTGAACACTTGAGTGGGCCATAGTATTGGACGGGGGAATTTTGCCAGGCCCCGCAGTGCCCCGGAAGATACGACGAAACGCTGCGGAAGTGGAACGCTTGCCACGGCCAGGGCGTGTGCAGTGAAGAAGGAACCTGTACATGCGCGGCGGGCTTCGGGGGGGACGACTGCTCTACCCACCAATGCCCCTACGACTGCGGTAGTCACGGTGTCTGTGGAAGTGACGCTACGTGCCTGTGCGATCCCGGTTGGGCTGGAGCCAATTGCCGGGACCCGAAGTGTATCCTGTGCAAAAGTATCGTATTCGTATAAATGCAAGTCTTGCAACATTACAAATCTTGTTACGAAGGTAAATCCGCATGACAAATTCCATTTCTCTTGCTGAGGAAATTTGTAATGCATTTATACGAGTACGAATACGATACTTTTGCAGTTCATAAAGTGCAAGAACGACTGCAGCAGCAATGGCGAGTGCGTGTTTGCGATGCAAGACTCACCCGGCGAGTGCCGCTGCAAAGCGGGGTTTGCTGGAGACGATTGCTCGACGAAAAGCTTCGAGACCACACTGGCCCAGTGCCCGAGCGGGTGCAGTGGCAACGGGCTTTGCCTGATGGGTCAGTGCAGCTGCCAGCCCGGATTCACGGGTAGCATCTGCGAGGTCCAGGAGTGCCAGGATGCGAAGATGATGGGTCCCAACTGCGACCTACCGAGGTGCCCCAGCGACTGCTCCGGTAACGGGGCCTGCATGAACGGCCGATGCACCTGCTGGGCCGAGTACCTCGGAAACGATTGTAGCATTCCCAGTACCTGCTTTGAGCCGTGCAAAAGCAAGTGTGAGGTCGACAGCAGCTCCGAAGCTTGTCGGTTCTGCGTGGGGCAATGCTCGAGCCTTGCGGCGCACCCAGTCCTGGGCACACACTCCCCGTTCGAAGACCTGCAGTCCAGCCTGTTGCAAGAGCAGCCGGAAAAGATTCTGCAACCGATGAAGAGTCGCAGAAGCGCCGACCACGAAGAGGTATACGCTCGGGACGTCGTGTATGGCATGTAGCCGAGCCCGGCGGGAGCGACATCTTCAAATCGGGAATGTATCAAGAGCAGAACGAGTACAATGAAATTCAAACTACAACACTTGAAGAACGCATCGCGTCAGAGTCATTTTTCATGTAGTCGGTTCGCCAACAGCTCAAAATGGACTCCGTTGTCGACTTGATAATCTGTACGAATGTATTTTTTTCCAATGAAGCAGAACAACTGAAAATGAAGCAAAGGTGACGAGGCATTTTTTACTCTTGCAAAGGCAAAGCGGACCCAGTTGCGCTGCTGTGTCTTTTTGTGCCGTTTGCAGCTGTAACTACAGCAACCAGGAGGAGGAAGAGGAACGCGTGACTTTTTCTTTTTACTCCTCGACACAAAGAAATAATGTCTACAAACGACGCGCAGGCGCACGCGCAGACGGTGAAAGATACAGAGCGTAAATCGTACCAAACAAATGTATGATAATCTTTCGCTGCCGCTAATGACGGCAAATGTCTGAACATTAAATGGCGCTTCGAAGAAATCTCTTGATTTGTGTCCAGCTAGTCGCGGTTGCGTACCACCTCCGCGATGCATATTGAGTTGTGCTCGCGGTACCAGCAGAGCAGGAAAAATGCGCAACCACTTGTCTCTATCCTGTAAAGGAGCCCTCGCACTGTGACGAGCACAGAGGAAGATATTGCCATCGCTGACTTGTTGGAAGTTATGCATTTGCCTAGCGTATTAGTTAGAATTCTGGACATGGTGCCAACTCATCTTGCTGGAAGCGGTCCAGCGTATAACAAAGCATCTCAAGCACAAGGCTGGACAGCGAGCAGCTTTTGAAACTACTAGGAGAGGTCATATATTTTAGCTTCCTGCTACTTTGCACTGCAGGTACAAATGCTGTGGTGTACAGACCACTTTTTTTGCTAAAAAGACTTTGACCTTGATTGAATCTGAGTTGAATGCCCATTGATTTGCCATCCGGTCAAATTCGTATGCAATCTGCCGTCGGGAAACATCAAAGAGATATCTACTTCATCAAATCATGCCGGGAGGTATGGAAATGACAAGGGCTATCGCAAGCAGTTGTTCGTGCAGTTTTGTTGTTATTTCATCAAGACACGATCCTAGGCGTAGTCTGTATAGCAGGTCTATCCGCAAAACAAGTATTGCGGTTCATGCTCATCTACTCACTGCTGCATCAGCATCATGACGGAACTCATGAAAAAAAGAGTGAGACGGTTTCCGTTTCTTGCATGCTGAGCCTACGTAGTATTATTGCCAGAACTTCCAGTGGTGATAGAGCTTTTCGGCATTTCCATACGTGTATTCGAGTCCATTTCGTTCGAGAAGCGTCGCGCTCGCGACCGCATGGTGTTCATGTACTACGACAAGACCGGGAAGGGCGTGTTAAATAAACAGAACACATTTCTTGCCCTGCAAGCCGGCGGGGCGCTGGTGACAGAAGCCGAATTCGCGGCGATGGTGGAGGCCAAGGGTGCGTACGGGATCCCCCTTGAGTTCAGTACGAAGAAAAATAAAGGCGTCAACTTCGAGCACTTCGGCGAGATCTTACAAAAATGCATCCTCCGGAATTTTCGCGACGGCGTCTTTTCGCCGGACGTGCTGCGTGAGCGTTTCCGTATGTTTATCGACGAAAGGGACACAGTGTCCATGGAGGTAATCAGGTACATCTCGACCAACCTCGGAGAGAAGCTGACAGCAGAACAGGCAGACACCTTGACTCGTACAGCCTACTCAGGTGTTCTTACAAGCATCAATCTCAGCCGCCGCAACGAAAGCTGGTCTTGCATGAATAACACTTACAGTGCGAATTTGAATACTGGATTCTGACTCTGCTCATACCATGCGGTTTCATCTTGATGAAGATGAACATCTCCAGTTCCAGAGCCATACCTTTCCACCCGAATTCCTCTGAGCAGGATGGGCCTGTGTATGCAGCTCTTGTCATCACAAATCTCCAAAAGCTTCAAATCGTGACAGTTGTAGTTGAGACCCTTCTTGCGCGACCACCTGAGCCAGCTATAATCTGCGAGCTGGACCCAGACCAAGTGGGCAGAATACCGTTTCAACGCCTCTCAGACGCCCTGCTTTGCTGACGGTCACGTCCTTTGGAATGGCGCAAGCACATCATTTTTTTTGCGGTTGAATCGATGGGCGATCTTCTATGTAGTTGCTGTTGCGAAAGCGAAAAAATGAAATTAAACGGAAGAATCAATGTGCTGGTGAAAAATCATACCGACTTTTTATGTTTGGATGCCGACATACATCTTCGTCTCTATCCTGAGACTGATGCACAACCTCGATGGGAGGTTAGTTCCAGGCTTGTTGTGTTTGGTGCTTGATGTTCCCTTCTTTCAACATACATCTGAAAAGCACACAAAGACAAAAGCATACATGCAGTAACTGAAAATTCCAGTAGCCAGTGTAGGAACAGGAATATCTGCAAGCTTGCTCATGATTAGCACAGCAGATCCATGCGCGGAGTGTAGTATCGCATCATTCATTCAAAGAGACACTTTGCTATTTATTCTGAAGATTGACAGCAGTAAAGCAAAGCATGGCAACATTGGACAGATGCTGTACCATTGTTCATTTACATTTTGTTTATTGATTTGAGATAATATCAATGTGCATGGCATCTGCATCAACTGACATTGAGTGGGGCTTGGGCACAAAGATCGAAGGAAGTTCTTAAAAGTGTAGCATTGAACTGCTGCAAGAAGCGACTACAAGTACACCATCAGACAATACTAGCAATAGTCGTAGTTTAGCATCCGAGTGCCTCACGACTTTCCTGGCTGTGCGCAGGACCATGATGCCCTCTATGGTTTTTTCCGGGGGGCCTAAGAAGGGTGTTCGCCAAGGGAACGAAAAAGAAAACTGGGCTAGTGCTTTTCTGCCAGCCGCGTTGCGTGGAGTCTTTCATGCACCAAGGGAACACCAGGGGCAGGACGCATCCGCGCGGAGGCCCCTGGCAGAACGGGCGACGTCTTTCTCGAAGCGTTGCAGCCAGGGCCAACAGGGAATCAACAACGACACCAGGGGCGCGCACCAAGTTGTGGACGCTGTGGATGTGGTAGATCCCAGTGCAAACCAAGCGGGTATCGGGCAGAACCCATATCAAGCAGCAGGGAAAGTGCAAGAGCGCACTTTGTTGGGCACGCGCGTTTTGGTAGCTTTGCCACCGCCGGCTGCAACGCCGAGAGCGGGCTTTCAGAGTCCTTTCCTGCCACCGAGAATTGCGGGGCTCGCGCCGCCTCCTAGTACAGGGGGGCGTCCGCCGGGAGGTGCCGAGGTCGGGATAGCAGCTGTTGCTGTGGAGCCACACGCACTATCATTACAGCCAGGTGCGCAAATAAGGAATGCAAGGGGAACCAGTTGCACCTCTACGAACAGATCGGAACAGCTCTGTGGAGGAGCGTCGCGACGAGAGAACTTGCAGTATCCACGGAGCAAATGTCATTTACCTTGGTGCATGTTGTAGCACTGTACATCCTGACTTTGCGGTCGAGGTCGTTCTTGCATGAACATGACCAAACACCTTGTTCTTCACTCTTTCAATATTCTGCAGTTTCGGACTTTTTGTGTACTGGTAGTCGTCAAATTGCTATTGCTATTGCGGTGAGGATCTACCTTGAATTTTCCTTCTTGTTGTGCATGTGTCCTCCGGTAAACAATTTGCGTGGCATATCACGCGGGAAATCAGCATAACAAGCAAGAATACGACAGCGAGCTCCTCCAAAACGGCGCTCGGCTGTTCCTCCACTTCTTCCTCCGAAGCATTCTACGCATTGCAAAACTATCGTAAGCGATGCGAACATCTGCATTTTTTTGTCCAAATTCTGCGATTTTAGTTTTACGTACACCAGTTGTTGAATAATTCTTTGCAGAAATCATGGCATCAAAGAAAAAAATTCTATATGTACATGCCACCAACGAAGGTGCGGGAACGTGCTTCCAATCGTCACTGCAAATGGTACGATGTACGTGGTCTACAGTGATACTTTTGCAATCCATATCCAGGCCAGCAGCACAAGTTGCTCCATTCCGATTGCCGTCGACGTAGATCTTAGCAAGCACCCGGGTTTATCATGTGCGAAACAGTTAGCATAGCGCGAAACTGCTCACATTCGTTGTCGCGTTGGTCGTGACTCAAGAAAGATATATTTGAGGAGGCCAAGGTCAAGTGAAGTGCTTGACCCCGCATCCCGTTGCAATGTTTATGGGAGTGCACAGTGTGGTCAATTTCGAAAAAATAGACCATGCATCGATCATTAACTACGTCTACGTCAACATCGTACTATGATAGCCCACATTGTAATTGTATCACATCTTGAGGCTGAGATCCAGGCAAGTTTTGTTCTTACTACTGACCGATGTTGAGTAGAAGGTGTTGTTATGGTTCTTTGCATGCTGTCAATCTCCATGTGCATGATGCGATGCTAGCAATGGTTGTAATCTGCAGGCGAATAATCCCACTCGAGGAACCGGGCAAGCGACAGTGTCGACGATGTTGCCGACAGGGCGGAACCGTGCCGATCGAAGATCAGTCCTCAGCAAGAACGTAAGGCAAGCGTGCCCACCCCATCGGCCCCTGCAGTGGTAGTTCCGCCACAAGAGCGGGGTCCGGAAAACGATGGCGACACCTCCGCAGAGTGCACCTCACTGCGGCGGCCGCGGGCTCTATCCTGTGGAAAAACGCGATCAGGTCCCGAGAGTCTAACCATGAATGCGTCGTAGTAGTACAGTCGTTTAGTAGTATTATTTTCTAAGGATGAATCCAGAAGATGCGTAATTTTTCTACCACATCGAGCACAAGTCAACTGACAGTTTGTAGTATTAATCTTTGGAGGACACTACATATGAGTGCGAGTACTTAAAAACATCAACTACAGAATAGTGAGAGTTCTGCATCTCTGTGACCGTCCGCAGTACTAGTCGGAAATGAGTGGTCATGCCGTGCGTGTATTCTCCGAGTTTCCCTTGGCAACTTCGTCAACTTCATGTTCTTGACTATGGGGCGGAGACGTGTTTGCACAGGATAGGCAACCAAGAGGCGGCAGCTGTCCAAGGAAAGTCGATTTCCGCGTCCCGAGTCCTTTCCGCACCAAAGGTATCTTCATGAAAAGATCCCCTCTCTCCCCCCACACACACACACCCAACGAAGAAGATTTTTGCAGTTGAAAATGCAACAGAAAGAAGAGGCTGTTTTTGCCCCTCATGCAATACGCACTGAAAGCTGGCAAGCAGTGTAATAGACCTGCGTACTCAACAGTCGCACAGAAGCGACAACCGACTCGAAGACTCGTCCTCTCAGCACAGGGAAGGGGGATTGCTTTTTTCCTCGTGATAGGAGGGTTGATGTCCGCACAGAGTCGATGTTGGTACCCGTGGGTACCCAGGCGCCCCACACTCGAGAGGCCTCCATCGACGAAAGTCGTCATCTCCGCCGACTTCGCGATGACAGTGAAGATGACAGGAGTTGGACGCCAGGCCATCTTCATGGTCAGGAAAACCGTCCGGCGGGCGGCCGGTTCGGAGTTGATCCTTCATTTTCATCCGCCCTACAGAGGTTCGGTGGCGCTTCCACTTGTGCAGTTCCACCATCAGCAGCGGCCCGACGCGCCCTCCACAAACCCGCCGGAGACCACGATCAGGCATGTTGCATCGGACTGCCACATCATGAGCCGCGAGGAGATGTCGAAGCGTCACAGCACCTGGTAAGACCGAGAGACAGGAACGAAATGCAGTTTCTTTCCACAAAGGAAAAAGTGGCACATCTTAGCAGGGACGAAAATACCGGGAATTCATCATCGACAAGGAAGAACGACTCTCCACCCGATGAGCGCGGTAGTCCGCCGTCTGGCAGCTCGTGCGCGTCAAGCAGTCTTCAGGTGGGCGGTGTCTTTCCCACAACTGGATCTTTCTCTTTTTTGCCGCTGGGGCGCATAAGCGAGCGCACGGCCACCAACCATTTTCCACCCTTGAGTGCGCGTTCGTCGACAAGGGCAACGAACACCACGGCTGGGACGACCTTCGCCGCCAGCAGGAATCACTACAGTATTTTTTTTAATTCGGCGTCTACTTTTTTATTACTTTCTTGAGTGTAACGGGCACCAGTACTGCCGTTTCTTCTGTTTGATTCGCTTTCAACAAGGCCCCAGTGATAGATACGCCACGGTTGCCTTCGCTTTGTTGTACGAAAACGGTAATCGTAGCAATCTGAAGGAGCACAAAACAGAAAGAGCGAGACGATCATCGTGAGGAAACTGCCTTCTTTGCGTTGTGACAGACACCCTCCACGACTACAGCGAACTCGGTTTAGAAGGCGCTCAAAAAAGCAGCTCCGGCTCGCCTTTCAAAAATGTACTTTGTTGCAGCTTGTAAATTCTATCAACATGATTTTGCAGTTCCGCCCGGGGCGCGTTCGGTCCAGATGCCAAAACGAAGCCTGCTGTTTGGCGAGACGACCCGAGATGTATCGTCTTCCCGTACTTCTAGACAGCTTCCTCGCGGCGACGAAGATCTCACCGACATCACGAGTAGAGTACCAACACAAGAAGCTGCGCATATCGTTCAAGATATTCCTCCCGACTCCCGCTCGCAAATTGACTCTCGTTTTAGTATTGTCAAAAATGGCCGTGCGTAGACAAGTTGTGTATGATTTATCTTGTCACGGGCTGAAGAAGATAAGATTAAAAAAATAACATAAGTGAGACTAAGAGCGAATACTGCAGGGTAGCCGCAAGCCCCTGCAGCATTGTAGGAGACCAGCTGCAGCTCGGTGTAGTAGGCGCGTCTCCCGCTGCAGGCTGTTGACTTGCAGCATGAGTTTTCCCAACATAAAATGTGATGGTAAAAGCACAACGGCTACCGCCATGCTGTGCAAAACAAGCCAGCTGTCTTGTGGTAACACTAATGAGAAAACAGATTCTGCTACGTTGAGTAGTACAGTTTCCGAGGTTGTAGTGTGCTGCACATCCGTTGGGGAATGTTTCCTGTTGATAGCGCAGCCTCCGAGCTCCTACCAGTGGAACTACGCAGCGGGCAGTCGCAGTGTGGCACCCCCGATTCGGACGCCACCGTCCTCGTGCCCGGGGGCACAGCGCTCGGGTGCACAGACCGTGGCCTTTCCTAGCTACAGGAGCACGAGGACGAATTGCTCCGGCGGTAGTACTGGTGGACCGAATGCTCGACCAGGCTGGCCCAGTACGACCATGGGTACTCGGACAATCCGAAGTACCACCACCCCACAACAGCGGCAGAAAGTGCTACCCCCACAACCACTTGCCACCTGCACCGCCGCGCCGGCAGCAACGACCGCGATCTTTCCAGCAGCGATGTCCAGTTGCAGCAGCAGACCCCCCGCCTGCTTCGCCGGGGCTTGCGGAGAAGCACCGGGCACTGGGTCGAGAAATGCCGGTGGAAGGCCGAGACGAGATCAAGATACGTCGGCTCCTCCCCCCACTGCTGCAGCGAACGCAAAGGCCAAGTCTACTGGCAAGACCAAGATGTTTCCAACGTCGTGTCAGCCGCTGGTGCAAGGCCAGAGTTCTTGGCAGTCGGAAAAAGACGTGGCCCGTGTAATTTCTTCGGCTCCGTCTTCTTCAAGACAAATCCAGTTCCGAGAACCCGTGCTTGAGCTTGCACAGGTGCCAAACAGGGTGATTGGTTCTGGCACAAGTCGAGGACGCGGAGGCGGGGATGATTCCTCTTGCAGCCCCGATTCTTTTACCACCGCGGCTGCCGAGTCCGTAACGCCGCCAGTGGCTGCCCCGGCTGCGGACCGCTCGGCCCCCGCGACAGTTGGCCCAGCGGGGACGCAGCAGGACGTCGCGGGAAGTAGCATCGCACTTCTTCAGAAACAGACGGCGAGGCCATGTAATAAATCCGGGACTCCTTGTCCAGGCAAACAGCAACCATCACAATCAGGCGGTGCACTCGGGCTTTCACAACCAGCAGCAGAAGTGGATAAAGATGAACACGACACGGTGGCGGTGGTGGGGATGTCCTCCACTAGCGGCGACCCCACCGAAGCAGTAGCAGAATCGTGTAGAAGCGACCGTGCGGTGGATATTAACGTGACTCCGACTTGTAGCAGCAGGATTTGCAGCAACGTCAGTCTCAATGTCAATGCGAATGGCTATGCCCTGTCTGCGCCTGCTGGTCCCGTGGCTCCGCCGGAAAGGACGTGCGTGGAAGTCGAGCCGGTACGTCGCACGAGCGACAGTATCTCCGAGGCAACGGTTTTGCTGCATGAGCAGGATCTGATGGTAGTTCCAGCCGAGACCACCACGTCGATGTGCAGCTTCGGCGCACAGACCCAAGCAAACGCGGGGAGGAAACAAAACGAGCCGCAGATGAACAACGCTCCCGCGCAGAGCAAAGCGCCAGCGGCGGCAGACCGGGAAGATGAAATAACAGGAGAAGGAGCAGCAAGTCCCGGACAAGTACAAAATCACGCAAAAGGGTCAGTTTCGTTGAGAAGCAGGCAGATGATGAAACATAAAAATTGCCTATTGACCAAAAGTGAGCATGCGACCCTCATGCGAGTTCCACGCCACCAAGAAACGGCTGCTGTTGAAGAGGAGAGAAATCATCAAGATGATTTTTTTGTTGGTTGCGTTCCAGAGGAATTCGATGCGAACGAGCTGGAAGAGCTTGAAATGACCGCGGCTCGTCCACCTCATCCTACTGACAGCACTGTCCCGAATCGAGTACCGGAATCCGCTGGTCCTCCGGCCGCTGGTACCGCACCAGTCGGTGCGCCCGGCGTGGCGAAGGCCCGGCCCTGGGGCAGCGCGCTGATCGAAGGTAGAGCACTTTTTTCCGGCGGTATGCGTTCTTTTACTCCGCGTACGGTAGCGGCCGTTACAGATTGCCCTTCTACTAGTTGCACAGGTGTCGCTACTGTGCGGGCCGATGCCGAAGCAAGTAAATCCAGGGCCGGGATCGGAAACGATCAACGACCCCCGCGCACTGGAACTGGTCCAAGCCGCGCGACCGGTGCCAATGGAACCGCCGTGAAGGTAGCCGCCAACGGAAACGCAACTCACTCGGGTCACTGCGTGACTAACGTCCTCACCGGTACCACTACGCAAGCAGTAGAGGAATTACAGCACGTGCCGGATATTGAAGCGCACCGGCAGCGCCACCCCTATCAAATTCAAACCACAGAGTCAGGTAGTGACCGCGACGCGGGTCGTCCTGAGCGGAGTGCAGTTCTTGGATCAAACCCTCGCCCTGCGGCGAACTCAAAATTCATTCAGCAGAAGCCGTCCTTTGCCGCACGGCCGGGGTTTCTGTCGCCGCCGTTTGCCTATGCTGATGTGCAAAAGTATCGCAGTCTTCTTTTTACAAGTACGTACACATTGCATAAATTACAGCAGAAGCAGATGCTTTCTCTTTCGTTTTTATCGGGCTCGGGTGGAGCATTGAATGCTGTAATATGCTGTACTAATTCTAATACGCTTGTTGCGCCTGTACGTACTTTACAACTACACACAATCGCCGCGGTATATTTTTGCAATGTATACAAGCACCCGTCCCCCGATCTTCCAGAAGGTAATGTCCACTTCCGGGTTTCTCAGCCCGCGCCAAGGGGGTGATCTTGTCACTATCCATTTGAAAAAACGAAATCTCCACTCGTTCGAAAGGTGCTGTGCGCGAATTTCTCATAAATATAACACCCCACTGTTATGATCGCTTTCCTGCGCCTCGGCGTCGCAAGGTGAACAAGTGTAGGGTACTTAGGAATTGCGAAGCTTTTTCATGATCCACCTCTTGGGTGCACTACCAGGTGTGTGTCTTTTTGCTTCCTTTGACCATGTTTATGATCATGTAGTCGCCCACTGCGCACCGGCCGAAGTGTGCGGAGGGAAACTTGCATGGCATAGTGGCCACCACTAGCACACAGGAGTCTTCAACAACATCTGGTTGGTCGGTAACCTCAGCGAACACGAGCAGCGGTTTTACGCACCTGCAGGTACTGGCTGGCGGTGACGGCCGCACCTGCAACGGCAAACAAGCGCCGCTGAATGTAGTTGCGGCACCGCCCCCGCTACAGGGATTAGACAAAGTCACAAACCTCCGAGATCGGAAAACCAATCCCACGGAAGAACTCCTCCAGATGATCCCTCGCCCTCCACGGCCGGTTGTACGACAAGATCATAATGCGGAGAGGACCACCGCAGGCGGAGGCGCTGGCAAGAAGGCACTGACCGCAGGAACTTTTGCGGCCGCAGATGATGACGAGGGCGGTATCTGCTCAGCTGGGGCTCTACCTGGCACTGGCTCTTGTAAAATGAAAACTAGACCAGCTCCTGCTGCGGCTTTTGTAGGGAACAGGTGCAATGCCGGCGCTTCCAAGGGTGGACAGACAGCCGCAATTCAACCAAGGAATGCTGTTTTTGGGGGAGCCAATAAGGCCGCTCAGGACTACGGCGCAATGGCGGGTCCACCTCATCGGTCGCTATTCTCGACCACACTACAAACCTCACCAAGCTCAGAATTTCTGATCAGACTTATCACATGGAATTTGTCTCTGACATCGACAGGTAGACGCCATGAAAACATAGGCGCATCGGCATCGCATGCAATTTCTTTCTCTATGCGCCATGCCCATGGCTATTTGCATTTTTCCAGAACTGTCGTCTGAGCCTTCGGATTGCAGCAGATTTTTTTGTACGATTTATTTTGATTTCTAGAAAAAGCATGTCGTCGCGTTCGAAGTAGTCAGTTGTATCTTTCCGTGCGATAAGAACAGGACAGCGAAGTCCCATGCCACCTCTTTTGTTGAAGACCAGGTCGTGTATGCGAAGAAATGGAAACGCACGCCCACACAATCAGCATTGAGTAAGAGTCATTTTTCTGCGATCCTACAGAGAAAAAAAGTTTGTCTTGTGAAAGAAAGCTGCACAACACTGTTCATTATATTTTGGTTTTCTTCGTTTAGTCCACCATGTGGTGTCCCTCTTGTGCTTACTGCCAGTGCCAAGAAATTCAAGTGAAGCCGTCCATCCATCAAGGTGCGGCTCAAAGATTTGAAGAATGTAAAATAAGTAGGACGAATTAATATAGGTCCTTGTCCTTCTCAATGACTACGACGAGGACAGGAGGTTGAGTTGTGCTTTTCTTTTGCATATTGTGTCTGGCTCCGGGGCCGGTTTTTTATGGAAGCGTCAGGCTGTCTTGCTCTTAGTCTTACACTCGTATGTTGCCAGTCGTCCTCACCTCAGCTGCTGTCTGCGACACTTTTCTACAGCCTTCGATAGCGGGGGCTTCCGCATTTGGCATGTGCATGTATTGATTTTGTGGACGATCAAGAAAAACAAAAGAACAAACTTGCCTCTGACTCATCCTGGTCGAAGTCTAATGAATGAGTACTGCAGGATGATGACTGCGTTACCCCGACTCGTAAAAACGACGTCTGAAAGCCCGCCTGACGCCGGCATAAGTTAAACGCCTCGTGCAGTGGTGTCGGAGTGACAAGCACAAGTCTTGCTGCGGGTCGAATCGGAGGCGGATCTTCGTCCGGAGGACCAGTGCTCCCCAGTTGAGCAATACCTTAAGCTTTTTGAAAAACGACGTACCCACACGAGAGTTCGTCGTCACGCAAAGAAAGATATGAAGGCAATTTATGGCCAGGCGGAGGCCCGAAAAGACCTAAACCATCATGAAAAAAGGCTACGGTGATGCCGTCGTGCTGCTTGCTAGCCAAAACGAAAGCCGGACCTGTCTTTTTGCACGAAGCTCGATGGTACATGGGGAGTTATTCTTTGGTATTTCGTGATCATCTGCTTCTGCTCCTTGTCCATGTTTAGACAGCGCGACCGTTAGGCTGTGACTTTGCAAGTCGGCTTCTAGTGGAAACGAAACACAAGTTTTGACATGCTTCTAGTCAGTAGCGTCGCGAGGAGAACAATTTGAACCAGTGTGTCTGTACCTTCTTCCAGAACCAACGAAATCAATCACGTCGAGGCCCGTAGTACTTCTGGAGCAAGAGGAAACTCTTGCACAGTCGAAGATGCGCAGAGAAGAAAAAAGATAAAGCACCGAGCGGCAGCACGAGTTGCTGACGTAGAGGATAAAAGTCTAGTGCTGAGCAAGAAGATTTTGTTTTCTACTCCGCCACCTGCACCTCTACCGCGTGCCTCGTGTTCCTTCTCCCTGGAGTGGGGCCAAAAGCAAATATAATACAGCTCATGGTCATGATCTAGATCTTGGTCTTCTACTTGAACAAGAACTCTTTCGCACTGGTTAGAGTAGTGGGGGCTTTTGTAGATAAACAAAAATGCTTCAAAATGCTTCCACCACGTCTCGAAATTCCGACTTTGAACCGTTTGAGATTATCGCTCGTATCATGTTGGGCTTCCGTACAAGCTTTACCTTTATGACCCATTTTCTTTATATTTATAGGTAGACGTAGAAAGCTCTTTACGTCGAGGTCGAGCTATGAGGTATGAGAACGATAATAAATGAAGCTGCGCTCCTGTCTTGTTGACCGTGATGTCCGACGACCGACGGAAAGGCAAAGTAGAAATCGGAGCGAGAGTGAGTGTGTGCACCTGATAAAACGAAAACAAACACCAGTGCAGAATGAAATTACACATTAAGTGTGGTGGTCGCTGACTCTGTCATGATGAACGTGCATGCTCTAACTACTAGAATCAGAAGAACAGGAGCATGCTCCGCAGGGTTTCCATCGCGTTCCGGGTCAGTATGGTTGTCATTTGTATTTGATAGACTACGATAGCATCGAGAACCAGGTCAATAATTGGAAAAGGTTGAGAGGTTCAGCCGTGGGTAGCAGGACCAGGATAACAAGAATAACAAAATGAGTCCGATTCCTGAATAAAGCAGGGGGCTCCCTGGCTACGATGCCGAGCGTGAAACGATCACCCATACTTAGAATGAATCATATAGTTGACGTCCACTCGCAATATTTTACGTTTTTCTGTTATTTTGCGTTCTACTCACTTTGAATCATGTTAGTTTATCATGTCTTAGTCTTACTAATGTCAGAAGCAGAACCTGAAGCATGGCGGTAGCGAAAATTTCAATCTCCACGCCTCCGGACTTTCACCTCAGTAATTCCAATCCCGATCCATCTGTGTAGTTACTAGCTGTTCATCATCTTTTTCTTTCGGCTGGCAGTTTTAGCGGAACCAGAAAACAATTCAAAAATTTCTCCAGCCGCACCTAGGCTTAGCAGTGACAGTGTGTTGAGAGCTGAGAGCACGCACTCACCAGACCGAAAAATCTGAACCACCAAAGCAACCCAAAAACAAGATGGGAGTCGCAGTCCGGTCTCTCGCCGCGTCGACGATTTTTACGAAAGTGGACAACTCATTTCTCCCTAGTTCTCATTCACGAGCACAAAATCTCATTTTGCACCAAAAGTTCGTAGTGTCAATGGAAGAGCAAGGCCAATTACGAGTGCCAGATACAATCTGCACAAAGTGTGCTGTGTACTCTTGTCGCGGCAGTATAAATTTGAATCGAGGGTCGCGGGGAGGGGGGTTGTCCACTTACTTTGATATTGTTCGCGACGCAGCTCGCGTCTAGTGGCGTCTCTGGATACACCCTTTATCCTGAGGAAATTTTGAGGTCATCGATTAAAACATGGTTATGATGAAGAGAGATGACTTCTACTGCTACTCGTACTCGTTGCTCCGTACCAAGAAAAGATTTGCATGATTAGCAGCTCGGGCCCGGCGGGGCGGAAGATGATGATGATGAAGATGAAATACTCGCGACATATTTCGCTGCGCTGACCCTTCTAGACTTCTCTATTGCGTTCGAAGCTGCTTGCCCCAGCGGTGCAAAGGTTTTTTCAAAAGGTGCAGTCGAGCCTTGGTGTGCGTGAAAAATGCAATTGCTCAGTAATGAGGACGCGCGAAATATTATACATGTTGCCAGTCTTGAACTTTACTAGTGATAGTGTGTGCAGCCGCAGCACCGTAGTACTGCGCATCACTTATATGGAACGTGGAAAAAAGAAAATCTTGTTGCTAGCTGCCTGGTCTGATGATCCCTCTTATTCCAAAGGGATAGCGGGGGAAAAATTTTCGCGAAGCGCAAGGGCGAACCGGCGCTGAAGAAGCTGAAAGACGCAGCAAAGAAGCAGGAGAACAAGAAGTCGGCGGCGGACCCCAAGGCTCCGGCGTCGGCCAAGCCGTCGATGATGATGGAGAAAAAAGCGAAAACTACTACGGCGGCCAAGTCTGCCGCCGGGCTCATGGCGAAGAGCAAGCTGGTAAGTACGAAAAAGGCGTCCATGGGTGTCGACTGCACGATGAAGGGCCCCGATGCGGGCGTTGAAGTCACCGACACCGCGGACGTGCAGTGGATCTGCACTGAGATGACCAAAACGGAGACTGGTACTACTAACGAGTTGCCGTTTCGAGGGCTCTTGAACTACAAAAAGAACCTCGCGACACCCCGAAATGCTATCAAGCTGCACACGCTGGCGGACGGCGAGGAAGCGGGAAACGCGAGCACGCCGGTCGTGAACTACAGGTTCGTCGAGTGCAAGGAGCCGGATATCGACATCATGTCCTGCACCGTGGGACAGATCTGCGATGCGTGCCAGAAAGCCACGGACAAGTGCCCGGACACGCCGACGACGGAAGAGCAGATGGGCCCCGACGCGTCAGGTGAAGGCGGATTGCTCAAGTGCACGTAGATGGCACTACACTGGTACTAACCATCACTATCCGCGATGCGGTTGTCAGCAGAAAGAATTTATTCACGGTTACCAATTTAATTACGATGTCAGTCTGTAGCGGACAGTTCTTGTGCTTTGCGTCTACGTCTACTCTCCACCTTGAAGGGAGAAATTCAAACAAACGCCAAGAGCGATTCTGTATTGCAGAAAAACAGCTCATCGTATTATATGTTGATCGACCTGTGCCCAAAACAACTTTCTGCATGAAAGTTTGATTGCTGTCTGATTGTACAAGGAAGCAAACGAAGCCATGAAAAATATTGAAATATAACGGAGGTACTTACGACAAGCGTACGACGAGCTTCGTCTTCTCAGCGGAGTCCGATACGAAAAGAAACAAGTCAACTGATTGATCTGCCAGCGACCACCAGAACACGTCTGGTCTGCTCCACCCCTTCTTCTACGTGTTGGCACTACAACTCACAAAAAGATATTGATTTCGTCAACTCGAAGTGTCATAGAGATGCAGTATAGCAAGATGTCGAATCAATTCATCAACTCCTTCAGCAGCCAGTATCAGCAACATTTTTTTCAAAACCAAATCCCCTCTTGGCGATATGTCCATCAAATGGACCATAGATATAGCTGTAATTTCTAACTACAGCATCGATGATGATCATCATAATCTTCAGACGAAGTATCTGTATCTCTAGCACGAGAAAAAATGTAATCCTGCGAAACGAATAAAACGCACAACATGGAAATATAAAAATCCTAAACCAGGAAAACGAAAACATGACAGTTGTGGAGTTGCGTCCGCTTGGTCACCGTATTCATGGCAATGAAACTGCTATGCATACGTAGACTTGATCTAGTCCGTGTTCAGCTCCGTTTGTTCGTGTGCTAGTATTGTCGCGCAACAATTTTCGGTATCGAGAGACAGAGACAGAGAGAGATGCTCAGTAAATCGTAGACGCACCCGCACGAACACGTTCACTGTTCAGAATCTGTCTCAGTTTATGATTTGTATGTATGTGAGTATTAACACCAGTGTTTCAGCTTCTGAGGACAACTCAAATCGTATGTTGACTCTTACTGTTAGTCGGGGGCGTGCTGGGTCTTGCATAATCTGCCGTGGGCTTAGAAACGAACCGCGCAGAGGCGACCCCGTGCATCAGCATTATTTCACAGGGAATGCGAAAGTTTCAACGGGCGAAAGCATATCGACCGAGCTCCACCCTGTTGAACGAGTGACAGGCGGGGCGGGCGCTCTTCGCGGTAAGTAAAAATTCGTTGCCCCACTCGTCAACATATCACAGCTACCTAGAAGCTACCGTCGATCAATTCGTAGTGTTGTTGTAGACGCGGAGCGAGCGATCGGGAATGAGGGAAACGCATTGCGCACCGACACCTCTCAAAATGTCAGGCTGTGCAAAATGATAGCTCAGCAGGAACACCTGGATCAGTGCAAGTTTTTACCTGCTGACTTGTTTGAACTACTTTCTCGCAGCGGGACACGCCAAGGTAAATACTGACGGTAGATGAACTTGTCCGACCGCTTCGCTCTACGACGCGTCCATAGAAATGCCACAAATTGAGCGAGATGAAGATCCAGGCCCAGCTTTAGGTGCTGTAGTCCCTGCATTTTCGCGGACTCACGCGCCGGGTCGTGAGTACATCGATCATGTCGAGTGCAAAAAGAAAGTAGAAGTAGTTCCAATTATTTCTGGCCATTAAGGTCGCAGACGAAGCAACCAGAGAAATACAGGTGAAAAATACACAGACTCTCGACGTGCGCTGTACTAGCACTTAAGTAGCTCCATTGACTCTGTTCCGCGTTTGCCGTGGACCCCCGGTCGCCCCAGGCACGGCGGACCAGTCAAGGGCCAGGTGTATCCACACTCATCATCTCGCCAGTAGAGAGTCCGACCTTTAGTTGACGGGAGAATAAATATGTGAGGAACAGGACGCATTTCCCTTTCCTACCGTGATGGCCTGCTGGCAAGCACAGCAGCTGCAACTGCCATGCGAAGGCTGCGAAAACAGAAACGAGAACGACCTTCCGTTTGGGTAAACGACGATGCTGCAATCACCCGCCGATTGTAATTTAGCTTTTCCGCCTATTTTGACGGCGAAGCGACCACGATCGTGCAGTGTAGACGATGGTGATGGTTCACCAGCACTCAGCGCCGCACCGAGCTGGAAAAGAAAACGGGTCACACTTGGCCCCTCTGAGCAGATTGCTCCGGGACGATTTTTTCTGTGCTTGATTTCCGCATACTGCTGGAGTTGGTGTTTTCATCCCGCCCTTCATTCCCTCACCGTCGGTCATGGCTTTTTTGCCGCGGCCTACCAGCACAGCCGGGCTCTACCGCGAAACGAGGGGACGGCGCAGATAGTCTCGCAAGGAAGTAGTGGTATCGGCGGGAGCGGAGTCAAAACCCAGAAATTTATGACCCTGATTGTTGAGCAAGGAAGGCTCGACACAGGAAAGACAAAGAAGTCCACCACGGAAAATACTATTGGTGGGCAGGCCACGTCGAGCGAAGCCGACACAGAAACCGCGACCAGAAGAAACAGCGAGGTTGCGGCATCCAGGGAAGCGGAAAATGAAAGCGCATCAGCCTTCGAGGAGGTGCAGCCGACAAGTGCCTCTGCCCGACAAAGACCCGCTGGACACCCGAACTACAGCAGAGAGAGCCTCGCGAAAAAACGCGCACAAGATTACGAGAGCGAAAAAGGAAAAGCCGTGGCGCAGCTTGCTGCTCATGCATCAAATGACAAAAGGAATAAGGCAGCAGCAGCGCCTTCAAGTGGCGGCATGAACAGAGAGGAAAATATGCAAGAAGTTGCTACGCCTGCACGAGCAGTCGAAAACAAGGCATTCAAGAAGATGAAGAGCGAAGGCACCGAAGTGATCACAAATGTCGTTCCAAGCCACACAATTCAAGTGCAGCAGGATGAAGTACCGGAAGAAGAGACTGTAGACCAAGAAGAGGAAACGTATGATACACAAATGCCTTCTATTATTTTAGTATGCATGTCTTGCTCAGGTGGCCACGGTCCTCATCTGCATATCTGTGATGCTGAAGAATCTAGAATCGAGATCGACTGCGGGAATGTCAACGCTCTATCTTCTTCACACAGCCTCTAGGCCAACCAAGCATCAGAAACTTTTTGTTCCCAATCGTATTTACCAGAATTGAAAGTCTGAGTAACACTATGCAGGGCCCTTGTTGTTGCATGACGACGAACACGAACGTTCACGCTGCCGCGGTTTTCTTGTTGGCCACTACTTTCTTGTAGTGAGCGCTTATCACTCCATTGCAGTCCGTAAAGCCTGTATCGAGTGACTAACTGATGAATGAGATGAATCTCTGTCCAGACCGTGTGTGTGCCACAACAGAGACACAGTATTTGTATTGCATACAACGAAGTCGCAGTCGAACGCAGGTCCGAGTACCGTGATCGGGCCGACGCAAATGATCCGGAGAACCACACGCGAGGGCGAACCTGTAGCTGAGGCCGCCACCGAAACCATTTTCGGGAGCGGCGAACACAAGAGTACCCCAGGAGGGGCGTCGCGCCAGATCGTGGGCGAGACTTCGCAGGAAAGGATTGCCATGCTGAAGGAGCTGAAGACGCAGGAGCAGGCTAAACTGCTTCGGTCGAAGCAACCGGAGGCCGGACTGCAACCAAGCACGGAGGCCAATGCAAGGGTAAGGGAGGCAACCAACAAACATGGAACAATGGAAGCCGATGTTGGCCAAAAGCATCGACAACCTGCGCAACTGATCAAGAGCCCCAGTGATGTTGCCGCGGAATTGCTGCGAAAACGGGTTGCAAGCGAGAAAGAGAAGCAAAAGAAGCTTGCTGCCACTGCGAAAAGAATGACGGTGAACGTGATGGAGGCTGCCGCGAAACGAATGGATTTCGCCGTTTCGTCAAGTACTTCCGGGACCGCGATGAGCTTCGGCGTGACAGCGAATCCAAACGGAAACAAGCTGAAATTCAATGTGGTGCAGTCTGGCAATCTTCAAGACGCCAAGGCGAAGGAGATGGCTGGCTCTGCCGCTCCTGTGCCTCTTCAGGACGGAGCGGGCGAGCCTCAAGCAACGGGAACGACCTCGGGAGCAGCTTTGTCTCATTCCAAAAGGACGAAGAGCGGAGGACAAGGACAGGACAAAGCAACAGCAGGGACGACGACCTCGCTATCCTCGGGAATGTTCTCAAAGAAAATCACAAGGACCGGGCTACACGCAGCGGTAACTTCACTCAGCGTCGACGATGTATAATATTGGAAAGTGGGCGTTGTATATCGGTCAAGAAAGTGTGTATCGTTAGTGAGATTGGTGCATCGACGGCGGGCTCCTGCAAACAAACTACAAAAAGTCGCAAACAACGTGCGTTCCGTGCGATACGAATCCCAACCGCCTCTGCACGTATGCCGTACATAGGAGATGAAAAGTTTCGCTACCGCTAACACTTTTTTGCGTGATATCCTAGTCCATTCTGCTCCACATCAAACTACCGATTCAATATTTCCAGTTGTTGTTTTCTTTTTGATTTTGAAGTAGGACCCTCTAGCATCTTCTGGCAAGACGTTGCGAAAGTTGCTCACATCCCCGAGCGAGGAAGGCCCGATCATCGCTCGTGGAATCATGTAGCCTACTGGCAAGGCAGCCGCAGCTGCACATTTCAAGTTCTCGTCAAAGTAACAAATCACTGGAAATGCGTATGCATGATCAGCACCAGCAGCGGCAGGCGGAGCATTGTTGCACACTTGTACTTCTTGCTATCCATGGCCATGGGTTGCCTTTTCAAGACAATGTCAGGCTCCGCGCCGTAGTGGAGCAACAATGCAAATTTCTTTTGCCGAAGCAGTGGCACCAGCCACTTTGACTTTCGCCTAACAAAATGGGGAAGCAGCTGGAGGTGTGGTAGCAGTACGGTTGGACGACAGCGACTTTCCATGGAATAGCATGTCTGCGAACGGAAGGAAAATAAGAATCTCAATGGTCACAACGCGGCAGATCTCGCCTCAGGACTCGTGCCGGGTCATCTCACCTTTGAGGAGTGCCGGGATTGGTGCCGCAGATCGAGTGACTGCACGGGTTTTATGCAAGGCAAATAGAAATACTGTAGATTTGCCGCATATCATCGGGGATACGCTCGCTCTGTAGCCGCCAGAGAAAATAAATTTCTTTGGTGGTTTCCTTCATATCAAGAAAGTCAAAGTGTAGAAATAACAAGCGACAGATCTGGATAGTAAAAAAATCATATAATTGAACTTCAGTTTCAGACATGCACAGAAAAATCCTTCGGATCGCGAATAAACGGAGGAGGCTTGTATTTTGTGAAAGAACATCAATGTTGAGTACTAGCGGCCCTGCGCCAAGAGTTTTACAGGCTCTCTCATGGATTTGCTTTCTTTGTTGAAGGCGCCACGAGTTCATCTACGCTGCAAGAGCGTCTGCATTGGTATGTCTATCTATGGGCTGATGTCCGGTAAATCAATTTTTGAGTTGGATAGGAGTTGTGCACGATGGTGGAGCTGCTTCAACCGCGGACAACTGTGTAATAAAGACATCCCACGACGATCTTGACGTAGTGGACCAGCAGGGGCAGACGTACGTGCAGATGACCGACGAGTGTCGGTCCGCACTACACCAGGACATTGACGACGTATGCGAAAAGCAGCTCCGCAAGACTCTCAACGGCAAGGATCTCATTGCAGGGGGTACAGGCGGCCGCGTCAAGGGTCGCCTAACATACGATGAGTGTCTTGATTGGTGTGCGAAAAATTCCGACTGTATTGAGATGCAGCACCTTACCACTAGTACCGTGAGATATGCACTTGTTTTCCAGAAATGATCACCACTTCCCGCGAACGCCGCCGGGCCGACCTTCATTGGTAGAAGCTAGTTAATTATAATAGATGACTGTCGGAGGTATCATGTGCTGTAGTCTCTCCAGGACCAAAGACTAGCCAGCTATAATATGAAAAACCAGTCGTGCTCGTGGTCATTTATGATTCAACATGAAAATGTAGTGTTGCAGCTAGGGTCCAGCCAACCGCCCGGACGGTCCCTGTGAAAACAGCCTACCGGAGGAGGATTATCGGCTGAATTTGTGAAAGATAATGAAAATATCTGCTCTGATACGCTAGGTATCTATACAACTGTTGGTATCAACATTTACACATATGAAAGCAAGGCATTTTGTGCCTACCCCTCCCAAGGCGCCGGGCGGGCGGAGAGTTTTGTTGTTTACACTCGACCGGTTGCGGTTTTTTTTTTGGTGAAAACGAAAGTAAATATAAAGTACAAATAATCCGTATTTTGATACGCTGGCGGTAAGGTCCTGCACCGGAATAAATTGCACGGGATTTGTCCACGTGCGACAAGAACAAAACTACAAAGAAGACAATTGCGCGGCGAAAGGTCAACACAACGAAACCGACGTAAGCGACGACGACGGGACCGACTACACGGTCATGACGGACGATTGTCGAGCCGCAAAGGCGCCTTTGCAGTACTACCCGCCGATTGATATCAACGATGCCTGCGGGAAGGACGTTGACCATGACCACCCAGGCAATGCTCTGGACGGCAACCCAGGCGCCGGAGGCCCAGACGACCGGGTGCCGGGACATAAAACGTACGACGAATGCCTAGCGTGGTGCGCGGCAGAGGGTACTTGCGAGGGCTTTTCATTTGTGAACGGTCTGGCAGACACGGAAGACAATTGTGTGGTGAAAGCGGTGCACGATTATGGGACTAGGGTAGCGTTGGCGCAGACGGACTACACCAGAATGACACGAGCCTGCCGATTTGCGAAATTATCCCGGGAAAGAAGCGTATTGTCTCCTTCTTTAGAGGTGAACATCTCTGCGGCAATCCTCCTTGCGCATGACAGAAAACAAGAACTTCCGAAGCCTGCGCACTAACACGAGAAAGACTAGTCATCTGGCGACTTTTTGTCCATGGAGGAGCGAGATCTTGCGCTCCTCATTTACTTTTATCACTACCAGCACCAGGACCAGCGGTGCCTGCGTAAAGTTAGTCATGATCGCTCGTGATGACTTGACCACCTAAAAGTATTTCACTAACATCAGCGCAATGGCTGTGTGTCGGTTGTATGTTCTGCATTGCAGCAGGTTATTTTTCCACTAGTCTATACGCATTTTTTTCTTGGATAGGGATTCCCCCAGTCCTACTACCCCGCGAACAACATCAATGGACTCTGCGCACGAGATATGCATTGCAGTGCATGTCGATGTCTGAGTCTGAATTTGTGATACGTCTGCTAATTTACGTAACACAACCAAGATGTGCATTGCAAATGAAGCGCCCGCGCTTGATGTTGATGTTACTTTCCAGAGCGCGACATCAAATATTCAGTTTCAGATACAGATTTTACATTTGATACGAGAAGGCAACAAGCAGCTGACAGGAAACACGCTTGAAGACGTCGCGGAGAGCAAGACATTCGAAGAATGCCGGGAATTGTGCGCACGGAGCATGGCGTGCACTGGATTCGTGTTTCAGAAGTACAACAGCACTGGCATTACCTGCGAGCTGAAGTCGGAGCACCCCGCATCCGGAGATTCGGCGTATCCAAGAAAAAAACGCTGTAGGTGTAACTCTTTTGGAGGAACAGCATCACAAATCTGTGTGGCATGACAGCAAAAACCTGTCATGCGCAGATAGTATGCGAAAACGCCCTGTAATGGGACCTACAATGCATGCCAAGCATGACAGACGCAATCACTTTGCATGTTGCGCATCACCAATTTACACTAACAGCGTTTTTTTCTTGGATACGGCGTGGGAGTCAGTCACTACAGCCGACTACGTGCAGATGACGCGCCCCTGCCGGGCTGCCGTAATTCCGTACGTGCGCACCAAGACCAGGAATTGCACAGCGGGCGACGCGGTGACGTTCAAAACGAAATACGTGGAAGCGAACGGCACGGAGCTCGAGGGCCTACAAAACCGCGCGCCGTTTTCTTTTGCAGATGTCCAGTGGATCTGTGACCAAGTGACCGTTGGGGTGAACCGCACGCGCGGGGTCCTCGTGTACAAGAAGGGCGTTGGGTTGGGCGCGTCGGGGTTTCCGTCTCCGTACAATATCGACGCAAGTGACATACGAAGTGAAAATTGTAAACATCTCCGGGTGCTGCTGCTGTGCACGAGAACGAAGGCAAAAAACCTTCACATGGACCGGGTGCGGGGGCACTCACTTCCTCGTCATGCAGGATGAAAATAAAAATAAATAGCTGTAGTAGCGACGAATTCGAATACGTATTGGTTTCCTTTGGTTTTTTGAAAATGTTGACCGAACCCTCCCTCGGAATAGTGAAAAGGGTTCGGACCTGTGACACAGCTGTACACAAAAAAGCGTAAGTATTTTAAAAACTTGCACTGCGCAACTTCATAAGTATTGATCGTCATCATCGTCAACGTCATCGTCGTCCAGTGAAGACGAGATACACAATTATTGAGCCCGTGGTGGTGTAGACGCTGCACCATAACGTTGTGCACTCTATTGGCAGACGACCACCCGGTCATGATGTAATTTGCACTCGATGAGTCCAGGTCACACATAATTTCCTCGCCTGCAAGGAAGAGCTTTCTGATGTGGAGGTGCGGCATTGCACCGTCGGGTACTTCTGTTCGGCGTGCGTGAAGGCCACTTCCCGGTGCACCAGGGGCAAAAGGCAGAACGCCGGCGTGTCGGTATACAATGCCACGCAGGTGATCGATTTCAAAACCCAGGAAGCGGAAGACGAGAGGCGGCCCAAGCTTCCGCTCCTACAAGTGATCGACGTGGTCAATTGTGAAGTCGCAACACGATAGTTGCACAAGGTACGGCGCACCACAGCGACAGGATACGATGGCACCGGTACGAGTTGCATCGTAATCTTCGAGCATCTTAGGCGTAAACTTCGCTATAGTTACTAACGCAATCTTAGTCGTAAACTTCGCTATTGATGAAGATAGCACGCATTTACTTATAAATTTTACTTTATGTTGGCTTCTCTATGTGTCGGCTGTTTCTCATTATGTGTGAGAAAATGGGAGGTAAGGTTCAATATTTCGATTCAGATAAAGACAAAATGTAGAGTCGCCCGCGTTTCGAATAACATTCCAAGAATAGGAAGAAACAGCGGGGCCTGGTTGATTTTTTTGAAAACGAGGGTTGGGGATAGCATCGCGATCTTATTTCAAAGAATCTGTGCAAATTACAGCCATAAATGATGATAATGAAGTAAGCACGCAGCATTATATTGATTACATACAATGCAAAAAGGAAATAAAAATCGCTGCATCCAACTGCACGAAAAAAACTGTACAATGAAGAAAATGCTGCAAAGACATTAACACTCTGTATAAATAGTACCAGGTCGCTCCGGTTACGCCAGTGTCTGTCTAGACTTCCATTTTTTAGATTCTGCATTGCAGTGTCAGTATTCGCGTTGGCGCAAGGTTCCGGGTGACTCGTGTGAGTATTTTTGATTTCTTGCGCTGCCCGGGTATTCGGGTGAAAGCACAGTTTTGATGCGTCCGAGCGAGATCGCCCGGCAATTATAAACTGGAGCGACGGGGGCAAAGCAAACAGCTTGACAATCGCCAGGCGAGCAAACAGGTAACGGGTTGGCCATCAGTCTTCGTTTTTTCTTTCGAAGACGCAGTTAGATGTCCCGATCGTGATCTCAGGGCTGAACTAAAATGAAAGCATAAGCAGTCAAAACAAAAGCGATATGCGGTCTTCACCATTGCGAGGAGAGTGCGATGGGGTGCGACAACAGAACTGCCTTCCGCGCAGCTGAAGTACGATTACCCCCGTGCCACTACGGTGCGTATTATGTGGAGGAGGTCACTTGAATGTGTATGTGAAGTAGTACACACAGTTGGTCATAATTACTTCTTGCATGATGATCATGACTTCTTCGTTTCTCGAAGAACCCCCTCATTTGGAACCGGTTTGCGAAAGAAGCGTAATGAGCAATTGCGAAATAACGGTTCTGCTTCTCGTGCATTAGAGTGATGCAAATTCTATTCGAACGACTACAAGGATCGTCAACACAAGAATAGAAAAACTTTTTGTCTTCGGTCCGCCCGAGTGCGAGACCAAGGAAGACACCGGAAATGGGTACGGCTCCTTCCGCTCTTTTTCATCCTCATGGTCTACATCGGAACTACACGAAAGGAGAGTCAACACAGTGGCTTGCATAGCGACGTCCTTCTCGTCCCCCTCCACCTCATTGGGTAGCTGCAAGAAGTAACACCTTGCTCATCCCCACGCAGGGCCCCTTCACGATGAGTCCATCGGGAAGCCGCGCCTGGTTGTGCCTGTGGGTACAGATTATAGCTACTTGCAATCTACTGGTGTCATCCGCAGTTCATAATTCCGTTGCGACTGGTGCGGAAGAAGATGCAACCGCGGGGCCGGTGACAGGAAAGGCAATGGGTCCCGGTTCTGCGCGAAGACACAACAGGCCCTCGAGGAGCAGTACCGCCTCAGCGATAGCGCACGTTCGGCGGATGGACGAAATTCCTCCGCACGAGGGCGAGCACGACACGGAACACGGCACACGCAGCAGGAACTTCGGCGGAGATCTACGGAAAGCAAAGAGTCCGAATTGGCGCACGTTGTCACCCGCTGGTCGTACTTCTGTCAAACGAGAGCTGACGCTGAACCCCCTAGCGACCGCCCCGCTGTTCAAGTCGCTCTTGCTGAATAAGGCCACTAGAGCATCCACCTCCACGTCTGCGGGGCGCGGAAAAGAAGCCGCTGACTCATCTGGAAAGTCTGTTGCAGGAACAAAAACCGACAACAAGGTGACTGCCAGCAACGGTATAGCGAAGCATCACACGAAGCTGAACGAGATGAGCACAGTGTCGGCGAGTGTTTCCAAAAAAGCGCGAACGGCTCGGGCCCAGCATATCCACCGAAAAAGAAAAACGGAGTTTCGCATTCGACGCATCAGTAAAATTTGCATAACCCATTCTCACTCGGATGCTGTCTCTTACTCTTTCTATAAAAGCACGAAATAATGTAAGTACATGTTGACAGTGAGACGGGATGTTGACGATCTGTCGGTCTCGCGCAAAAGTTTGATTGCAATTTGTAGCTGCACGGCGAGTGCGGCACTCGCGCTTTTGCAATCCATACAGCTTTCCGCCGAGCAACTCAATGCGTTTTCCGAGGAGCAGCTTGCGTTACGCTTCGCAAAAGTGATAGTGCGTTCGCTCACTTTCACAGGGCCATTCTGAATTGTCCATGATACCGAAGCGAGTCATGTACTCGTGCTCATTAGAAGCAAACTGAGTTTGTGCCCGAAAATACGTACGCACGCGAAAGATCTTTTGCAGGCAATACGCGTTTAGTAGGAACAATGCGCAGGTGTTTAAAGCTGACTCAAAGTGTGGCTCGACGGCGCCAGAGGACAAGTAACGAACGCAAATGTGTTGCCTGGGACAGCCTCAGTGGTGACCGAAAAGACGTCGCGCGTAGTAAAGTCCTGATTTCGCGACGCGCGCAGCAGGAGAAAGTCGAGTACTTATTTATTGCGCGCCGCATAAGCATACCCACACTGAAACTGATATGATCGCCGGGATCGTCGGCTACTTACATGCATCTTGAACACACATGTGGATTTTTCACCGAGCGCATTCAATTAGAACAGTTCTTTTGCTTTGTCTGGCGGTTCCCTGGCTGCGCAGCATCTGACGGAAATGCGCCTCACTCATTTTCTCGACCCAGACACATTTGCACTTGATCAAGCGATCACTTTCGACATGACGGCAGACGTGCGCTGGATCTGCGACCAGAGTATCACACATAGCCCCTTTTCTGCAGCATAGAATTGCTCCTTTCGTTGTCACGCGAGAACCGATTGTGCATGTGGTCGTGCTGGTCTTGCTGAAGAAGTCTTCTTTACGTAACGAGAAGGAGGTTTCTGCACATTGTATGACTTCCTGCGTGAGGGGATGTTCTTCTTCGTATAAAAATAGGTTCTAGCCGCGAGACAGAGAAGCGTGTGCCTACGCGCAACACGATCCCGCTTGTACTGCTCGCACGGTGTAGCTACGACGAGGCCGCTGGGATTCTTGCTTAGAAGATCATAAAGATTTTTCGCAAACCAGCGGTCACATACGAAAGTGAAACGAAGCTGACATTTTCTATGCTACTGTTTTTGTCTGATCCATACAGCTGACCACCGGAAGCGGAGCGAACGAGGAGCCCTTCCGTGGCTTCTTGCACTTCGAACGGAATGGCCCGGTGCCCGCACTTCCGGGAGTACCCCCGAGCCAGGCGGACCTGCCAGTCACTATCGGGGAGAAAAAGTCCTGCTCGAGTGATGTAACTGTGCACTTCTGATGAAGAGGAGCAGCAAGTAGGCGCTTTGTTTGTTGATCAGCAAGAAGACGCTCTGTTCTTCATCACCACTTGTCATCCAAGGATTTATATCCTAACCCTAATCCAAGGATACAACATAGCGCACCTTCATCATGCGCCATGATTTGCGCAGGCACAGAGCTACGATTTTTATGTTATTCGCCTCCTTAACATGGATCTGTTCATGCCCAATGCACATGTGAAGATGTGTGGAAAAAAATTGTACGGCACGCAAAAATAATTAAAGGGTGTTGACAGTGCATAGATTTAGATTCAGTACGCAGACCTTTTTCTTGGATAGTCACGCACCGATTTGTCATCTGCAAGGAGTTTGACGTGGCCATTCAGGCGTGCACTGTGGGGCACGTCTGCAATGCTTGCCAAAAGGCTATGGCCAGTTGTCCGGATGACACGAAACGGACCGTGATTATATGCATTGCAAGAGAAGTTGAAGTATCGCGAACGAGTGCCGAACTACCTCAATTAGGCCTTTGATGACGCCAGCAGTTCCATTAGAATACTCAAGCATGATGGTATTCATCTATTATAGGAAGCCTTTATTATTTCTTCAGCGAGAAGAATCATCATCATACGAGAGCGAGAGGCTTGTACCCATGATAGTGTTAGTTGTAAAGAGGCGAAGAGCAAGGAAGACCAGAATTCTTGATTCATGTGCATGTAGCTTCCCAACTACACTACCTATTTGTTTTCATGGAATTTCGTTCGCACCACGAACGTTTCCGATACAATTTTTTTGCACAGGATTGATTACCGTCGACTGCGAGACGTAAGGGGAAAACTAGAGCTGACCATGCTTGTTGGGGGCGCAGCTACGAGCACTTGGTCAACATCCACCCACCAACGAGACAAGACTTTCGAATTGCGGCAGGCTCTGGTGCTGGTGGTTTTGAAGGTGATAACACGGACAACTACTGTCCTGACGGCGCTTCTGTAATTACAGTGGCGTAAGTAAGATGAATCCACACATGATAGTACTAGTACAAGAAATGCGCAAATCGACGGTTGCCGTTTCGCTTTCGCTCACGTTCTAAGGGTTGCTTGAGAATAAAGGTTGAGTTTCGCACTTCTTCTTGATTTCAAGAATCAAGTGTACATGAAATAAGAACAATTGCAATTCATCAGAATACGAGGAATATCCGTGAAGAAGAACATGAGCACGCTCTTGACGAGCTTGTTTTGACAGAAACAAATGTTGGTCTTCAGAAGGTCGGAGAAAGATGAAGCAGTAACGCACCAATAAATTCACATTTACATCGCCCCCGGCGACGACCATGTAGTAAGCATTGGCAGCTCAAGGTAAAGCTATTACAGAAAATGACACATGGACCAAATCCATGATAGGGAACTCTTGGAAAAGGAAAACCAGGGGGACAGCTTGGCGTGTTGCGCTGCTCGCCACACGTCCAAGTGGTCTGTCAATCGTATCGGTTTTCTGCATTTTCGGCTAGTAGAAGCCGTGTAGAATCTTTTTAGCGACTCAGACCCTCCTCGAGAAACTGCAACCACCTGCGTCTACTTCTGTGTGTTTCTGCTATTAGCTCTGGTTGTCCGTATGCGCAGCCATTTTATGCTGGTTTTGAATTTCTGCAGATTTCATCAGGCGTTCGGGCCCGGTTTGTTGATGTCATCTTCCGGCTCCACCTTGTAGTTCAACACAACAACAAACTTATTTAAAGCAGCAGATTAGGTCGTTGCAGCTCTTCTTCCCGCACGGTTCGCCGTTGTGCTTCTTGATGGAAGGAAAGAAGTGGTCAACACCGTCACGGTATGCAAGATGGTGGGGCCATGGCCAAGCCGCAGGCGACCCAGGATCCGGCACAGGGCTATGCAGTTACCTGTGGAGGGCGTCGCGGTCGCCGCAAGGGCGACTTCGACAGTAAAGACGCGTGGCCCGACGTCGAGACCAAAACTGGGTGTCACGTAGGAAGGACATCGTTCGACCCGACGGCCACTGCGGCTCCGGCGCGGCGACAGCAGGCCCAAGCGGCTGTGCGAAGGACTCCCACTGACGCCAGCTCTATGCTGTTGCTCTATCCATCTGGGGGCCGTGGAAGCTGTGCCGCCTGTCGACGGAGGCAGCTACCGGATGCAGCTGGTAAGCCGGCAAAGCAGATCGGAGGTGGACGTCCTTCTGCAGCGAGGAGGAGAACGCGTCGTGACGCCAACAATTGGGGAACCAAAGACTTTGCAGGTCTCGTCAACGAGCCACCGCTGCATGATAGTCTGCAGCTTCATCGTGCGGCCAGACGCGTCTTCACGACGGCACTCGTTTTTGCTACCACGATAGTTGTATCTGACGCAAACGCGAGCGTTTGGAGTGTTCATGATTCTGTTCGTCCCTCCCGGATTCGTAGTGAGCGCCCAATGCTGGGCTCCCGCACAGGCGAAAAGATCCCGCCTGTGGGTCCGGAAGCCAGTGGTCGGCGCAGTCATGATCAGACCGCCCAGTATTCTACCACTGCTTCCTTCTTGCAGAAGTTTAAAGATCTCCTAAAACCTCCAACCGCTGCGGCTCCAGTGCAAGCCAAGAAAAGAGAGCCACAGGAGGGCCAGATCCAGCCACATACCAAGCACGAGTCAGCGTCCGCTTTGAAGATGGTGAAGAAGCAGCAGCGCGGTCAGAGATTGGACATGACGAAGCAAGAGGTCCAGAGCGGTGCAGGAGCCGAAATCTCTACTAAAACCGACGCTGTCGTTGCAGCAGCAGCTGGTGCAAGTGCAAGAACTGCCTCAAAGAGCAAGAAAATAATGAGTAGTAGGAGTAGAAAAAGAAAGAAAGGCGCGCTTGCCCGAAAGCTGTTCGTCATGAATATCATGCGAAAAAGCAGTCTGAAGTCGAAGGAAATCGCGTTCGACCTGAAAACGAACAAAGCAAAAGCTACCGCTTTGTCGTTGGCCGTTCAACGTGACCCCGTTACTGTCCTCCGCCCTGGCCAAACCCCACTCGTAGAGGCAATCGAGGTCGAAGTGCCACTGGATCCGGATCTCTTCAACACGGATCAAAGCGACGGCGATAAAGATAGCTACAGCACTTCTGGAAAGCCGCTCACTTACGGCAACCTCTGGGATGACAACTATGGTAAGATTTTTTTTCTCAGTATGCAAAGAAATGTAATCTCGAAGTATTTTGATTTGATCGAGCGGTTGCTACCATCGAAAAGGTACTTACACAACGAGGGCGAAGCGCCTGAACACAGCCGACAATACCTGTAGTGCGCCAGGTGGATCGGTCTCGGCCGACCACGATGCTCAAAAATGGGAAATATCTTTTAAGGACGACAGTAGTCGCTACGTTTCCTCGATTCGGCTATTCAATGAAGAAGGGAAGGAGGCGGGTCTAAACGGAGCCACTATGCTGATCGATAGCGAAATCAGTGGTACTAACATCGGCGAAATTTCTTCTATGCCGGCTCACGCGGGAACGAGCATATTCACTACCGGGGGTACTGTAGTAAAGATTGGCCGCGTCCTGAACAAGATCACACTGAAAAAGTACGGGAACGCCGCGGATTATCCTTTGAGCATCTGCGGCATATTTTTGTTCGGAGTGATGCGAAAGTACCCAGGGACCCAGCTGGTCGCCACGCAGAGCTGTATGGAGGTGCCAGGTGGAAAACAAAGCGCCAGAGTGCTGAAAAGCTGCAAATCTGCACATGGAAATGGATCATGCTGATGTCCATGCATGAATTGAAAACCACCGTAGAAAAGGAAAGGCAACTCGAAATCTTTGCGGAAAGATCAAAGCGGGCTCACGATGACTCAGCTTGTCCTATCGAGCAAAGTGCAGTTTGGAAGCTGCGTGATCTTTTATTCTTTCGTGCTATTTCACGAGTACATAATTTCATCGCACCTGAAACTCCCATAAGCTCCACGTGGAACGAAGTTGATTTCACAACGAGAATCAACCAGAACTATGCCGCGGACGCGGCGCTTGCGACCGTTCTTGGAATGTACCCTTACCGTGTGTCGCAAACGATGAACTCTGTTGCTGGTAGTGGGAAAAACTTCTGGCAGTTCCAGTTTGCTGACGGGGAAAAACACTACGTAGACCAAATTCGTTTGCTGAATCACCGGGAGAACCCAATTCGCCTGAGCCAGCTGAGAGCTTACTTTGACAGCGATGCGGATGAGGATCCGGCAAATACCACGGGAACAACCTTCCAACTCGACGATGGCGACACGCGGCACGTGCCGGCGGCAGCAAGTGACTCCACGGATATCGACACCTATCCCTGGGGAACCATGGTGAAGTATCAGAATGAAAAAGCTGCCCTCGTCCCGGTAGAAATGAACGAGCGGAAATCCGTAGACGCCATCGCGCCGATTGAAGCTAGTGCAAGCATTGTTTCGATCTCCTCACTTTCGTACAATTTCAGTTTCAACAGGTCGCACACCAACACAAAATAAATGCGGCGCGTGCGCGGTCCGCCTTCTGTGGCCTTCCGTCAGTTTGGCATGTGCATCGCAATTTTAAGAGGACGACTGACGACGTCGACAGGACCTCGGCAATGGAGGCGGAGCTACGTGCGGAAGAATTTCCATGCTAACGTCGCTCCTTGTATAGCAAGCTAGAAAAACTGCTGCTGATCTCACGAAAACGAGCACTAGTCTCATCGACGTAAGTCATTTGCTGCCCCTCCGGTTGTCCTACAGAAACGACCGAAGTCCGGCGTCATGTCATGCCGAGCAGGTCAGTCACGCCAGAGGCCCACGACCCAGACTTAGGATCTACATGCGCTGTTCCCTTGTTAAGTATATGAGTCACGTCCTAGTATGTAGTGAGGTCGTACACGTACTAATCGTCGACTCCCTTGCGTGCACGAGCTCGAGCGCTCCTGATACACGGATTTCCCGTGGGGATGGGGGATAGGGATTTTTCTTGAGGAGGAAAGCGGGGGCTGGCCGGTCGCTCGGCGCGCGGGCGCCTGGCCCCCGTGGCCCTTTCAAACTACAGCGACCGGGCATGTGTATTCGCATTGGGGCGCGTAGTCTGGATGGATGTTGGGGCGCAGTGGTTTGCGATTGTTTTCCGCCTTTCACATTGATGGGGCGGCGCGGCCGTGGGCGTGGGCGATCGATGGCGGCGCAAAAAGGAGAAAATCGGGAAAACAATTTTGCGCGGGAACCAGCGCGGTTGGGGGCGTGGAAACTTTTTGAGACAAATAGAACGCGGGTGAGAGGGTGAAGGGACTTTTTGAAAAAATTCCCGGCACCGCAACCCCTCTGTCGTCCAAAGTTCCCAAAAATTTTTCAGAAGTCTTCAAAGCCTCCCGCGAGCTTGCCACCCACCCATGCAACCCGGCAGGAACTGAACGGAAAACATGAAGCGTGGCGGCGCGCGAAGTGCCGCCACCAAATCGGCGCGTGCTCTTTCGGAGTTGATAGGGCGTGCTCTTTCGGAGTTGATCCCCGTTTAGCCTTCGCTACATTTGCCGCGCCGCCCGCCCTCTTGTTGCTTGAGTCTGCAGAGAGACTGATCCGCCGATGCGCCTCCGTTTTGCGCTCGGAGTCCCGGCTTGCAGCGCATCGGAGAAGGCGGATGGCAGGCTTTCGCAGCCCAATTTGACGCCTTGCGCCCATCGATGTCGCGCTGGGATGTTGCGCGCGCGTGCCGCCAATCTGGGCACCGTTGGCACTGCCGGGGAACTGTCGCGCGACGGTGCGCCATCTAAATGCCACATTTAGACGGTAAATGTGACAGTTAGACAGGCTCAAAATGGTTCGTTTTGGTTTCGTTCTCCGTTCATACTTGCGTGCACGAGCTCGAGCGCTCCTGGAGATGGGGGATAGGGATTTTTCTTGAAACGATGAAAAATGCTTTCGCTTTCAAAAATCAAATTTTTCTTTGCCCACCTTAAGCGTGGGCCCAGACAGGGCCCAGTGTGGGCGCCGAAGCTGGGAGGCTTGTGTCGCTGGTTGGCGTCTACCTGCTTCACACATCCTTCACGGAACATCCCAAGCCCTACACGGATTTCCCGTGGGGATGGGGGAGAGGGATTTTTCTTGTTGGTTTTTATTTTAGTCGCAGAGACCTTCAGAGTCAGCGCCAACATACAGTGGCGCCGCCAGCTCATTTCGAGCCCCATTTCGCTCGCAGAAGGTCGCAACTCGTGCGAAAGCGACCATTCGCGCCGCAAAGCATCTTCTGCGCGTCATTCGCGAGGTTCTGCGCATATTCTGCGCTCCGTTGCCAGCATTCTGCGCGCAGTTTGTCACTTCGTGACGAACTGCACACAGAGTGAGTGGGGGAACGGGTTCGCGAACACATCGAAAAACAATAGAAAGAACACCACACAAAACGAGTCAAAGAACGCCACACAAAACGAGTCAAAAAACAGCATAGCGAAAAGACAGCGTTAGGCGCGGATAAGCGCTTCCAACGATGCCTGCTTTTTTGTGCTCAAAAAGCCACGTTTCTGCGATCAAAAAAAAGCGCGGCAAAGTTCCAGCTCCAGTTCCCGTTCCTGTAGCTTTCTCTGTATGAAAGCTCCAGCGCGCAGGAATTGGAGCGCTCAATTGCGGAACTCGAGCTGGAACGTTCAAAAAGAGAACGCTCCAGGTCAACACGAGCTGGAGCGTTCAAGAAATGAAAGCTATAGGAGCGGGAACTGGAACTTTGCCGACTTGAAAGTCGAGAAAGTTCCAGCTCTCGTTCCTGAGAGGAACAAAAAAGTGGGCGCCAAGGTAGTGCGCCAGCGTCTCCGCGGAGACGCGCGGGCACTACCTTGGCGGACAATTTGCACCTTCATCTCCAGTTGTTCTCTTCGGAAATTCCGAGGCACAAAAAGTGCTTCTTTTGAAGTGCTTATCCGCGCCTAACGCTGTCTTTTCGGCGTATTGTTTTTTATCATGTTCGGGTGCACTTTTTTATGGCATTCGCCATAGCGTTTTCTATGGCATTCGCCATAGCGTTTCTTATGGCATTCGCCATGCACTTTTTCATAGCGTTTGCTATGCCATTTTTTATTACAGTCCGACTGAGTCAACTTTGAATGTTAAAGAATGCTACCAAAAACACCATTAACGAAAACACAAAGTCGCTCTTGCTTATCCCCACCTAACGCTGTGATTTCCTTATTGTGTTTTCTGACCTGTTTTCTGACCCATGTTGGTGACCCAGTTTAAACGAGTTAAAAAAGTGCACTTCTTTGCTGTAAAAAGTGCGCTTTTTTTGTTGTGCTTTTTGTTGCTTCCAAAAAAGGCATTTCTTTGGTCTTCATGAAGGGGTTTTGTTTTGGGTCCAAAAGGTTGCAGGCTTCAGGGCTCAGCAACCAAGGCGCCCACTTCGTTTGAAACGAAGGAGGCGCCTGGGTAGCGCAGTTAGAAAGCCCATGGGCCACGCACTCCAGATTCCTCACGCATTGCAAATTCCATGAAGAATGGAATGCGCAATGCGCAAGCCGGAAATCGAGGTATGGAGTTGTGTCGTATGGAGCCTTGGCAATTACAAACTCCATCCCTCAACGTTCGCGACTTTTTCACAGAAAAAGTTGCATGAGTTCCAGCTTCCGTGACATCAGAAAAAAATGCAGCGACAAAAAAAACACGACAAACAAACACGATGGTGCTACGAATTGCACAACCGAGTACGATTGTAAAAAAAAACGATGTTGGCCCAAGTCTTCTGGAAAATGCTAACGGTTACTACGATGACGCGACGACTAGTACGATGATACTACTCGACTTCAACGTGTAGAAAAATCTGTATCGAAGGTATGAAGAAAACAACACAAAAGAAAAGCACACGCCTAAAAGCCAGAATAAAGGATTTGGTAATGTGAAAACCCTTATAACAGCTATAGGCCGTGATTAAAAAAAACCAACGATGCGAGGGATAAGCTTTACGATTACCTACAGCTACGGGGTAGGCTGAGGGGTAACGGGTTTTTGAGGTTCCCCCATCCCGTAGGGATGGGAGAGATGGAGGTAGGAAGCTTTGCGCGCGGGCTTGCCCGCGCGCAAAGCGCTCTTTGCGAGATGCTCATCCATCGCAAACGCAGCGCGAAGGCTTTGCCGTTACCATATGGGAGGAGCTCGGGGGTATGCAACCACTCGCAAAATCGGGCATTATCAAGTGTGTTTTGCCTTCAGAAAGCGGGTCGGGCAGAATTTCTGGGAATTTTACCGAAAGCAGCCAAAACAGCAATTACCAAGTGGGAAAAGGGTAAAAAAGAGCATTTTTGCAGCTCCGCCCACTCTGAATCTGAAAAAAGATAGTGGCACTTTCGGCAAGGGCCGATGGTGTGATGCGTTTTATAGCGGAAAACGCGTCACGTCCGGGCAGCTCCAGCCGCTTGGAAATTGAAAAAAAGTGTTTAAAAAACGCAACTTTTCGCAGCATGCAAGCGGGCGACAAAATTTACCAAATTCGTGCATGACGCGAAAGCCGCTTCGTAATTCAAAATGACATTTTTTTGTGAAAAAGCGGAAGCCGCTTGAAAATTGCCGCTCAAGGGCGGTTTTTCAAATTGTCACACGGCCCATACCGTCGAGATTGGACGAAAAAAAGCAGCCATCAAGCCCGCGGAGGTGTGTCCACCCCCCACGGTTTTCGACGTCTCTGAGGGTCGCAAATTGAAACCCTCCCCCCGCTTAGAAGTGCCCGATTTGGGTGGCCCAAAAGGGCTGCCGGAAATGAAGGAAATGGTGCAACTTTTTGAAGTTTCTGCATTTTACCTGGACAGCGTGCCGCCGTGCATAACTTCAATGCTTATCGCAGGAGCCTGCGGGCCGCCGCGGGCGACAGTAGTTGTCCGCGGCCCTTTAGGGCCGCGGGGAAGTGGTGGAGCCCGCGGCGGCCCGCAGGCTCCTGCGATAAGCTTTGAATAGAAATCCGGAAGCCCCCGATGAGATGACCCGAACAGGTCAGGGCCAGGGGCCAGCTTGAACAAGGTTGGCGCGCCTTAACGCTGGCTAGATGTTCGCGCACGCTTTTGGTTACCAATATCGCCCTCCGGGCGCGACCTTAATACACGGATTTCCCGTGTGACCTGAAGGGCAAAGAGAACACCTGGAGCCAGAATTATCTGGGCTCCCGGGGTTCCGAAATGGTCATCGCTACGGACCCAACGTGTCCGCGCCTGGGCCCAATGAAAACACGCCCGCTACGTGCCCAACCACCTTGGCCCAACACTTTAGCCGTTTGGGGGGCCGTCGCGCGGTCGCGTCTATCTTCGTACTCGGTGGGCTCGCGCGCCAGCATCGCCGCTGCCACGCGTTTGGCCGCGCAATGTTTTCCAAAGCTTTTATAGGGACCCCGGCCCCTTCTCCCTTTTTTTGGAACGAAACTTGCAAGCGCCCAACGTGGGGCGGACACAGTGCGGCAGCTCGAGGTAACTCAAAGGCCGCCCGTTGTTTCCATCAGTACTGGTAACCATTAACCTTTGCTGTTCCAAAGCGGCACTTTCTCCCATAGCGGCTCGTCCCCATTGACTTCCCTCGCAGAGTGTGGCGGATAGGATGGCGCCCAGCGTGGGCGCCGAAGCTGGGAGGCTTGTGTCGCTGGTTGGCGTCTACCTGCTTCACACATCCTTCGCGGAACATCTCAAGCACTACGCAACTTGCGCCAGCAATCACCGCGACAAGCTCGCTGCGTGCTTTCGTCTTCCCATTCGTCATGAAGACAATTCATTTGCAAAAAAAGCAACTCCAAGGTTGGAGGAACCGGAGCCGCTTGTCTCCGCAAGCGTCCGGGCACTGGCCTGAGTCCCTGGCCGAAATGGCGCCACATTTATGACACTTTCCTCGATGCTATGCTGTTCAAAAATTGGTCTAGGTTTGCGAAAATCACAGCTCATCCGCCAAGCGGCGGCATTTTGGTGACCTCTTTATGAGGCTAACCACGGCGGCACGCTTTCAATTTCCCGGGCTAGCTTTGCGAAAATCATGGGTAGGGGAGGGGGGTGCCGAAAATGGAACAAAGCGAAGCCATTTCGTGCTCAAAACGGGTGGCCCCTTTATGAGCCTAATCAGCACGGCACGGAGCCACTTTTCCGGTCTAGCTTTGCGAAAATCATGGGGGTCACAAAAGGGGTGGGGGAAAGCAGAACCATAAGTCGGGCCGTTCGGCAGTGGTGCCTTTTGGGTACATTTCGAGCCAGCGCCCAACGCCCTGTCTACCTAGAAAGGCAGCCATCTGACTGGGCCCGCCGGCCATTTCTTCTGGAGAAGGGTCTTTGCAGTCTCAGAGGCCCCGAAGATCCCTTTGGAGCGGAATCAGTCGCCCGTGGTGAGCTTTCGCTTTCTTATGGTGTAGATTGAAGCCCCTTACGTTGTGCAATTTTCACGAAAGCTGCACGAGATGAAGAAAACCAATCTCTGCAATTTGCACGAAATCTACACGGATTTCCCGTGGGGATGGGGGAGAGGGATTTTTCTTGGGGGGATGGGGGATGGGGATGGGGGATAGCGGCCTCTTTCCCTTGTCCCTTTCCTTGAGCCTTTCCTTCGGATTTTGGTAGATTTTCGGCAAATTTTTGGGAGCTTTCAAACACGCAGAGTGATACGCACTACACCTTTTTTTTGACACGCAAAGTGACACGCAGAGCGACACGCACACTGATACGCACTCGCCAAACACGACCTGTTTCTCGTTTGTGGCGAGTGTGTACTGTCAAACCGCTCTGTAAATTGACACGCAGTGAGTGCGTGTCAGTGCGTGTCACTTTTACAGATCGGAGAGAGGTTTTGGAAAGTTTATAGAAATATCCTTCACCGACGGTATTGTGTGACTGGGCGTGTTCATTTTTTTGCGCCTTTTCTTCCCGAATTCGACTGCCTTTTTTGCGCCACATTCTGCTTTTTTGAACAACAGAAAATACGGCTTTTTTCTGTGCTTTGGCAGCTCCAAGTTGAAGAAAAAGGCCGCGCTGTATGCTTTGCTGCAGAAAGTACTCAAGACCGGCGCCCCCGCCCTGCTGGCGGGGGTTGGCCGGCATGGGAGAGAGCACGAAGCGCCCGGAAAAGGGGCTTGGCTCTGTGGGGTTTGAGAGCTTGGCTTGCGCGGCTTGCTACTTGTAGCTTGCTGTGCCGGCCGGGTTCTCTTCTTGCTCGCCAGTGTGACCGTCGCAGGTCGTCCCGCGACGAGGACTGCAGCGCGCGTCAGCACTGCCTTCGATTATCATCGTTTCCGCGCGCTTTCGTCGTTTGGATTTCCCGTGGGGATGGGGGAGGGATATTTCTTGAGGATGGAAGGATAGAAGCATCGTTTCGCAAAATGAAGCCACTGGGCCTGCCAGATGCTCGGGCGTCTTGGTCTGCCAGATGCTCTCTGCTTCGGTAAATCAAAACAATTTAATGTCTTGCGCGACCTTGTGGCGTGCTTGCATTTTGTTGCTTTCGTATTTGTGCGTGCATGCGCCAAAGGCTTCGCATTTTTTGAAGCAAATGTGGGGCGATCGTTTTGGATTTGGTTTTTCGGCTCCGGTGAATTTAGAAACGAAGGCAAAATGGGTACCGGTTTGATGATGGTCTGGAATCCAGAATCAGCTCGGGGTGAATTTAGGAAATTGCCGAAATTTACTAAATTCACCGGCCTGCCGTTTCTAAATTCACCACTAAATTCACCGATCGCAGCATGCCATCGGTAAGCGGGGTACTTTTAAGCCGCTTTTTGGCGCCAAACAGCACGGCGCTCCGCATCGATGATTTTTAGGAAAAAAACCATCCTCATCATACCATGGGGAATGATGTTTAAATGGAAGCTTTTCCCGATGGCAGTGCCTTTTCTTTGCGATTTTCGTTGTCCAAAATTTGAACACGGAAGTTGAAGCGTTAACAAGGAATGGAGAAGATCATGAAGAAGCCAAAAGGTCTACTTCGCGAAAAAAGACGCGGAGCAGTGTGCTAGGTTGGGCAAGGTTGCGAGGGGGATTGCCTTCAATGTGGGGGAGCCTTGGCGACGAGCACAATGCCGCCGCTACCTCTATTTGTGCTAGCCCTTGCCTCGCGAACCATAACCCCCCGAAACGCCAGCCCCACGATTCTACTCCCCTTCTAAAATCACTAGAAATTCACCGCCCCTATATCTAATGGGCGTCCAAGCTGTAACTCCTGACGCACGGATTTCCCGTGGGGATGGGGGAGAGGGATTTTTCTTGAGGATGGAAGGATAGAAGCATCGTTTCGCAAAATGAAGCTGGAGAATACAGATAAGGTGGACAGCGACTTCGTCGCTCTAGCCGGGATAGAAGTGTACGAGGACACAAGCGTTGTGTATCAAAGAAAGATTGAAATAAATAAAGCCACGGCCTGCCGAGATATTGGGGTCTACTCATGGTCATGACACGTCGACGCTGACGCAGACGAGGGTCTCGCATTTTTATTTGCGTGCCAGCAACTCAATAGGGACGCAACTCTATGTATGATACCACCTCGTCCAGAGGGAGATTTAAAAGGAGTTGCGTCGTGGCATCGGTTGTACGTCATCGCAACACAGCGCCCAGTTTCTTGATGTCACTCGCAGTACTATAGCTGTAGTCAGGTGGGCGTGCACGTGCACAATTAAGCATGGGCCAAACAACAGGAAGACGTCGGCTCTCTCTCGTCGAGCATTATGAAATATAGTGGTGTTGGCCAGCATTTGCGGGCTTGCCTGTTGGTATGTGTTTCCCTTCGGGAGGATGCGTGGCTTTGATTTTCCTCTCGACATTGCAACCCCCACCACTACGGAATTCGGAAAGAAAACCACCGACGAAACCACCACCATGGAAGTCGAAGTGCCACTATATGGCCCCCTCGGTGGAGATGTTACGTTCTCTACTGCTGGTACACTCGAGCCAACGTGGTGGACATGCAGACGAACCTGTGTCCCCCTTATTTTTCCATTTTATATTTTCTTGCAGTTGCAAAATCAAAAAAAAAGAAATACAAAGTAGCTGGTAGTCGTGACGCATTACAAGTACTGAAATCTGTTCGAAATTTATCTGATGCACCAAACGGCGAAGAGGAAGAAGCGTTTTTGATTTTGGCTCTTGCTCGATTTTCGTGAAAAAAAACTCACGTCGGCGAAACTACCGCTAGTCGCTGACGGCGCTGAGAACGTAACACTAACAGCTGCCTTGGCTATACACTAGACGAGTTTCTTTTTGACACGGCACAGGGCACCACGGACCAGGGGAGTGTTGACTTCGACTCCTTCAGCGGCCCAGCCCAGGCAATGAAGTATGGAACTGCATTTGCAAAGGAGGAAAGCGCGAATTTTGACACTTTCCTGACTTCGACTACGCGAAAAAGCGATGCTACGAACACGTGCAGCACACCTGGACCTGACACAGCTACAAGCTTCTATTGGGAAGCGGCTTTCAAAAACTCAGCGATACGCTATGTGTCCTCGATCCGGCTTTTTAACCACTACGAAAAGGAGACCGATTTGAACGGCGCAGAGATGGTCATTGACAGCGACGCAACCGTATGCATTGCAAAAGTATCGCATTCGCACTCGTTTAAAATGCATTACAAATAATTTTTATTTCCTCAGCATTAGAAATACAAGTGAAATTTGTATATGCGGATTTACTTTGAGAAAAAGTAGAAGACTTGTAGTGCATGGCTGCAATTACTACGAGTGCGATACTTTTGCACAGGATAAACCGGGGTTGACATTGGGACTATCTCTTCCATACCGGCACACCCGGCTACCGGTCTATTCGACACGGGTGGCACTGTGATCAAGATCAAGCGCAACCTGAACAAGATTCGCATTCGGAAGGACTCGCAGTTCACTATCTGTGGCGTTTTCATATACGGCGTCATGGAAGCATACCACGGAGACGGCATGCGCGCGGTCCAGAGCACCACCTATCCCCAACGCTCCGATGGAGCTTGGGACGTCGGCGGTTTGAATGCGGATAAGTACGTGCTCAATCAGAATGCCAGTGCTGTGGGGCCACTGGAAATGCCTCTCGGAAGGTGGCCATATAGGCTGGCCCGAACTGGCGAGACTTCGTACACTGCGGGAGCAGCGTCCGCACTCGGAGACCAGTATTGGCAGATGAGATTCGCCGACAACAAACCTCACTATGTCGACCAAATCCGGCTGGTGGCAGAAAAATTTGGCCAAGTGGGCGGGCAGGAGGTCAGATTTCCCGACCGTTTGAGCGTTTCACGTGCCTTCGTCGACGATCCACCATTTCACGCACGCAGTCTCACCAACGGAAACTTTACTCTGAATGCCGACACTAATTCGGAAGCAGAGGACATGGACAAGTACAGCGCCACTATCGTAGAAGAAAAAAGCCCCGGCGCCCTTAATGTACGCCGACACTCGAACAAGGAATTTTCGTGGCTAAAATAGTTTGATGCAATAAATCGTCGGAATCCAGGAGGACCAATCCATAACATATTCGACAAATACGAACTGCTTCGTAATGAGTAGAAGAACTATATTAATGCATAGTAGACGGCTTATGCTTAGTGTTATCTCTAGGTTTCGTATTCGTACAAGAAAAGTTCTGCGGACGCGTATAATAGGTAGTGGTGAGTTAAGCTCTGTTGAGCTTGAGCAGGTTCTTGATCGTTGACCTTCTCAAAACTCCGCCTTATTCCATTTTGGTATTCAAGGCAGCGTGGAGCGCGCGGGTCCGTGCAGCCAGTTGTAGTACGAGAAGCGGTAGTATTGTTCGAGTATCGGAAAGGGGGATCCATCGGGGTGTTTCCTCAGGACAGCGAACGGAGACAAGAACGTATCATAGCGAACAAAAGCTCCCTGCCCGGGTACCAGAGACACGAAACGCAGATTTCGCTGTTATTAAGTTTCCAAACATAGACAAGCAGAACCAGAACCAGAAACAAAAATTCTCAGGTTGCAAAAAAGGACGGCCGCGACAGTGATTGCGCGACTGCATTTTGTATCGACAGGTGGAAATCCCATGGCCATATATAATGATATTGATAATGAAATGAGAAAGGTATGGGAAACCACCTTCGTAAAGAACTCGGTTCGAAAGCATTATAAAAGGCCGCGAACGTGGTCACTTCAGAGCTTCTACCGTGCAGGGATGCTTTTTAATTCGATACGATGTTGCCCCCTTTCCCTGGGGTACGCGGCTAAAAATACAAAAAGAAATGACGAAATTCACAGTGCAGCGCATTCCTAACGCCGATCCGCTTGTCACTCTGGATTCGGCAAGCGGGACCGAAACCGCTACAACGGCAGATCTTTACTCCCTTTCCCTGGCTGGAATCGACGTCTATGCAAACACGGAAGTGAAGGCATGCGGTGGCGACCTCCGTCTTCCGATCAACGAGGAGCACGGCAAGGACGCTTCGGGCAGACAGAGCGAGTACGCCACTCGTTGGGTTTGCGACCAAATGGAGCAGGAAGACACGGATGGGGTCCTGCAGCCGTTCCGTGGTGTCCTGCTCTACGACCGAGTCCGCGGCCCCCCCGCCAACGACACCGGAAATGGGCTATCAAAATGAAAAGTGCAGCTACGCGACTGAGCTCGCAAGTTCGAAAAGATATTCGCGACGTAGGCAATAAAGAAGTTACAGCAGCCTAGAAATACTTCGGGGAAGCCGCGTGTTTGACATTCTTGCGGAGAAATGTAGCTTCTTCGCAAAAACGCAAATACAGATGACAAAAACGGCGCACGATCCGCGGCGGAGATTCTGCAGAGAGCGGACCCCGCCCGGTAAGCGTAATATCGATCCTACTTTGCAAAGCGTCAAAATACTTTCGATTGGAATCTCCTCTGCCACTTGTCACTTTTTTGAGTCTGCGCCGCACTTTTCACTTTCATGCGCCCCCGAGGTGATCTACCCCGTCCCTTCAGCCGCGGAGCTAAACGTCCGCCACACCTTTGTGTAGCCACAGTAAATTAATCGCACACGACGACAACACTGCTCGAGTACAATTGGCAAACTTGTACAACATGTATGACCAGAGCCAGACTCGGAATGCCAATGCGGTACAAGTGGAAAACTTGTACTTCTATGACCAGACTAGGACTAGGAGGTGGAGGAGCATAAGCATCCAAATCGAAATCCATATTGTTCTTTTTTTGTACTACGTGAACGAGATGAGCAAAAAAATGCAGTCTCACAAAGATGTTGTATTTTCAAAGCCATGTGCGGCAAATTTATGTTGCATACTGGGAGTTGTAGGCAAATAAGTCCGGCCGTGCAGGCTTGCACTGTGGGCACCGTCTGCGACGCCTGTCAATCGGCAAACGAGCGATGTCCGGATATTCTACTCAAAAACGTCCCCGCCCCACGCCCATCAGAGGGACCCTGGTGGAAACAGTCCTCGGTCATATCCACGACTGCGCAGTGTGCTATTTTTGTTTTAGCTCTTTTATAATTGCTAGTATCATCTTCAATATGTGCCTTAGGTCAGGGTGCAAATGGCGATCACTACATACCAATCTATTAGCACTTCTATTCTACAGAAGAGAGCAAATTTGTATTTGTCAACCTTCTTCTTGACATTCACCGAGGCCAGCCCGAGTCGTATACTTCTGCAGAATGATTTCATTCTTGATCTTGTCTATTGACTACGAGAATGGGGCGGATGAAACGTTTTTTCGCAGGATAGTGGACGGATGGATGGGCGCTGTGCACCTGGTCAGAGATTGCCAGAATGAGTTGATTCCCACAACGACCACGACGCCGCCGACCCTCCTGCTCTAGAAGCAGTAAAGTGCAACAAATCAATCAAGCCTGCAGAAGCTGGTGAAACACAAGAAGAACGTGAATACGCAACTTTTGAGCTGTCACACTGCAGACGCTCATCCACCGAACTCCGACACGTAGAGAGCGGACGTAGGCGCAGGTGCAATCCGGAGCTCTATACCAGCATGATTACAATTTCACCATATAAAACCTAATGAGGGGCAGCCGAAGTAGCCTCAACAGCAACTACAGCTGCGCTGCGTGTAAGATCATAGTACTAGTACAGAAATCGCGAAGCAAAAAACAGATGAATATTTATACGTCGGAAGAAGTAACGCTATAAAAGTCAGACTCAGAGGCATGATGATGCTGCCACAGAAAAAACACAAAGGCAATAAAGTCAAAAGTCAATACAAATGATGATGGTATTGTTTTCCTGTAACTGTATACACAATAGTAAGACTCAAATGACAGTGAAGCGCAAGCTTTATGCTGTTTGTTTTTCCAAGATCAAGATGTCAGCATCAGATGCGGCGTAAGTATTTTTCTTCAACCAGATAGCTGTGCTCGTCCTTCGAGAATTGTACCTCGCCAAGCGATGTAACGCCAGCGCGATACTACGTTAAAGAGCGTCCCCAAGATGAATTCTGGCGAATTAAATCCTCTTGATATACTGCTGCGCCGCGGTCTTTCTGGCGATGTAGAAAGCTTGGAAATGAATGATACAAATATGGTGCAGTTGTGACGTTATCTCGTCTGCAGCCAGAAAAATGTTTCCATGTACAATCGGATATTGATAAATATTCTTGAACTTTCGGACCCCCGCGCCCCCTTTGAATCTTCTCAAAAAAAACGAAGGGCGCGCCGGACATTCTTCTCAAGAGAAAAAGAGCGGGCGCGAGAAAGTTGAGGAATTATTAGCACGACCCACAGCATTTTTCGGATTCAACAAGGGGTCCGGGGACGCACTCCCATTTGTTTAGTAATATTTATCGACATCCGTACGGAATTCAGAAAGAAATCTAGAACAGATTTCCGCGGCTATTCTGCAGCGACCTCCTCCCATCGTTGCTCATTTTCCTGCGCTTTTTGCCGCGTCCCTTCTCGGCGCGCGTGGTTTTGCATTTGCTTACGCGCGACCTCCGGCGCGCCGCACTAGTAGAGCGCTACTCTAAGGGGAGCCGCGTGGTCTCTCGCGAAGAAGAGCGAGGACCCTCCTCTACTTCAAATAGATTATCTTTTTGAAGACGAAGACTATCCGACCCGTGAAGCAGATCTTATTCTTCTCGCGGATCGTCCTCCTCTTCAGGAAGTAAGATCATCTTTCAGAAGAAGAGGATCTTCCTACTCGTGTAGAAGATCTGCTTCTTCTCGAGGATCGTCTTCTTCTTCAAAAAGAAGAAGATCTTCCTCTTCGTGAAGCCCAAAGCGCGCCATGCGCTCCTGCAGAACTTTATCCCCGACGGCGTGATGCGTCGGGGGCGCAAAAAAAGCCAACGAATCTGCCGGCTCGCGTTAAAATGGTTGGCAGGTCTGGCATGCCAGACCTGCCAACCCAAAAGAAAAAAAAGAAGAATCAAAATTCTTCTTTTTTTGTTTTTGGGTTGGCAGGTCTGGCATGCCAGACCTGCCAACCATTTTAACGCGAGCCGGCAGATTCGTTGGCTTTTTTTGCGCCCCCGACGCATCACGCCGTCGGGGATAAAGTTCTGCAGGAGCGCATGGCGCGCTTTGGGCTTCACGAAGAGGAAGATCTTCTTCTTTTTGAAGAAGAAGACGATCCTCGAGAAGAAGCAGATCTTCTACACGAGTAGGAAGATCCTCTTCTTCTGAAAGATGATCTTACTTCCTGAAGAGGAGGACGATCCGCGAGAAGAATAAGATCTGCTTCACGGGTCGGATAGTCTTCGTCTTCAAAAAGATAATCTATTTGAAGTAGAGGAGGGTCCTCGCTCTTCTTCGCGAGAGACCACGCGGCTCCCCTTAGAGTAGCGCTCTACTAGTGCGGCGCGCCGGAGGTCGCGCGTAAGCAAATGCAAAACCACGCGCGCCGAGAAGGGACGCGGCAAAAAGCGCAGGAAAATGAGCAACGATGGGAGGAGGTCGCTGCAGAATAGCCGCGGAAATCTGTTCTAGATTTCTTTCTGAATTCCGTACGGATGTCGATAAATATTACTAAACAAATGGGAGTGCGTCCCCGGACCCCTTGTTGAATCCGAAAAATGCTGTGGGTCGTGCTAATAATTCCTCAACTTTCTCGCGCCCGCTCTTTTTCTCTTGAGAAGAATGTCCGGCGCGCCCTTCGTTTTTTTTGAGAAGATTCAAAGGGGGCGCGGGGGTCCGAAAGTTCAAGAATATTTATCAATATCCGTACAGATTTCAGAAAGAAATCTAGAACAGATTTCCCCGGCTATTCTTCAGCGACTTCCCCCCATCGTGTCTCGTTTTTTTTACCTTTCTGGCGCGCTTCTTCTCGGCGCGCGAGGTTTTGCATTTGCTTGCGCGCGACCTCCGACGCGCCGGAGCGAGGCCGCGCACGGCTTGGAAAGCAAGAGCGCAAACGACGCGCCCCGCGTTCTGTCCTGCGCTTGCGCCAGTGCCGCTCCTTAGTAAAGCAAATTCTGCAGCATCCAAGACAGCGCGACTGTGCCGCCGCTGGCGACTGGCAGGTCTGGCATGCCAGACCTGCCAACCCAAAAACAAAAAAAAAAGAATTTTGATTCTTCTTTTTTTTCTTTTGGGTTGGCAGGTCTGGCATGCCAGACCTGCCAGTCGCCAGCGGCGGCACAGTCGCGCTGTCTTGGATGCTGCAGAATTTGCTTTACTAAGGAGCGGCACTGGCGCAAGCGCAGGACAGAACGCGGGGCGCGTCGTTTGCGCTCTTGCTTTCCAAGCCGTGCGCGGCCTCGCTCCGGCGCGTCGGAGGTCGCGCGCAAGCAAATGCAAAACCTCGCGCGCCGAGAAGAAGCGCGCCAGAAAGGTAAAAAAAACGAGACACGATGGGGGGAAGTCGCTGAAGAATAGCCGGGGAAATCTGTTCTAGATTTCTTTCTGAAATCTGTACGGATATTGATAAATATTCTTGAACTTTCGGACCCCCGCGCCCCCTTTGAATCTTCTCAAAAAAAACGAAGGGCGCGCCGGACATTCTTCTCAAGAGAAAAAGAGCGGGCGCGAGAAAGTTGAGGAATTATTAGCACGACCCACAGCATTTTTCGGATTCAACAAGGGGTCCGGGGACGCACTCCCATTTGTTTAGTAATATTTATCGACATCCGTACGGAATTCAGAAAGAAATCTAGAACAGATTTCCGCGGCTATTCTGCAGCGACCTCCTCCCATCGTTGCTCATTTTCCTGCGCTTTTTGCCGCGTCCCTTCTCGGCGCGCGTGGTTTTGCATTTGCTTACGCGCGACCTCCGGCGCGCCGCACTAGTAGAGCGCTACTCTAAGGGGAGCCGCGTGGTCTCTCGCGAAGAAGAGCGAGGACCCTCCTCTACTTCAAATAGATTATCTTTTTGAAGACGAAGACTATCCGACCCGTGAAGCAGATCTTATTCTTCTCGCGGATCGTCCTCCTCTTCAGGAAGTAAGATCATCTTTCAGAAGAAGAGGATCTTCCTACTCGTGTAGAAGATCTGCTTCTTCTCGAGGATCGTCTTCTTCTTCAAAAAGAAGAAGATCTTCCTCTTCGTGAAGCCCAAAGCGCGCCATGCGCTCCTGCAGAACTTTATCCCCGACGGCGTGATGCGTCGGGGGCGCAAAAAAAGCCAACGAATCTGCCGGCTCGCGTTAAAATGGTTGGCAGGTCTGGCATGCCAGACCTGCCAACCCAAAAGAAAAAAAAGAAGAATCAAAATTCTTCTTTTTTTGTTTTTGGGTTGGCAGGTCTGGCATGCCAGACCTGCCAACCATTTTAACGCGAGCCGGCAGATTCGTTGGCTTTTTTTGCGCCCCCGACGCATCACGCCGTCGGGGATAAAGTTCTGCAGGAGCGCATGGCGCGCTTTGGGCTTCACGAAGAGGAAGATCTTCTTCTTTTTGAAGAAGAAGACGATCCTCGAGAAGAAGCAGATCTTCTACACGAGTAGGAAGATCCTCTTCTTCTGAAAGATGATCTTACTTCCTGAAGAGGAGGACGATCCGCGAGAAGAATAAGATCTGCTTCACGGGTCGGATAGTCTTCGTCTTCAAAAAGATAATCTATTTGAAGTAGAGGAGGGTCCTCGCTCTTCTTCGCGAGAGACCACGCGGCTCCCCTTAGAGTAGCGCTCTACTAGTGCGGCGCGCCGGAGGTCGCGCGTAAGCAAATGCAAAACCACGCGCGCCGAGAAGGGACGCGGCAAAAAGCGCAGGAAAATGAGCAACGATGGGAGGAGGTCGCTGCAGAATAGCCGCGGAAATCTGTTCTAGATTTCTTTCTGAATTCCGTACGGATGTCGATAAATATTACTAAACAAATGGGAGTGCGTCCCCGGACCCCTTGTTGAATCCGAAAAATGCTGTGGGTCGTGCTAATAATTCCTCAACTTTCTCGCGCCCGCTCTTTTTCTCTTGAGAAGAATGTCCGGCGCGCCCTTCGTTTTTTTTGAGAAGATTCAAAGGGGGCGCGGGGGTCCGAAAGTTCAAGAATATTTATCAATATCCGTACAGATTTCAGAAAGAAATCTAGAACAGATTTCCCCGGCTATTCTTCAGCGACTTCCCCCCATCGTGTCTCGTTTTTTTTACCTTTCTGGCGCGCTTCTTCTCGGCGCGCGAGGTTTTGCATTTGCTTGCGCGCGACCTCCGACGCGCCGGAGCGAGGCCGCGCACGGCTTGGAAAGCAAGAGCGCAAACGACGCGCCCCGCGTTCTGTCCTGCGCTTGCGCCAGTGCCGCTCCTTAGTAAAGCAAATTCTGCAGCATCCAAGACAGCGCGACTGTGCCGCCGCTGGCGACTGGCAGGTCTGGCATGCCAGACCTGCCAACCCAAAAACAAAAAAAAAAGAATTTTGATTCTTCTTTTTTTTCTTTTGGGTTGGCAGGTCTGGCATGCCAGACCTGCCAGTCGCCAGCGGCGGCACAGTCGCGCTGTCTTGGATGCTGCAGAATTTGCTTTACTAAGGAGCGGCACTGGCGCAAGCGCAGGACAGAACGCGGGGCGCGTCGTTTGCGCTCTTGCTTTCCAAGCCGTGCGCGGCCTCGCTCCGGCGCGTCGGAGGTCGCGCGCAAGCAAATGCAAAACCTCGCGCGCCGAGAAGAAGCGCGCCAGAAAGGTAAAAAAAACGAGACACGATGGGGGGAAGTCGCTGAAGAATAGCCGGGGAAATCTGTTCTAGATTTCTTTCTGAAATCTGTACGGATATTGATAAATATTCTTGAACTTTCGGACCCCCGCGCCCCCTTTGAATCTTCTCAAAAAAAACGAAGGGCGCGCCGGACATTCTTCTCAAGAGAAAAAGAGCGGGCGCGAGAAAGTTGAGGAATTATTAGCACGACCCACAGCATTTTTCGGATTCAACAAGGGGCCCGGGGACGCACTCCCATTTGTTTAGTAATATTTATCGACGTCCGATATAAATTATAAAAGACATGGCGCCATGTTGATTCCGCTTCGTCAAACGAAGAAGCTCGTCATCCATAGAACAGCAATAATTAGAGTAGAGAGGCTTCCCGGAGATGTTGAGTCTAGGTACGCAGTACCTGTCCATCTACATCATCGTCCGGGCGAATATAACGAGTAATCGAGTTCATGTTCAACTCCTACATACTCAAGAGTCTGAGCTTCGTGCAACTCTGTATCGAGATTTGCAGTCGAAAACCTCTGTTGTCCTTGCTTCCCGGCGTGTCAACATGGTAATCTTGTCAATTTTAGGCATCCTAGTCGCGCCGTCTGGTGTCTCGTTTTCTTGTGCTCATGAGAGGAGGCGTCGTGTGAGACCAACGAAAAAAAGTTTTGAGACAGATGAAAAACAGAGCGACTGTAGGGTAACCGACGGGAAAATCAAATCAGTTTTTCGCTACTACAAAAAAAAACCGGACGGCTGGATTTGCATGAACATAGAATGAACATGGAAAAGTCGTCACATTGACATTGTTGCGCGTGCTTCACCATTTATAATCAATCACTCTTAGTAGATGCATTTGCATTGACTGCGGACAAAAAAATCCGAAGTCAAGGACGTGCAGCACGGAGAAACTACTATTTATTTGAGGATGCCGATGATTTTTGCTTTGCTTCTGGGTGCCGTCCTCGCCTCAGGCACGGTCGTAAGCAAACGCAAAAATACTGTGTCGGGCCGCAAAAACATTTCAGAGAAAAAGCTGAAAGACAAAGACGGCTCCAGGAGGCAAGTGAAGAGAGAGCAGGGACACCAAACCCGGAGGCAGCAAGGCGCGATGACAGTGAGAAGCATGAAGATGAGCAACAAAAACAGCAGGAGCAGGAGCAAGATACCGCTACCGAATAGCGGAACCCTCGGCGGGGGCGTTCTTGGTTCTGCCGAGCCAGATTCGAGCTTTTTCTCCCCGACGCTTCCAGGCGGGGATGGGCTTGGCGGGGAATTTGAGGACGCGGCAATGTATGCGGACGAGGAGCTCGAGCAAAGCCTCCAATCGCCCGCGTCTGACGAGTTCGCGCCGAGTCAGCTCACCAGTGGCTTGGTGAGGCTCCACCGCATTCCGGGAATATCCCAGCAAAAGAGCTTTTGTCAGTGCAAGGTGCAACTTCAATCTTGTCGTTTGCCTTATTTCATGTTGAATCCAAAACAGCTGCAGCTGCACCATTGACAACATACACGACGGGTGGAGCAATTCATTTAGTTTTATCCGCGCTGGCAAAAACAAACGTGCCCTGGTTGTGTATGGCAACTAAGTACAAGTAGCACTAGCTATCACGACGTGTTCCTTTTGCATGGAGATGGACCCTTGCTGGCTCTGTGGCACATATAGCAACTGTCCCGGCCTCCGTGCATGAACAACGTGATGCCGTTCTATTACAATAGTACAGTTACAGCTTTGCACTGGCGTAGTTTTTTGCTTCGATCCTTTCGAACTGACGTGTACAACATACCGGCTTCCGCGTCGAAATCAAGCTTGGTCGAGAAGTTCAAGAAGCAACAAAACCCCCTCAACGCGTACTACGGAGCTCGGGTCGCTGGGAAGGAAGCAGGCGCGACGCCACCGAAGTCGAAGCAGCAGCGAGAAGCAGATGCGATCGAGGCCAGGAATCGGGGGGAAGACGCGTTTCTCACGGACGCCAGTCGCGCAGAGGATGAGAAAGACATGGATTTTCTCACAGACACGGAGCTCGTCACGACAAACAGCCTGCACACGAATCCCGAGACCCTCAACGAGGTTGCGCAGGGCATCAGCGTCACCACCGGGCTTCCCGGCAAAAGCGGAAGCGCCATAACGAGGAACTTTCTGGCCACGAAGCAGGCGCAATCGCCGCACAGCGTGCTGCTGGTGAATGGTAAGACAGAAACGGATGGCGTGGACGATCTCGCGCATGAGTACGCAGAGCAGCGACAGCTAGAAGCGGAGATCTTCGGCGACTACGGCAGTCAATCTCCACCCGGGACCGCACCCACTCCGCGCGCGCTAGACATGCAGCTGATGGCCAAGAAGAAATTCCAACAATCGCGCATGGAGCAGAAGAGAAATCCCACCGCCGTGAACATGAGCGGAACCATAGTTTCCAATGCAACCGACGTAAACTCGACTCTGCCTGACAACGTCACCTGCGGCAAGATGTTTGCCTTCGACCACTCGCAAGGCGTGCCCGCGCTGGGGTGGGACATGATGGAAATTGCCTGGATCTGCGACACCCAACGGGACGCTCAGGGTAACGTGGTGAACGCGTGGTTACACAAGAAGTTTGAGCTGGACATTGGACCGATGACGCCCGCTATGGGCAAATCAAACGGCAACCCACCTGTCCTTCACGAGTACCTCGGCTGCAGCCTGAACACCACGCGCCACGATGTGGGCCTCAATGACTGCGTCACGGGTGGTCACTGCCCGCAGTGCAGCTACGCGACGTGTCCGACAACTGAGCCTGGTGTGGTGAAGAAGCAGTTTTTCCTCGACTGTCGCCAGAACGCCACCACGCCCCTGAATACGAGTTTCGGACCCCCTCCCGTACCCTGTATGGACTGTAAAAATGTCTGGGTCTGGAAACTTGTGATGCTGGGTGGCGTATCATGAAGATTCCACAAGTGCTGGCTCAGCATGACAAGCTTTTGAGCTTTTAGGTGTTGCCTATTCTGCATGTCAAACTGCGTTTCTGCATGACAGCAACGTGGGGCTCTTGGGTAACGTGCATGACAGATTTAAAGAGCCATGCCAGACTAGCATGACAGAGCTCGCATTCTTCCAGACCCAGACACTTTTACATTTGATACCCTACCCACTGCAGCAACACTCGGGCTAATGTGCCATCCTTTGAACAAGCCTTCAAATCAGAGACGCTAGAAAACGTCGCAATGACGATCCAATTTATGGAGGCACGTGAACATTTTTATTGCTGCAGGGGGCGGGTTTGTAAGATATTTTTTCGTGGTTTTCGCAATTGATTATTTAAGTGTTTTTCAAATCATCTTGAAGTATAGAGAGTCGAGTTCACGATGCACCAAACCCGGTACAGAGGACGAGCCAAGTATTCAAGAAGAAAAAAGCAAAAAGATCATCTTGAGGTACCAAGGCATCTCTCACTCAAGGACCGACCGCAAATGAAACAGAAGATGGAGCAGCAATTGTAGTGCCATTGCTGGCTGAGGCTGTCTGCATGATCGAAAGCGCAACACATTCTGGCCATGCGCTGACACAGTCAGCCGAACGCAAAACATGTTGCTGGGCACTAAGTACAACTCAGCCCTATTGTAAAATCACTCTGCTGGGTTTGCTGGTTAAATCAGAATTGAGAAAAAAATGAGGATGTGGATTTCCATGAGTGGGCACTTAATACGACCACAAGTACTATATCCAGAAAATCACTTGAAAAAACTCGATAGCCATATTAGGCTTTCAGCTTCCTGCCGCCCAGCAAAAACCTGGATGTGTGAATGGCCCATATTCCTATTCACTCTATGCGTATCTTCTGACTCTGAGAAGTGCGTACAGATAAGCATGGGTTTTTTCCTCGTGGTCTTTCTGTCTTTTGCGCCATTGTGATTCTTGTGTCCGGTCTACTTCAAGTTCAATAACATCGTCCTCATATGGGATACAACATCGCGTAACTCTAACTGAGAATCAGCAGGGGAGCGATCGTGATTCGTGAGCCTGTTTTTTTTCTTGACGAAATTGGCGATTGCCAAGGAAAACGACGTTGAGTGGGCGCCATTTTTTTCGAGCTGTACTGCCACTGCGCATAGTCAATGTATCAATGGAGATGAAGCCATACTTGCTGCCGCTACGAGGGTAGTATTTGTTTTTGCACCACTCGTAGCGTCAGCACGTCTCCGAGTGTAGCCGAAGGTCCTTCAACATCTCCGTATCTATTCTGTGAGAGTTGAAGTTCACAACTTTTGAGAGTGAGAACAACAGTTTCCGTTGTGCTCTACTTTGCTTCTCTTCTGCAAATTTGCAAGCTTAGTCGTTTCTCTGAAAGTGCCAGGTATGAAGGTGAAGTGGCCAACATCAAGAAGAAGACTCAAAGTGTGATAAAATCACGCTTGCGTTCTTGGAGCATCCGGCCTTCACAATCGACCGCGGCTATAATGGCTGGCTTGTACTAGGACGAACTCACTGAACCTGGAGGCAGGAGCACGTTGCGCGACCGGTCCTCCGGCACCAGGCAGCACTGCCTTTGGGTAGGAATCTCTTTGTCCCCTAACGGTCGAAACTCGTTTTCCGAGCTGTCGCAACGTTCGTTCCAGCGAGAGACGAACGGTAGTAACGCGAAGCCGCTGCCGCATGATTGGAAAGTTCTGAGCTTGCTGTAGAGCACCAGCGCGTGCACGAACGTGACGATGAAAGGGGCGCAGTCTCCCTCTTCGCCCGGCAAAGCGGGAAAGAACAGCAAAGGAGCACTGGCTACGGCGACGCAGAATAAAGGCAAGGGTAAGGGCGTTGCAGGAGGAGGTCTGCAAGCAACAAAAAAAGGAAAGGGCGGAAAGCACAAAGCAGGCAAAAAGCCGGAAGAAGCCGACGCGTCTCTCACTTCGCCACGCGGAGCTGCTATGAAGCGAGAAAACTTTGCTGATATCATCTTCTCGCAGGATGCTAAATTCAAATTGCGTCTCATTTTATTTAGAGCCCGTAGTTGTTAGTATTAGTAAGCTGCGAAGCGCGACTCGGATAGTTCGAAATCATGAGCAAACTAGCACCCCCTGTTTCACGCCGACGCGGTATCTGTGAGATGATGCAACGCATACCGGACAGCTCATAAAGATTGATCTAGGCTACGTACTTAATCTTGTCTTGTATGTTGGTTGAAACCGAAATAGTACTCGTGATGAACGTCACTATCTAACATCTTCACCTTCAGCGAGACCAGCGACAGAAGTTTTTCTTTTGATCGTGTGGCCATCAGTGACCGGAAAAAAAGGAAGCAAGGCGGGGTTGGTCGGACCCGGCAAAGACGCGCAAAGCCAGGATAAGAACGACATCACGTTCGATCACACAAATGTAGCGAAAGCAAAAGGCAAGTCCAAGGCAAAAGGTAAGTCGGCAGAGTCGACAGGAAAGAAAGGCGCTCCTAGTAAACCCGCTTCCGAGGCCGGAGCCGGCGAAGACGAAGACGTAGCAACAAAGGGCCCAACATCAAATAACAAGGGCAGCATGAAAAAAGGAAAAGGCAAGGACGCAGCCGTGGCCTCTGCCCCGGTTGGCATAAAGGGCAAAAAAGGAAGTCAGAAGGATTCTGCAGCATTCGGCGCAGACGAAGCAGGAGAAGCCGCAGCCGGGGAAGATGCCGTGGGTGGAAAGGGTGGCGCAAAACCATCTGGCGTCAAGAAGGGTGCATCTGCCTCCAAAAGCAAGGGTAGCAAAGCATCATCCAAAGACGTAGGCGGCCCGCGCCCGGATACCGGCTTGCAGGGAAAAGGATCAGTGGGTAGCAAGGCTGCAAGTAAAGTTGGTAAAGCAGGCGTAAAATCTTCACTGGCGGACGACGAGGACGCCGGAACTATTACGGGCACGAAGGACGGAAAAGGAAAAAAATCGAGCGGCAAACAGGGCGAGCTCAAGGGCATAGGAAAGGGAAAGACAAAAGGTGGAAAAGACGCTGCGTCGATGAAGAAAGGCCCGCAATTCTTGCCAAGCACGCCTCCTGCGAGTACCGAGGGAGTCACTTTGGAAATAATCGGAGCGGATTCCTCTGTCCAAGAGAATGCTGGAGCCAAAGCAAAGGGAAAGAAAAAAGGAGAGAAGGGCGGCAAAGGTAAAAGCAAATCCACTAAGTCGTCTCTCGACGGCGGTGGAAAGGCAATAAAGGGGCAAGGAAAGCAAATTTCCGCGGGTCCGCTTGACTCCAGCGCTGCTTCCCTGGCGGCTCCCGGCAAAAAAGGAGCAAGCTCAAAGAAAGGCGCAGCGGTAGCTAAAGGCGCGAGTAGTAAAAAAGGCGGAGGAGCAAAGCTATCCGATAAAAACGACTTCGGCGGCAAGTTTCTCGGCGCACAAGGTGGTGCCGACGACGGCAGTAGCTTTTCTTTGGCCTTCGAGCAAGATGCGGACATCACCGCGGGCCACGGCGGACCAGCACTGCACCTTGATTATTTACACGGATTTACCGATGAGGCACCACACCAAGGCGATGAACTTGGTGGACGACCTACTGCAGAAGTAGATGATGAACCAGGCGTGTACCACAAAGCAAATCCAACGCCGCGCTTGACCGCGCCTGCCGGCTCGGCTTTTGAAGAGGTGTCGGTCCTCGTCGAGCCTGCCGCGTACTATCCTGTGCAGAAGCATCGTACTAGTATAAATTGCAACACAAATTAGCTCAGCATTACAAAAAAAAATTTGTAATGCGGATTTGCCTTCAGAAAAAGATTTGTAATGCATAAAAGCAATTAGTACGAGTACGATACTTTTGCACAGGATACGTACGACACGCCTGCGATCTCCGAGACGGAAGATACGCCCGCGCAAAAAACGGAGCAGAAAATGTTGGACCTGCTGCGCCGTGTTGGGGAGCAAAAAGAGTCTGTTCACACGAGCGAGTGGGACACCTTCGTGTCCTTGACGCTCATGAAGACCCTCCAACTGCAACCACAGGAGGCCGTCGCGCTCGTTTTGTTATCGCCTGAAAGTAGGATAGTGCACTTTGCGGTCAGGTACAGGTGTGAAGTAAACGATTATTTACACAAGTGATATTCAACGCTTGTATTTACTTAGCGCTAAGTAAAGGAGGAGCGCGTTACTAGTTAGTATGGCCAAGGGCAAGGTCTTCTTGTCGGACGCTACACCTGATCCAATTGTGGTCCGCATTTGTGACAATTCCATACCCAAAGCCGTCCCTGTCGCTGCCACCCAGTGCGCTGCAGAGGCAGCGCCGCACCCTGCTGTACGACGTGGTTCTGGAGTCGGAATTTCCTTCCAGCGACGTGGTACTCCAGCCGATGCAGAGCCTGTCCATGGGGTTGCGTCTGTGGCTGTGCGACCTGCTGAAGCAAGACCGGGAAGTTGCGCAGCGACTGACGCAGTTGGACCTGCAAACGAGCTTCTTTTTTTTCGGCCAGTTGCTGTCCACCGGGTGTGCCGACCTCGTACTGCAGCTGCTGACGCGTGTGCTGCAACAAGCGGGTAACGGCAGGGCAGAAACCGCGGAGATTTTCCAGTGGCTTATCACGTCGGACGCGCTGCCGGACCTGATGAACCTTCTCCAGGGTGCGGCTATCCACGCCGAGAAAACAGGAGAGGGACGCAACAGCAGCTCTCGTCTCGCTGGAGGGAGACCTCCCGCCGAAATGATGCAATATGGCGAGGCGGATGCGATAAACATAAAGCCGGCGGACCAGGCCGGCGGACAGGATGGGTCAGCTCCTGACGGTCCTGGTCACACTACCATAGAACAAATGGAAGCTGCGGCAGCACAAGAAGCAAGCGCAATCGCGACTTCATCACCGACTTCAAGGCCACAGCGGTACCTTGCAGCGGGACCACTTTCTGCGTTCAAAGAGGAAAATGCGCGAACAAAGATGCCACGTGGTTCCCGCGCAGGTGTTGGAAGCGGCATTTCTCCAGTCGCGCGAGTGGTACCTCTCGGCGTTTCTAATGGGAACATTTCCGCCGACGCAGTTTCAGCTTTTGTGTACCTTTGCTCAAGAGACGCACAAATAGAGTTGTGGACCCAGTTCCTCCCGGAAATGGCCGATATGGAAACAATTTACCTCCTGGGCCGCTGTTTCCTGGAACGAGCCGACGCAGCGGAAGCGCTCTATTGGCAAGGTGCAAACGATACTACACCACCAGAAACCAAGCAATGAGCAAGAATTTTTACGTGATATTTTTTTCTCAGAAGAATGTTCTTTATTTATGAGGATAAACAAAGGTACACAACATCAACATCTAGTTTTCATACTGCATCAGCATCTTCTGATCCTGAGCCTGATCTACAAAAAAAAAAGAGCTGCTTACGCCTCTATTAAAACAACGCAAGGTGCCCTCGGGCCGCTGTTGGACTTTTGTTTGCAAACGGACGACATTCTTGGCCTCTGTTTCGCGGCGGAGCTTGTCTTGCGCTTTCACGACCGCCAGCTGTCGCCCATGTCTGTGGATGATGCCTGTGCCAGCCTGCTAGAACGACTGCGCGCGGCCGCTTTGGTGTTTCCTGCCACCACGGAGACCTACCAAGCCTGGTCCTGCCTGTTCTTCCTCGTGGAGGCCTTCTGCGAGGCGCAGGTGGTGCGGTACGCGAGCGCAGCGTATCGGACAATTTGCTGCGTGTTTATGGAGAGAGGCATGCTGTTTCATCACCAGCGCGAGCAGGACAAGGACGTCGTTACAGGAGCGGGCTCCTCCTCGACAAGTAGGGCCGCAAGCTCCACCGACCCAATTCGCGCCTTCGCGCTGCGGCACTTGATTCGCTTTCTCGAGCAGCCTATGGCGTTCTCAAACGTTACATTCTCAACTGTTACATGAGTTTCTTTGTAATGCAAGAGTGGCAAAAGTACGGGAGGAAGATTGCGCCTTTTGCATTACAGATTTGGGACGGATTATAGTGCTATTTAGCGCGTCGAGAAGTTGCCATGCAAGGCAGGCTTGTTCGTGTGAATAGTGATAGTGTTTTTGCATGACAAATCATGCAACAGTTGAGAATGTAACGTTTGAGAGCCCCATACAGCCCTACGTCCCCGTCGGCGTATTAGCCGAGCTGCTCCTATGGAAGTGTCAGAATCGAAATTGACAAAATCGAAAGATTTGTGATGCATAAAATCAATACCAGTTGGAGCCTCAGTTTCCAAGTGGCGCATCACAAATTTCGGGAGCACCGAAATCCAGTCTGTCATGGTGTTTGGACAAAGAAGACTGCCCCTGTCACGCTATTCTGGCAGCGCATTGCATACCCCTAAACAGGCTTGCCATCGGTCTCATTTGCCTGCTCCCCAATACAGGCCTTCAGTGCCCTACATTTTATGCATCACAAGTTTTTCGATATTGTCGATTTCGATCCTGACACATCCATAGCTCCTGAAGCAGCTTGACGTGACCCAGGCCCTGTCCCTTGCGGATCTTGATCTCCTCATGGCGCTTGCAGGGCACGACAGGTGCATGTTGTAGAAGCATTAAGCTAGAAGCTTTGCAAAATAAGTGTATAACGTCTGCACATTTTCAAGATTAAGATTGATTTTACATGAAGAAATGCATATTGCATTCGGTTTACCGAAAAACGAGGTCACTTGTTTCTTTCGCGATCATGATTGACACTATGACTCACACTCAGTGACTTCATCCCACTGATGCAAGCTCCTTCGAGCACATTTGTCAACATCCTCGGTGCACGAAATCTAAATCGCCATCAGCACGAACTATCTATCCATCGAACAACATAGGTTAGCGGGGAGCCACGGCATCCGGCTGCTGGAGGTTTTGGGTCAAGCGTGTTTTCTAAATCCACAGTACGCGCGAGCAGCTCTGATTCCTTTTTTGAAGCTGCTCAGGCGCTTCTGCGAGGAAGAATTATTCTGTGTCAAAAGTGCCCAGCCCGAGCTCGGAGTCGTCACCCAGTTTAGGTAGAGGCTGTACAGGGCGACGCAGCATCACCAATGGTGATTCACCATCATACATAATGACACTCGCAGCTACTTGACGATGGTGCCTGCATGCGCATGATCAAGTGCCGTCGGCTTTACAAATAAGACGTCGCGGATTATATGCATCAATCTGCATGCGTCCAGTCCTGAAGTAATGTGAGAAAGAATCCTTCTAGGTGGTGGACAGAAAGCGTTTACACAGAATAAGAATCTGCCCGCAGCTATGTTGAGAAATTGACGCGGATTGGTCTCACCTACGTGCTGAAGGACGGAGCCAAGTGGAGAACTGCTCTGGTGGTGGACCTGCTCACGAAAGTTGGGCGGTTGGGGGGCAATTTGGGAGAAGCAGTGAAACGCCCTGCGGTGGAAGCGGCGATCACCTACCTACGTACCTTCAAAGGGGTGCTGCTGCACCAAAGCCTGCGACACATCCTCGAAGTTTGGCCGGAAGAGCTGAGAACGCTGCAGGACGCGTTTTACAACATAAACTACGACGAGGAGGAAAGTGCTGGACCTACGCGAGTCAACCTCGATGAAGTTGAAGGCGCCGCGGGGTCAGCAACAGCAGGGCCAGGTGCTGCACCTCCACCACTGGACAACTATCTTTCGTCAGGAGCAGCTGCCGGTATGCCTATCGAAACGGAAATCCGCCTAAATCCCGACTTTCTGAATTCTGGTGCCGTTGAGTTTTGATATTCTTATCGTTAGCGTTACGGCGAACGCCTTTCGAAAAATAATACAAAAAAAAAACACAAAGCGAACGAGGGGTGGGCAAAATTGATAAATAAATATGTAAATTGGCTCCCCGTAGTACCAGCGACGTGCTTTTTCTTTTCTTCAATACACTATGACTACGTGCTTCTTCTTTTTGTTCTTCTTTTTGTTAAAAATTAATCGTTGGACGACGACGTCGCAAATAATTATATCAAGTGTGCAAACTCTAGCATGATTCTTAGCACTTCTATTCTAGGTTGATAGTGCAAAACAGAACCACAGAATTATCGAATGACTAGAGACAGAAGATGAGCTTGAAGTTGAACTTGTAAATTGTATCTACCTCGTCCTCGCCCCAGCCGCGAGGGCGAGCATCCTATTTGTATTCTTTCTCAGATTGATACTGCTGACGAAGAAACAAATTGTTCTTGAATGGGACTGGGAGTCCTGGAAAAGTTGAAGAGTAGATGTCGACATATTTCGTTGACGTTGATGAGTCTTGATCATGCCTAAGATACGTGCCCACCGTTGCCTTCCATTGATTGTTCAAAAGAAAATGGAAGCTGCGATAGAGAAGAGAGACAAACACATTCGAGCCTGCAAGCATATCACTTGAGTGTTTTACATCAGAACGAAACCTGCATCAATCTAAGCCATTCATATTATCTTTATCGATCCGGATCCATCCAACATCCATCAATTGCAATCAACAAATCATCATCAAAATCATGAATCCCTCTCGGGAATATGGAACAAACCAGATAGATAATTTTTCTCGATATCGGAGAAAATGATGATAGATTTCGAAAATATATCGATTGATTTCGAAAATGACGATGGATTTCGGAAACTCTTCTTCAAATTATTGACCTACAATTACAAAATTACTTACATATCGAAAAAAATTAATTTCTGAGTCTCGAACTAGAGCCTGAAGATCTTTATTTTTCGAATGCCATTTCTCTATTTCAATCTTTATCTTTATCATTTGAGGTTACATGATGATGAGAATGAACAAGAGAGACAATCTCGGACCGGACCAAAGCGACAATTTCATTAATTTGAGTCAGTCATGCCCAGACATGACAAGAAAGAAAGAAAGAATCGATTGATATAGGAATCCGATTTAATATGATTTATTTTCATCGATCTTTTCTTCGATAGTGTTGCCTTCTATTTTATTCATTTTGATTCAGACATTTGATGTTGATTTGGAGCAAAAAAAATTGGAATTATTCATCAGAATTTGAGTTGAAGAATTTTCATTGGAAAATTTTCCGATAATTGGTTGTGAAATTTTTCCATATTCGTTTTTTTTTTCTCGGAAAATTAAAAATGATATGTTCATTGCGACGCGTTCCGATGAGATAACTAAAAGTGGAATTTCGTGGAATTTTGCGTCTCGAAAATTGGCAGCAGGGCGCTATGTCCCTCGCCCTGGCAACATTGCCCCATTGAGTAGACCTGCGCGATGTTTTCTATCTCGCCCTGGCTCCCAGCCGTTCTTTGTGTATTTTTTTCAGCCAGCCAGCCCCGGGCAAATTCGGGCCAATAAAATCAGCGTAAAAAAGCACTAAGAAAAAAGCTGCGCCGGGTTTCGTCCCATTGGCTTTGTTTATTGATTGGGAAGGGGTTTGCTTTTCGGAAATCCCGAAGGGCGCCGCGTGTTGCCCCCGGGGGGGAAACTAATGGAGCCCGGAGGCCCTGTCCTTTTGTTCCCTATTCCAACGGGTGCCGCATTTGGCTTCTGTGTCCGCCGCGAGGGCGCAGGCCTGCCATTTGCCTTGCCGAAATCGCCCGGCTTGCCGCCGGGGACGGGTTTCGCCGGGTTGCTTCTCGGGTGGCGCTTTCGTGGTCGTGTTTCTCGGCCCGGGGCCTGGGTTTTGCCTTGTTTTTTCCTAAGGGGCCCGTGGGGGCAGGGTGTCGCCCGCCGGTACCGGGAAGCCGATCCCGGCCCAACCTGCGGCCCTTGCTTGGTAGCGGGGCTCTTGTCTGTGGGTCAGAAGGGGTCGAGGGTTTTTGCAGAGGAGGCGGCAGGACTTGCAACGTTTTTCGCAAAATCCCGCGGCCTGACCTCTGCAATAATTTTTGCAATAATCTTTGCAATAAAATTTGCAATAAAAGTTGCATTAATTTGAAAACTA